AATAAAATTACTCAAATAATTATTTTATATTTCCTCCCTTCCCCTCAAAACAACCACCAACACAATTATATACCCAAACACTTATTTAACTCACGCACAGACACTTTCCTTTATTCTTTTTTTATTTTTATTTTACCCTGAGGATGTACTTTAATATATTTTTGGGGTTGACAAGTATAAAGGGATATATTAATTTTTTAAATTTAATTTTTGAATATTTTTACATAAAAAATTTTTTTGAGAGAAGAAACATTAATAGGGAGCTTGGAGCGTTTGCGCGGCAATAAATTTCAAAAATCTAAATTTTGAGCCAGTTTTTAACTATTTCAGAATGATAAGTGGGTATCGAGTTTCTCTCTTTTTTATCTGTCCATTTCTAATCCAAATTTTAAAATTAATCGAGAAATTTTTAAATTAATTTAAATTTTATTTTTATATTTTTAATTAATTTCCAACGTTTAAAATTTATTTTTAATTTTTTTTGATAATTAATTTAATTTTTTTACATTTTTAAGAGAATTAATAATTTTAAAAATATTTTTCAATTAAAAATAATAATATTTATTTTAAATAAATTCCCAAATATGGGGAATAAAAGGTTGTTAGAACATAATGATTGGCCTACTTTATATTATTTCAATACAAATATGTCAACAAAATTAGAACAACAATGCAACAATAATATAGTAGAGGAAAGGGCGAATAATAGAAATAATTTATTTAAAAAATTTAAGAGGTACAAGAGACAAAAAAATTTTTTTTTAATTTTTTGAAATTTTCAGAAAATTTTTTTGGAATTTTCTCGAAAAATTCGAAATCTAAATTTTTGCAGAAAATTCAAAAAATTTCCAAAATTTTTTGAAATTTTTTTATGGAAAAATTTTTTTTGGGAAATTTTTTGAAAATTTTCATAAAAATTCAAAATTTAAATTTTTGTTGAAAATTTTAAAAATTTTTCCAAAAAAATTTTTTTTGAAAAAATCAAACATTAATTGTTTATTTGGAAGGCTATAGAGATTTTAAAATTTGGAGACAAAATTTTAGGAATTTTTCTTTTTTGTCCTGTCTATAATCCAATTCTCTGAAACTCTTTTAAAAGATTCTTTATAATTAATTTAATTTTTTTCTAGTTTATTCCCACCAAAACTTCAAAAACAAAATTTAATATTTATTTTATTTATTTATTTAATTTTCCTTGCCCAATTAATTTCTTGTTACTCAATGACTGTTAATCGACGACATTTAAGACGTGTCATAGAATATCAACAAAATAATAATCCTATTCCTCGTTATCAATGCCCCAATGGGTAAGTTGTTTTGAAAAAATTTTAAAAATAAAAAAATCTTTTAAAATAATTTTTGGTATTTTTAAGACCTTTAATAAATTTAAAAATATAAATTTTCTATAAAATTCTCTTTTTTTTTTTTTTTAAATTAATTAATAGCTGAGATAACAACTTTAAACGACGTTAACGTTTACATACGCGAGCGCTTATAAAATAGTCTAAAATGAACCTAAATTGATGAAATTTTGCTAGGATGAAATTAATAGTATTAGCTGGCGCGCCGAAATTTGCGGATTTTAATTTGCGGACCCGAAATTTGCGGACCCGAACTTTGCGGACCCGAATTTTGCGGACCAGAACTATGCGGACCCGAATTTTGCGGATCTGTGATTTGCGGACCAAAATTTTGCGGACCGACAATAGAGTCTACTGAACCTCGGAAATTTCAAAAATTTTAGCCTGCGGCGTTAATTAGGATAAATTCAGGCATCATGACTTTATGGGATGGCCATATAAATGATTTCTTCAAGGAATTTTCTCGATTATTTAAATTATGAAATAATTTTGTGATAAAAAATTGATAAAAATTTTGAAAAATCAAGAAAAAATCTTGATCTGGTACGGATCATGGTAAACTCTGCCGGGATCATCGAAAAATAAAATTTTTAATTTTTTCCTTTTACTCAAGTGTCTGCCCTAAAATCTTGGTTCCGCAAAAATCAGGTCCGCAAACTTCGTGTCCGCAACCTTCGGGTCCGCAACTTTCGTTCCGCAAATTTCGGGTCCGCAAAATTCGGGTCCGCAAAATTCGTGTCCGCAACCTTCGGGTCCGCAACTTTCGTTCCGCAAATTTCGGGTCCGCAAATTTCGGGTCCGCAAAGTTCGGGTCCGCAAAATTCGGGTCCGCAAAGTTCGCGCCACGGTATTAGCTAGCTTCCATGAGAATTTCAGAACTTTTAGTTTATTATTTTAAAAGTTATGGTCAAAAAAGCACCAAAAACAACCTCACTTTACTGATATTCTGACTTTTTCACCTAACTTCTAAAATAATTAAGCAAAATTTTTGAAATTTTAAAGAAAGTTGGTCAATATTATTACGAATACGTTTCTGGGTTCTTTTTGGGGTTCTTCGGGTACTTTTTTGGGGTTTTGAGTCCTTTTTTGGGCTGTTTTATAAATTATTCCTTAGAGACTATTTACCCTTATGTTTTAATCATTTATTTATTTATTTAAATAAAAATTTTGACAAAATTTTTTAAAAAAAGATTTTCAGAATTTTTTAAAGATTTTTTTCAAAAATTTCTAAAAAAAATTCCAAAATATGTATTCTCCTTCAAAAACCTCCAAAAAATCTATAAATACATACCTATTTTCTCATTACCTTCCCCCTCTTATCTCCCTTATTTTTCCACTAATTTTCGGCATTTTTAATGGATTTATTGTTAACCACCACCAAAAAAACACTTCATTCCCCCTTCACTTTCTTTTCCTCATTTTCTTTTAATTTTTGCCGATTTTGTTGCCGAAAGGCAAAGGAAACGGAAAATTTTATATACCTTTAAGGGGTAACTACTATAAATATATCATTAATATATTTTACTCTCTTTGTCTTGTTCATTTTTTGAAGTAGAAAACAAAGAACAATTAGGTAATTTTTCATTATCTCCTTTTTTTCTTAAGAAAATCCTGTTTTGGTTGTTGGGAATTTTTTAGAAATTATTTTCCGTTATAACTAGGGTAGCTCCCCGAGCCTTCGGGTAGGAAGTGTCTGAGATCGGGGTTTCCGGGGGAGAGCATGTCGGGTTTCGGGGTAGAGGTCGAGTTTTGGGTAGGGGTACGCGGGACGGGGAGCTACCCTAGTTATAACCTCTGTTAGAAATTTAAAATTACAAACTTTATTGTTTCCTTACAATCGAAAGGATAAACAACACAAGTACAAGTACAGATTTTGGTACGAGATTCCAAACAAGGGTTATTTTTCCGAGACATTTTTTTTTTGATTTTTCTGATTTTTATTATTTATTTTGGGAAAAAAGGTTAAAAAAGTTACTTTCCTTTATTTCCTAATCTTTCAGAATTTTCGTTTTTTTCTGACCTCCCCCTTAACCTTTTCTATCACAAAAGGCTTTTAAAAATTAATAATTTTTACATATGTTTTTTTGATAAATCCTTTTCTTTCACTCTCTTAATAACGGGAAAGGCCGATTTATTTTATTCGCTCGATTGCTTTGATAGGTCATTAAAAATATATTAGAGTGAATATAGAGAAAGTGAAAGGGAATGAAGAAAAAAATATTTTTTGGAGAATTTTTAGAGGGAAATGACAAAAGAAAAATTTGGCAAAAATTTTTTTGCCTGAGGGCAAAATTTTAAAAAATTTCGAAATTTTTTTTTTTGAAATTTTTTAAATTAAAATTTCTTTCTCCTCTTTTCATTATTCACATATATCATCAATTTATTTAACAAAAATTTAATAAAATTTATTGAAAAATGGAATATTTGACAAAAAAAGCAATTTTCGGTCTTTTATTGCCTGAGGGGAAATAAATTAAAGAATAAATAAATAAAATATATTGGTTTTTGGCAATATGGAAATTAAAAAATTTTTATTTTGTAATTTTAAATAAGAGATAATATCTATTTAAAAAAAATATTTTTTTGTTCTTGAGGGGAAAATAAAATTTAAACGGATAAGGGGTGTAGTAAATGACATTGTTGGGAAATAAATTTTATAAAATTGTTTGAAGAAGAGCTAGAAACTTGACATTTTACTTAAATATTCCCAATAAGGTTATTTGCCCCTTCTAAAAATTTCAGAATTTCTGATTGGGTATTTTCAATGTTATGATGGAAAAATCACAAGTGATTGAAAAAGAGGTTGTCTTCGTTGTCTTCTGTCACTTTTTCGGCCATAACTTTTGAAATGTTTCATCTAAAATTCTAAAATTTTTAGAGAAGTTAGTTAACACTATTAAAGATATCCATACAAAATTTCATAGCTCTAGGGTTTAATAAGACTATTTTATGGCTCTGCGCGTAACGTTACCCGTTCGCTCAAAGTTGTTCTCAGGAAAATAAAAAAGGGAAAAAATTAAAAGGAAAAAATATTTTAATATTTCAAATTAAAATCTAAAAAACCTTCTAAAATAATTTAAAAAAAATTTTTCAAGTTGCCGTTGTGTTCCAGACAATAAAGTTAATCATTTACTAAGTATTACTTGTCATTGGCCTTATTTAAAAAATAGTAGAATTTTTAATAATTTTCCAAAGAATGGAACTAAATCTTTAAATATTTTTTGTGAAAAAGAAGAATATATTGAAGACAATATTTTGGCGATTGATGGAAATTTTTTTGGATTTAATGAACTTAGGGAATTGAAAATTAATGTTAGTTAAATTATTATTAAAGAGGGTTTTAATTAAATTTTAATTGGGGAAAGGGGAAAAAGCTTGAAATTGAGGAAAATAAAAAATGTCTGCCTCATAAAAAGAGGGGGCATTTCAAAAGTCTCCAGGCACTTCAAAATCCCAGCTGCAGATCCCTAGAACGGCCGCACGCAATTGAAAAAAATTTTCTGCAGCCGCAATTACGTTCGGCCCGGATCCCTAGCCATACCCAACACTTGGGACAACTTTTTGTTCTTCCTCATTTCTCCGTCTTCTTTTCTATTACACTAATTTTTGTAATTATAATTTTCCGCAATTAATTTATAGATGAATATTATTTTAATTAAAAATACTTTATATGTATATCTCGATATCTGCCTTCAATTTTACTTTTCCAATTTTATAGAATTGCCGATTTACCCAACTTTCTGCCGGTGTTTTTGAAGGTTTACCTAAACTTCGTTCTCTTTCAATAATTGGAGCTAAATCCTTACAAAGATTAGAAGAATATTTTTTTCTTAGATTAACAAAATTGGAAAGTTTAATTTTATCAGATTCTGGATTACGTGAATTTCCTCTTGATGGAATTTGTTCTTTACAGAAATTACAGGTAGAGGGGAGAAATTGGTTTTTATTTAGAGTGTGAACTGTGAAACTGTAGAGAAGCTGGAAGCTTTTGAAAATCTTTTCCTTTTTTCTCTATGATCCATTTATTAAATTCTAGGGACTTTTAGAGCTGTTCAAGGCTTTTGGTCATAAATCATGAGATTAGAGTTGTTTCGAAACAAAACATATACGAAAATCAGAAATCGAAATTTCGAAACAACTCACACAAGATTTTCTTTGGGTTTGCCTAGGTCTTTACTTTCCATTTTTGCCTTTAATCTTTCAAGATTTTCGATTTTGGTTCTTTTCTGTTATGTGGACAAAAGTCCGCAAAGTTTGTCCACAATACTGGTCAGATTTTTTCTTCCTCTTCACTCTCAACTTTGCGGACTTTTGGGCCCAGAAAAGAACCTCAATTTTTTTTTCAAAATTTTTCTAAATAATTTAAATATTTTAATAAAAAGGTGTTGGATTTATCAAAAAACTTGTTAACTTCTGTCCGTTTGGGTATTTTCCTTCCTCGCCCTGTTCACCATCCTTGTCAATTAATTAATTTAATTGTTTTAAATATTGCCGAAAATTCAATTCAAATAATTTCTGAACAAGATTTACTTCCTTTTCCTGCATTACGATTATTGAATTTATTTAATAATAAATTGATTGAGGTAATTTTAGCAGTAAATTAATGAAAGTAGTTAACCCACAGTCGGTGTCGTGGCTTTTTACTAATCCACTACCCGTCAAGTGGTGGAGGGGTCCGACAAAAACCAAAAGGGAGAGGGAATGCAGCGGTAAAGATCAAAGGGAGTGGACACTGTCGTGGGGAAGGAGGGGTCCGATAAAAGGGAGAGTGCATCGGCAAAGATCAAAGGGAAGTGGGCAGTGTCGTGGGGAGAGAATGAAAAACCCAAAAGAGGGGTGGGTAATTTTAAAACATGCGGCTGGCAATAAAATCTTGCTTGTCTGTTAATAATCCTATAAGTAGTAATCATGTACTTACAACCTTATTAATCAATAATTTTATTAAAAAACTTGTACAATTTTAAACTTATGAAGTACTAGATTTTAGGGAGAAAAATGCAAATTTTGGAAAAAGAAAATGCAAATTTTTAATTTTTATTAAAACCAAAGCATTTTAGGTATGTGCGTGCTCTGGGGATGTTTGTGTTTTTTAGGGGGCGTGCACGTTTTGGTGTAATCCACTGAAAATCCAGGTATAAAAGGGTGGAAATTCTGGATTCTAGTATCATTATTTTAAAATGGGCCAAAATTTGTTTTCCCAAATCCTCCCTGAAGTTGATTTCCATATCTCTTCGAGTGGAATTACCGTCCTAAGTTCCCGACTTACCACTCCACGATTTATTCCTTATGATCAATCAGGGAGATGTAAGGAGTGTAAGAGCACTGAAGTGGAAATTGACTTTATTGTGACTAAGGAAGGGATTACCATCTACTGTACACGAATTGGATCAGGTACTCGATTTGTTCCGTTCGATACAGTTTATGATTTACCTACTCATTGCTTTTTCAAAATCAAAAATAAGGGAAGAGTTTTCAATGTCCCTCATGGAGTACAACAACAACAGATTATCCATCAAAATCCAAAGAAAGGGAAAAGGAAATTGGATGAATTACCTCCTACAACTGCTCCCACTAATAATTTGTCTTCTCAAATTTCCCCTACTCCTCTTGTACCACCAGCTGATTGTCCAAATGTTATTTCCAATACCTCTCGTCCTGATACTCCTCCTGATAATGTAGAGTTTGAGAAGGAGCTCCAAGAATTTTATGATAGTTTAATGGCAGCTACAACCGGATTTACTTCATCGCCGAAGAAGATTGAAGAGTTAGAGAAAAAGGATGATAAAAATGTTCCTATATAAACTTTAGTTTTTTAACGTAAATATTTTTTAATAATGGAATCGCAATCATTTACTAATAAAGATTTGTATTTTAAATTACCTTTTGGTATGATTTTGTCTGGTCCAAGCTCTAGTGGGAAGAGCTCATTCCTATTAAAATTTATAGCAGACTCCCAAGATTTGATCGATCCCCCTCCAAAAAGTGTACTTTATTGTTTTGGGGAGATGAACGATAATATCCCCATTCTTCAAAAGTCAGGAGTTAATGTATATGCAGGAGTTCCCCCAGAGGAGCTAATAAAAAGCTATTCAAAACCTTTGCTCCTAATTCTAGACGATTTGCTCCTGTCTATAGATGAAAAGTATTTGTCAGAATTATTCACTAAAAAGTCCCACCATCAAAATTTTGCAGTTGTTTTTGTTACCCAAAACCTATTTGAGAAAAAGATTAAGGTCGCCCGTCAAAATGCCCAATATATTGTCTTGATGAGGTCACCGAATTCTGCACTATCTGTGAGAAATATTGGAGTACAACTATTTCCTCGTCAGTTGGACTATTTCCTTGATGCGTATAAACAGGCAACTAATGAGCCTTATGGATATTTGCTCATCGATTTGCATGCATCCTCAGACACTGCGCTTAGACTCCGTACCCGTATATTTAAGGACGACGAAGAGAAGATAATTTTCATTTCCAAAAATGTTTAGTCAATTAATTTGTGAGAATAAAGATTTTTTACGCTCTTTAGCGCTTACAAAATCCGAAAGGAGATATAAAAAACTTTTAAGGAAGGCTGATACTAGTCAGTTGTTATCCATTGTTGAAATTTGTTTGAATATTGTAAAATCGCGTTTTAATCTTAACACTCGTCAAAAGAACCGTTTATTACCATATGCAGAATTTATTCGTAAATTGAGTCGTGCTAGGAGTGAACGGGGAGCAAGAAAAGTTTTGAGGCAAAAAGGTGAAGGAGTAGGAGTATTTGCTGCTCTCCTCACTCCTATTCTAATGGAACTAGCTCGAGCAATTAATATAAAAGCCTATCAAAATAATTAAAATCAATCATAAATGGCAAAAAAATTAATTCTTGTTCCAGAAGAGATTTATAGAGGGCTTACTTCAAATAATTATGGGGACCCAAATTTAGATTTCACAAAGAGAGCGGTGGAGAATGCTAAAAGTAAAAAAGAAAACCTCTCTGCCAAAAATATTCATTATAACCAAGAACTTAGACGATATCTTAAACTAAGGAATGAAAGTGAGAATAAACCTGTTAGAGTTGAAATGGTAGCTAACCCCAAAGGAGCAATTATGAATAGAGATGTTATTAGACCCGCAACAAATATTACAGACGATAACGATGATTTATGGATGAGCGATGATTTTTCTTATTCAGCGTACCCACAAGAGCCGCCAGCCTTATCATATAATATTGTTCCTCCTTTGTCAAATTCTCCAAATGAGCAAGTACATCCCAGAGGTAGAAAATTATTAAGGAGCGGAATTTCCCCCACTCCTCCTACACTTAGACAAAAAATCAAGAGAAAAATTGAGGAGGATGATTATGGACAAAATAAGAGACGACATTTGAGTAATTACAAAAATGAGAGAAGAGATGAGTATATGAAACTTTCTGAAAAGGCTAGGAGTAGAAAGCAGAATTTAGAAAGGAAAAAGATGTTGAAAAATTGGAGAATTCCTTATACCCCTGAATATAATGCTCCTGTTGATGATGATTTTCCTCCATCTCCTCCCATCCCAACTATTCCTGAAGGTCTTGATGCTCCCCTTGTATCTGACTCTCCTCCAACTAGACAAATTACAAAAAGGGGACAGTCAGAAGAGTTTGAAGGTACAAAGAGATGGAAGAAAGGATATGATGAACACCATGAAGCAAAATTAAAACGTGAACAGAAAAGAAGGGAATATTTAGAAAGAAAATTAAATATTAGAGAGCAAAGGGTTCCAATTGATCAATCAGCGCTAGTTAAAACTCGTAAGGACGATGATATTCGAAGACGTCTAAAATTAAAAAGAAAATGGGAAGGTCCAGACGAAAGTCCTCTAATTGCCCTGAAAAAAGTAAAACCTGTCACAAAAATACAATCAGCAAAAGCCGGTAGAGAATGGATGCTAAGACTTATAAAAGCTAAACGTAAAGAAGCTGGTATAAAAAGATTCAAACCAACACTTTGGTAAAAATGGCAGACCCCACACAACTACTACATCGACTTTACAATAATCCAGATTCACCTGCTGCCTTTTCTGGAGTTGATAGGTTATGGTATGAGGCACGAAAAGTTATTAAAAAGTTACCTAGAAAAGTTGTGCAAGACTATTTGGAAGGACATAGGACGTATACTCTTTTGCGTCCAAAAAGAATACATTTTCCCAGAAGTAAAACTATAGCGGCAGGTTTTATGACAGATGTACAAGTAGATTTAGCTGACATGCAGGCTCTCTCTAGACATAACAAAGGAAATAAGTATATTCTCCTAGGAGTTGATGTTCTCTCCAAACGACTCTTTGGTGTCCCAGTTAAATCAAAGGGTTCAAAGGATATGTTAGATGCATTTAAACAACTAATTGGTCAAATGCCTATGAAACCTCATAGGATATTCTCCGATAAAGGGTTAGAATTTAAAAATAAAACTGTGAGAGAATATTTTGATCAAGAGGAGATTCAAAAATTAGAGGCTACTCATTCAACAGTCAAAGCTGCTGTGGCTGAAAGGGCTATAAGAAATGTAAAGCAAAGACTATATAGATACTTTGCTCAAAATAAGTCACTTAATTGGGTTGATATTCTGGAAAAAATTTTAGATGGAATAAATAAGTCAAAGAGTAGAGTGCATGGACTAAGACCTATAGATATTGACTTTTCAAATGCCCAGGAAGTGTGGGAGAGAATGTACGGTAATGAGATTTCAAAGAAAAGAAAGTCAAAATTGAAAGAAGGAGATTTTGTTCGCATGAGTATTGGAAAGAGTGCTTTTGAAAAGGGATATATTCCGAATTGGGGAGACCAAATTGTGCGAGTGGATAAAGTTCAGGATCAATTTTATCCTGTTCGATATAAAATTATTAATGATAAGGGAGACAAATTTAAAGGGTATTACTATAGAGAGGAGTTGGCACGTGTGAAGAAAGATGCAGATACAGAGTATAGAATAGAGAAGGTTATAAGAAAGAAAAAGAGAGCAGATGGTACATATGATATTTTAGTAAAATTCATAGGATATCCCGAAAGGGAATGGATCCACGAAACCCAACTTGTATAAAAGAGGGTTCATTTCATTGTATTTACCTCATTTGAATAAAAATGTCGAATAGTTTTTATGTTTGTTTATTGAGCAATGTGTCTGATTATCCTGATAACCAGCCGAATAAATTTAGGGTCCACTTACCTAAACCCCTTTATTTTTCTGGTGATTGGGTTTGCGGTGTACACAGCATAAGTTATCCATATTCATGGTCATCAACCATTGGTACACTTGACGAGCAATGGATTGATATTAATTTTACAGATAATAATAAGAAGGGACAAACTATACGAATTCCAGTCCCAAAAGGGTCACATAATACACCTGAAGAAATCTTACAATTTTTGATTTCAACTTTGAGACATCAAAGTTCAGCTCTTGATAACACAGCTCTTGAAGAGTCATCTGAAGGGTTCTTTGATAAACCATCAGTTCTTCATAGGAGAAATAAACGCCAACATGAGGAACTAAAGGACCTCACACCATATAATGAAAATGAGGAAGAGAATGAATCTTTAAGGTCTCTCTCTCCTTATCAGGAGGATGTCGAAGAAACATCACCACCACAAAAGAATAAAATTAATTTAACTAAACAGTCTGAGAGTGAGGAAGAAAAAGAGCAGTCAACGAAGGCACAGAAAAATGAGGATAAGAAGGTAAAAGAACAGGAGCAGAAAAAAGTGGAGGAAAAAGTGGAGGAAAAGAAAAAAGAGCAGCCAAGAGAGGAGATTAAAAAGGAGGAGGAACGGAAAAAGGAAAAGTCAAAAGTGGAGGAAAAGAAAAAGGAGGATAAGGTGGGAAAAGAGCAGACAAAGGTGGAGGAAAAAGAGAAGCCAAAAGAGGAACATAAAAAGGAGCAAGAAAATGTTTTGAGTGTTTTAGGAGTAGGAAAGAAGGAAGAAGAGAAACCATCGGAGAAACCGATAGACTCGTCTGTTCTAAGTACCTTAGGAGTTGGAAAGAAAGAAGAAGAGATAACACAAGAGAAACCGAAAGATACGCCTGTTCTAAGTGCCTTAGGAGTTGGAAAGAAAGAAGAGAAACCGGAAGATGTGCTAAGTGCAATAGGACTGGGAAAGAAAGAAGAGAAAAAGGAAGTTCTAAGAGAACTTTCTCCATACAAGGAAGAAGAACCATTACCACCACCTCCTAAGAAGGAAAGAAAAGAGCAATCAAATGATACTAGAGTAAAAGATAATAGTACACAGACACCGAGTGTTTTAAGTGCTTTAGGATTGGAAAGAAAAGAATCATGGACTCAAACACCATCACCACTATTAGAAACTATTCGGTTAAAACCTAAAGAGGGGAAAAAAGATGTTTTTGATATATTGCTGGGAAAGGGGAAAACGCCATATACAGCTACTCTTCTAAAACAGATTATTGATTCAATATCGATCAATTATCTCGCTGACTTTAAGAGATTTAAATTGTCCTTTACTCATTCTAGTATCAAATATGTATCATTTTCGCCACAATTGGGATATGTTCTTGGCTTTGCAAATTCACAACATGTACAAAATAATGAAATTGCAAAATATGCTTATGATTTAAGAGGAGGATTTTCAAGTTTTGCAATCTATGCAAAGGGACTTACTGAAAATATGATCGTTGGAAATTCTCTAAGTTCTCTACTTCGAATTGTTTCTGTCTCAGGAGCAATACCTGGAGAGTACCATGAGAAAATTTATGATTCTCCCATCTATGTTAGAGTGCTCCCTAGAGAAGTTAATGAGATTGAAGTTGAATTAAGAACGATGGATAATGGGAGACTTGTACCATTTGCATATGGTACAGTAAGCATAGTATTGATTTTTAAAAAAGTGATAAATTTTTGAGACTATATAAACCCTCGTTTTATGTTGTAATTATTTTATTATTGATAAAAATGGTTCATGTTCAATTTGATACAAACTCAATAGGGTACAATTTTGTTTTAGATCAATGTGGGAGTGGCGCGGAAAATTATTATTTTAAGGGAGCATCGCCATACCAGAGAGGGTATGGGCAAAGAGGAGCAGGAGTAGGGGATATTATGAGAGGATTGTGGAGATTTTTTCTCCCAATTATCCGGAAAGTTGGAAGTACAGTATCTGCTGAGGCACTTAATACAGGACAGCGCTTACTTGAAAGAGTTAACCAAGGTCAGCCGATAAAGGAGGCATTTGTGAATGAAGGAAAAAGAGGAATCGATACAATTTTAGAGAAAGGAGGACTGCCAAAACAATTTGGGACAGGAAAAAAGAGTATAAAAAGGACTAAATTGCCCTCCCATCAAACATTTATTGGTAAAAAGAAAAAACGTGTAGACGCTTTTGGATTTTATTAAATATGTCTTTTAAAAAGATTGATAGAGATAGCCTTGATACAATTACAAATGCTGTAGAAATTTTTCAAGTTCCTCCTACCAATGTTACCATTTCATCCTCAAAAACATTTGAAATACTTCCTAGTAATCCATTAACCGACACCCCCTTTCATTTTAAAATTCATTCGAGTGAAAATTTTATTGATTTATCCAAATGTTACCTATTCACCGAATTTCGAATTCGCAAAGAAAATGCGAATGGACAACTTGTAAATATTACTCTTGATGAAAATGTTGCTCCAATACAAATGATTGGAAATACTTTTATTAATAATATGAGAATAAGTATAAATGGGCGCGAAATATTCAATTCAAACTCTCTTTATGCCTATAAGACGTATTTTTCCCATGAGCTCTCTTATTCGTTAGGAGCAAAAAGCTCTCATTTAAATTCTGCCGGGTATTATTACGATTCAGGTGTATCACAAGAGGCCGGAGCAAGTTTTAATTCAAGAAAAAATTTGTTTGTTAATAGCCGAACAGCACAGTTTATTTCAAAACTTGATGCTGATCTTTTCAATCAGCCTCAATATTTGGTAAACCATTGTGAGGTTGATATAGAAATTTTGCCCAATGAGCCAAAATTTATTCTTATTGCTCCTCTTCCTGTCGGAGCTCAACCTACACGTTATATTTTCGAAGTGATAAGTTGTAAGTTATATGTAAAAAAGTTGGACTTGATGGATGGTCTTGCTTTAGATATCGCTAGGAGACTTGATGTTAAACCTGCTCGATATGCAATTAGAAAAACAATGATGAAACCGTTATTTATCAGTCAAGGAAGATATGAGTTCCACGCTAATTTGTTTATGGATCAAATCCCTCGTCGTATTACTTTAGGATTAGTTGCAAACTCTGACTATGTAGGGACACAAGAGCGGAGCCCCTTCAATTTTCAACCTTTTAGAGTTAGAGAAATTAGTATTATAGCGAATGGACGCTCATTTCCTCAATCTCCATATGATTTTGACTATGGGTCAAATCGATATGTGAGAGCATTTCATGACATGAATGATGCTATAGGATTTTCTGGTACACCGGATAACAATGGGATAACATACCAGCAATATGGGCGAACTCACTGTATCTATGTCTTTAATCTTACAAATAGTGGTGAGGATAATGGCGGGACATTTGATCTAATAAAGAATGGGTCAACAGCTGTAAATATTAAGTTTAGTCAGGCTGTTCCAGAAGGAGGAGTGATGCTCATAGTAATGGGAGAAACAGATGCATTAATAATGTTAGACAAAAATCGATCAATAACAAGTGATACCACTATATAAACTCAAAATTGTTCATTTTCTATTCATTTTAAATAAAAATGTTTTTTAAAAATATTGCAAAAGTTTTATTTTTTCTTCGAGTTTTTACTCCTTGCGTTAATACTCTAAGTACTGACGGGAGCGTAGATGTTCAAAACCTTCCAGAATATAGGGAATATTTACAAAGAATGGGATATCCCCCAAAGAGGAACATAACTGTTCCGAATATATCCGCTCCTGCTGCTCCTCAACCTTTTGGTAGTCTCCCTCAAATTCAACTATGTAAGGAGTCACCGCAAGATATATATGGACATATATTTTGTTGGGGAATGATTTGTATGTACATTCTTCTTATTATAAGTCTTGTAATTTATCAATTTCGATCAATACATTGGGTCAGATTAAATATTTTGCGAAGAAATGTACAGCAGCCAGATAATTCAAATTTTGAGATCAAACCCAAAGACGAGCAAAATTTTCAAGGGGTGCTTCCCTTGTGACTTGCTCCCTTCTCCTAATAGTTTGAAATGCCCTACAGCTCTTATTGTCAACTTGGATTCTCATGATAAAGATGGCTCACATTGGATTACACTTTATTTAGAAAAAGATCAAATATTTTATTTTGATAGTCTTGCACTACCAATAAGTTCTTGTATTGTTAACTCATTCCTAAAAAATTTTAAAAATGTAAAAAGAAATTCTAACCCATACCAATCACCACTCTCAAAGACTTGTGCTCACCACTGTATTTCCCTAATATATTTTCTATCTCGAGGATACTCCCTTCCCAAATATTTAACATTACTAGAGTCAATCAATAATACAGATTTATTTGCATCTAAAATTGTAAATAAAATGATAAACAATTAATTATTATGTATTTCAAGATAACTTTTTGTAATTTTAAAACAATCTGGACAAAGATAAAATTCATATTTAAAATTATGGTCATTTTTTGGTACTATCATTTCGCACTGCATACGACTCAAAACGAACTTTAGACAATCATGGCACCATTTTCCAGCTCTGAAGTAGTTTATGAGTACACTTAGTCTTGCTCCAAAGTCAAGTTGAGCGCCATCTTTGATAGCCTGACTCAATCCATTCATATATTTTCTCTTGTGAAATTCTCTATATTCACAAGTTCCGTGCATAAACTTAATAAATTCTTCTTCAGGAGAGGAGCTCATTTTTGTAAAATTTTTAAAATGATTAGAGAAAATGTATGGAAATCAAAAAATTTGACATATTTATCAAAATGTAAACTTTCAAAATATCAAAAATGGGGGTATAAAAGGAGAGGAATTTTTAATAAAAAATCATTCCATAAAAAATGAATTCTCATTCCACATCTAATAAAGTAATTGACGAGTGCACTAGAATTTTGGGGTGCTCTATAAAATCTTTGAGAGATCACCTCAATCATCCTGATAACCATGTGCTAATTCTAAAGGAGCTCCTTGGTCGTAAAGTTCAAACGACCTATGAAGATAAAAATGGCTTTAAGAAAACTTTTCTTATAGATGGCCTTACTCGACATGGAGGAAATTCTCTTGTAGCTTATGGGAGGTTACCTTTCCCATATAATGTGAGTGTTGCTGCTCACTTTTATTCTCGTCACCGGATTCGCCTACGTTACCCATACCTACAATGCATTATTGAGCGTATTCCATTTGGAGGAGAGGATCGTTTTTATCCTTTGGAATTGCTTGAATTTGTGGAAGAAAAGGAGGATCGATTGGCAAGAAAATGGTTGAATCATCTCTCCAATGATATATCAAACAAACTAACGATATCAGAGGAGCCAAAAAGCCCAATAATTATTTTGAAAAAAGATGAAGACAATAATATTGATATTTGGTAATTAATTGTAATTAATTTAGTTTTGAATAAAAATTTTGTATAGTCAAAAATACATGCGCACCTAAGAAATACACGCGCATGCCAAAAACACGCACGCATACATAAAATTCATGAATTTCAATAAAATTAAAAAATTGTATCTTCTTTTGTTAAAATATGCACTTTTCTCCCTAAAATCAGCTATTTAAAATTGCAAACTTTGCTTTTTTGCAACTTTTTTCACTTAAATTATGCACTTTTCCCCCTAAAATCACCTATTTCGAACTCTAAACTTTGCTAATCTAATCTTAATTATGCACTTTTACCCCTAAAATATACAACTTTGAAACATTAAATTTGCACAAGTTTTTTATAAAAAAATTTATTTCAAAATAAAAACAATAAAAATTATAATTGAAAAAATGTGAGGGAGGGGAGGAGACCGGCTTCGCCATTCGACTCCTTCATCTAACTCGACCAGGGATGTTAGAATTACTAAGTCCGCTACCACTGTATCTCAATGAGAGGTATGCCTCACAACATGTGAATGGCACATGTTGATAATCATCGTAAACAATGAGAGGACGACCTCACAACGTGTGAATGGCACACTTGATATTCATTGAACAATGGTTGGTATAGAGAAGATAAGGAGTACCCCTGACTACTTTCCGGCTCCAAGAAATATTGTGACAAAATGACAAAAAAAAACTATGGAGGAGAAATACGAGGATGGCGATTATTTATGAATCCATAATTGAGAATAGAAAAATCAGAAGGGCGGATAATTCCCTTACTGACTACAGGTTTATACAATTTATGTTGGGGCTGTGAAGTGACACGACCATCTTTAATTGATGGTCTCAAAAAATTGGGGTAAATTATATCAATTGGTTTAATTTCTCCTGTTCTGGCATAATTAATTACCTGCTCCTTGAATGTGTTGTATTGTAATCCTTGATTTTGAATCACATCGTAGTTTAGAGTCATTCCGCGGACTTTTAAAACATATTCAGCTTCTTTTTGTCCTTTGCGTTGAAGTTTGAGACCATATTGCTTTGCTCCTCCACAACAATATTCCAATATATTGTGAGAGGGGTACTCATCGGTTAAATCTCCCAGGTGAGGGCCCAAAGGAAGAGGACATAAGTTTGTAGGATGAGCAAAAATTAGGGAGTCGGTGTCTGTGTAGAGCAAAGAGCACCCAGGAGAACGAGCAACTTTTTGCATTGCTCGGAGCAAATGAATTCGCGCAGCTGAAGTTGTCCATAAGGAGATGACAACATTGGAGCAATTGTGCTCCTCAATCCAATCTTTCTTTTTTATGTAAGAGATGAGTAGAATATCTGGTGTGAGCTCATCTAAGCCAGTGATTTCAATCGATTTGTCGTTGTAGTATTTGTGTAGCTCTGCTGGATTGTCTGTAATTGCACATTGAGAGAGACCAAAATTCCTTAAAGAAAATCTCCCCCATAAATTATTCAACATTAACTTGGCCTGTGTGCGTTTCCCCTTATTTGGCCCCATCTTGCTCCTTTCTATATTAATTCCAAACTTCTCTTTGCACTCCTTTATGAAACTCTCCTCCTCCTCATAATTCCCCTTCATAGAGCTATCAAATCCAGATGAATGTATTTTTGCTGCCATAAATTCAGAAATATATGGAGCAAATAATTTGTCGTCGGAGCTGTCGTATTGTAAAACTCTGAACACTTTGGTGACGATGTATCCTTCCTGAAGAGCTGCATTCAATTCGAGTGATGTGCATGTACTTACCCATCCACGTTGCTGGTCTGAGTGCGGGCAGGAGTAATTTTCATTTACTCCTCCTTCAGGGTGCTCCCTTGCACATTGGGAGCAGAGAGGAAAGAGCAACCTCTCATCATCTTCTCCTACTTTCATTGGGAGCACAGGAATATCAATGCTCCTCGGAGGGATAACAAAAACTTTCAATATTGCTAATTCATATATGTTGTCCTCCGGCTTGCTCCAGTGAACCTCTTCGTTAAGAATATGGACCTTCGGGTGCCCCACTGGATATTTTGTAGATACATTGATAAACGGGTAGAGGGAGGTCACGTCATAGTATGATACTTTCTCTCCATCTTTTGGTGAGTAGAAAAGCTGAAGTGGTCCTGTTCTACCACCAAAGAAGCATGCCCGTAGATCAATTGGACCATCATCCAAATACTTTTGAAGGAGCTCCTCATCTCCCTGTCTTTTTCCAGCATACTTCTAATTTCACACTCCCAAAAGACTTGCACTTTTACTCCTTGACTTTTGATGTACTCCATCCTCCTTGCATCCTTCTCCCTTTGTTTACCGGCTGAAATTCCATTTGGGAGCACTATGTTGTCCTCCGGGTAGCATCGCTCACACCCATGCCACACACAACCATTCACCTCTATTCCTAATTGCTCCTCCTCAATCCAGCCATCCAACTTGTAATTCCCAACTTTTTTCTCCCCTCCATCTGAATGAGCAGTTTGAATTCTCACTCCATGCTCCTCCTCATACCATTTCATAAATTTCAGAGCAAGTCGGCTCTGATTATCCACATTATCGTAGCCTTTCTCCGGAACAAGTGCTAGGTGGTTCTCCTTCAAGTGATTTGTCCTGAAATGATTCATACAGGCAGAAGCTATGGTCATTGATTCCCTTAAAACATCAATACCTCCGTGAGCTTTTGAAGACGCTGCTCTTTGATAAGGAGCTCTCTTTGTAACATCCATAAACTCGCGTCGAAATGCAATAAGAGCAGCTAGAAGAATTTCCACATCATTTGTACAATATGATGCCAGCTCCTCGTCCAAATAAAAAGGGAGCTCCTTGTGCTGAACATACCATCGATCAAATTCTTTTCTCTTCTCTGGCATCATCCCATCTGCGAAGTAGTCTGAGGGGATGGGAAACACTTCCTTTCCATAATTCTTTGGCTGATTGATGAGGTGGGGGAAGAAAGGTTTGTCCTCAACCTCGAGAGCAAAGGCTGGGACAAGAGATGCCAAAGACATTGGCATCAGGTTGAAACTGTCCCTGAAGATAAGCATATTCTTCTTCCCAATTTTCACTTTCATCTCATACATTTTATTTCCTCTCTTCAGCATTTCAGGAGTAAAACCCATAAGAAAGAGCTCCCGGAAAACTATTACCATATCAAACCTTCCTCCAAAATGTGAAAAGGCGATGGTGTCGTAGTCTGTTGTTAATTCGATTATCCATTTTACAAAGGAGATGATTGGATCCTCGGTGACTTTCTGTAGATCCACGCGTGTTCTGTAAAATGGGCGCTCCGAGAAGGTTACAAGTCTGTTGCTCCCACAGATCTTACACTGCTCCTGCTCCTCCTCAATACATTTGGGGCATGTTACTCTCGCTGCGATAAAGTTTGCTTGGTGATTTCTCTTGTTGTTTCCATCTGATACATGTTGCATGGTCTCCAGATCAAAAGCTACAAATCGGTAAGGCTTTTGCTCCTTGGGCTCCAAAGGCTTAATAAAGCATCCACGCTTTGGGTCGTGGTATCCTGAGCAAGTTGAACAATACCTCTCATTGCAAATGTGGCCGCTCCTGCCTCCTCTTGTATTGTCTTTTGTATCCCAAATTACTCCACACTTCTCACAGCGTTTGGACTGTTGACAAAATCGTGAACTCAGATGATGGTCGTAGCAATTTTCATTGTTAAAGCTCTTGGAGCACCCATTGCATTTTTTGGAAAAATTATTCCTAGGAGGGCAGGGGTAAAGTGGGCCAACACGTGAGCAATTTAGACAGTGTGCACGGCATGAAGCAGAATGTTGTTGTGGACGCTGATATACTGTTTCACATTCCAAACAATAAGGTTGTCCAAAGAGCCCTCCTGTACTCGTAACACCATTAAAATGTGAGCCATCAAAATAGAGGAGCAATGGGGAATTATAATTGTTGGGACCATATTTGAAGCAGGGTTTGTAGTGCCCCAAACAATCAAAAATGAAAACTTTAAAACAAAACTGGCCTGAATACATTCCATTCCAAAAGTCAACCACGGGAGGAACCCATTCCTCAGCGTTGTACTCCTCTCGACCAAGAGGAGCTCCAACTTGCTCCATCAGCTCCAGTGTCTCTCTCTTAAATTGTCCACATGATCCATACCTCCCATGTATATAGTCGTAAAATTGAGAACGAGACATGTTTCCAATAAGCCGCACAAGTGTTGCTAATAAAGAATAAAATAAACAATAACCATCGTTGTTGTTGTTTATTTTGATTAAATTCTTCTCCTTGATCTGGTGATGAATAGGAGCAATTTTTCGGGGAGCTCCTCCAATAATGTTACTCTCATTGACCAAATTCTTCTTATCAACAACCATAACATTAACTGAAAAGGGTTTTCCCCAAAGTGTAACTCCGGCCTGCTTTTTACTTTGAGAAACCTTATTAAATTGATTAAGCAGGGTATTAAAGGTGTTTTGTGATGAGGGCCTAAGGGGTATCCAAATATCAGAATCTAATAACTCACTTGTTACTGTGCAACTCAGCTCCTCCGGTTCAAGTCCATTGTTTCTTGCGTTGTTCATGGCTTCGTTGAAACAGTGCTGGAATATTCCTGATAATAAGGCCTCAGGGTCGGAAGGAATATTCTGAATAAGGAATTTTGTGTAATTTTTGGTGATTTTGAATTTATTGATGTATTTTGTAGTATTTTCAAGCTGCTCAATATATTGTAAAGCATCTCCTCCTGATTGATTGATAGAGAGCAGGTTATCAATAAAGAACGCTCTTGCGCGTTTTGTTGGAGGAATATAGTCCATTATTGAAAAAAAAGCTCGTGTGAGAAAAGAGCTCCTATGAAAAAAAGAGCAAAAATTTATGGGGAGCAAAAAGAGCTCCTATTGAAAATAGAGAAAATGAGGAGCAAATTAATAAATATTTTAAATTGTTTTTTTATTTTTAAAGTGAATACAAATGAGAAATAAATTTTAAAAATCGTTGTATTTATATGAAAGTTTTTGGCAAAACTTTTACTTGTGAAATATAGGCGGCATCTTCAAAGGGGTTTTAAAAGTTTAATTTGCATAAATTTAAGAAAAATAAATTTTTAAAATTTTTAAAATATAGGCGGCATCTTCAAAGAGGTTTTAAAATAAAAATTTGCATAAATTTAAAATATCGGCAACATCAAAGAGAAAATAAAAAATTTAGAAATTCAATAAAAAAGGGATTAAAGTTAAATTTTAATTAGGTCAAGGTCATTATCTGAAAACAAAAGTATTAAAAACAGAGATGTTTCGAAATAAAAAAATCTTCGAAAATCGGAAATCGAAAATCGAAAAAATTTCAAAAATATCGAAATCGAAAATCGAAAATATTTTTCAAAATCTTCGAAATCGAAAATCGGAAGAAAAATAACCTCGAAAATCGAAAATCGAAAAACGAAAATCGAAATTTTTAAAAATTTTAGAAAGTTACAAAATTTTATCATGTAATATCAATAATCAAAATTATACAACTCTAAATTTTTGTTAAGAAACAATAACATCTCTAAATTTTCATGAGAAAGTAATCCTCTGTATTTATTAACAATATACCCAGCAGAACTAAACAATCTTTCCGATTCTGCACTTGTAGGTGGGGCTGAAAGATATTTTTTAGCAAGAAATGATAACTCGCTAAATTTTTCTTGATTAGTTCTCCAAAATGCAAGTGGATTACTTCTTAATGCGATGACTGGCTCGTGTAGATATCGACTAAGTTGATTCAATCCATCGAAATATTCTGTGTCAATTGTTCCTTGACTTTGACTCGACTGACTTTCCTCCTAAATACATGGGCTTTAAACGATTGATTTAATGAAAAATACCAGTAATTCACTCAAAAAATGATCAGGTGATGAATGGGCCTCAATAGATTTGGGAGGGGAAGAGCGTTCTGTTGTCAATTCTTGTTCAATCCAGTTTTGAAAATCTGGTAAATCCGCACGGTCAAAAAATTTTAATTTGAATCTTGGGTCCAAAATTGTAGATATGACCAAATTTCTATAATTTTATATAAAAAGCAAATCGATTATTTATACTTGTTTCTTTTCCATTCACTCATCAGACATTCAAGCCTCTCAAGCATGCTAGTTCTTGCCAAAGTTGCATCAAAATCGTCTGCAAGTTTTTTAAGTTCTTGCTTCAGCCAACAATAATATGGAATTATAGAAGAAATCAAAACACTTCTTGATTGAATTTCTAATGTAATTGTATAAAGGGGTTTCAGCAACTCAATTATCTTTTTTATTTTTTCCCAATCGACCAAAGTAAATTTAGGAAGGTCCTTGTTTTTGTTGAACTTAAGATAAAATGCTAAATTTATAAAGAGTAAAGCTTAACCTGAACTGCTTCTCGAGAATCAACAAACATATCTATTGCGTTTCTGTTGTTATATAAAGACTCAAGCATTAAGTACATACTATTCCATCTTATCTCTATACCCTAGATTTTAATTAATACTTTTGCTTTTATTTTTGAATCAAACCTTCTTTAGTGTCGTAGCAGGAATATTCAAAGAGTTTTGTAATTGCTTCAAATATTCTCTATTTATCCCAGATTTATTTATTTTTCTGACAAGTTTTTTTGCATTTTCAATAAGCAAGCTATCCATTGAAATTTCTTTCTCACCAGTTTTTGCAACTAAATTAATAACATGGGCAAAACAAGTGACCGCAGAAATTTCTAGAATTTTTGTAGCCGAAATCATATTCGAACCTTAATTTTTAAAAATCCCTTTTAATTGGTTAAAAATAAAACCTGCATCACGCACTAACACGTGTATTTTCTCCTTTGGAATATTTAAGAGAGCCAATTGATCATTAATTTTACCCGCAATTACACTTCCAGTTTTATGTGTTTCTTTAATAGGGATACATCCAAGCACAAGCCATCCAATACTAAAATCGTGTGTAACAAAATGTGCTGTCAATCCTTAATTTAAAAATTTGTACCTATATTTAAAATGTATAAATAAACCTAATAAGTTATGTTTGAAATCAGTAGAAGACCAAAGATCAGCAGACAGAGATAAAAACTCGATTTCACTTAAATCATCACTAATCCGTTTTTTCATTTTTTCAAAAATTTCGGGTAAACAAACATTTGTGTAATAATTTCTACCCCTAAATATAATTGACAATAAACCCCTTTATTTTGAAATGAAACCTTATTTTCCACCTAGGTTCCAACATTTTACAAAAATTTCTAAATCCAGATTTGTCTCCAAAAGAAAGCGGCAGTCCATCTACGCATAACATTTCAACGAAAGCCTTATCGGCTCTTTGGCATTTCTCGCCTTTTTGTGTCCATTCAGCTTAATTTATTGTTTTAAATTTTTATATCGATTTTAAATTTATCTTACTGAATGCCTGGGTAATCTTCGGTTGTTCATCCAAAACAGATTGAGGTCTTTTTGCTGATGTAGAGGGAATGTCCTTAAACTAACATAATTCAGTTCTGAATTGAAATTTTACCTCTATTTCTTTAGTAGCTCTTTTAAACGACAATTTTGGCTGACTCTCTGCTGCTTTTTTTATTTTTGCGTCTTTTTTCAATTTCGCTTCCTGATATATCTTGTAAAGATCTGGATGCTTTGTTGAAAGATGATGTTTTAATGTTGTAGTTGATTTAGTGACCCCTTGATCTCTTACCCATTTGCAATCTTCTGCCTTACATCGAACAAGTGAATTCTCAAGTCTTTCAAAATAAAACCACCACGAATCGTTGTTTGACATAATTCAAATATTTAACAAAGAAATTTAATGATAAGAAAAACTAAAATAATTTATGAATTTAACATAATGTTATAATTAAAATATCAAATTTATTCAAAAAATTATTAATGCATCGAAGGCAAAAATTTTTAGAAATTTAAAAAACCAAGAACTTTATTATTGATTTTTTATTCCTTCTTTTCTTTTAGGTCAAGGCAGAGTTAAACTCAAATGACCAAAAAAGAAGCCAAAAATCCTCCACTTTGGCGCCAAAAATTCAAATTTTTTCAAAAATTCGGAAATCGAAAATCGAAAATATCACAAAATTTCGAAAATCGGAAATCGAAAATCGAAAGGAAAAAAACCTCGAAAATCGAAAAACGAAAATCGAAAATCGAAATTTCGAAACATCTCTGATTAAAAACAAAGGCAAAATTTTTAGGGAGCAAAAAAAAAGACTAGGGATTGAAAATACAGAATTTTAATTTGGTAAAAAATTATCAGCTATCACTTTAATTAACATAATCACTTTCACTATCATATCATTATTAACGATACAAAACATAATAATCGAACTGTATAGTAATCACTTGAGATATCAATCTGGGTAATCACTTTCATTATTGATATGAAGTGGATTACAAGGTTTAATCTAGTAATATACGAATTCTCGACATTGAAGATTTGTAAATTGCTCATCTCTACTAATTAATCACTCATTCATTTCGTTCTACATGATTACGTGTTATTGCCAGCCGCGACGTTAACCAGCTTATTACAAATTACCCACTCCCTCTTTTGGTTTCTCCTCTTTCTTTTTGGGTGTCCACTTCTCTTCCTTTTATCGGACCCCTCCTTCCCCACGACAGTGTCCACTCCCTTTGATCTTTACCGCTGCATTCCCTCTCCCTTTTGGTTTTTGTCGGACCCCTCCACCACTTGACGGGTAGTGGATTAGTAAAAAGCCACGACACCGACTGTGGGTTAACTACTAATGAATATTTGGACAATTCACAGAATGGACAATTCACCGAAATTTTTTGATAAATTTGTCATTGAATTTAAAATATCCTCTCAATAATGTTTTTGTAACTTAAAAATTTTTCTAGATTTTTTAGTCTGATATTTCTCATTGTGAAAAACACAAAAAAATTTTTGAAAGAAATATCCACTACCATAACTTTTAAAATAATTAACCAAGAAATCTTAAATTTTTGGAGGTGTTCAAGTATCTTGCCCTTGTCTAAAGTATATTTCTCTAAAATTCTAGGGCAAATATCCAGTTGATGCCCTACCTGTCCGAAAATGGGATGCGGACTTTTCTTCCCTTTTCTTGCATTTTATCTTCCAGGAGTAGCCTAGAGGAAGGGATACATGAAAAGGGAAGAAAAGTCCGCATCACATTTGCGGACAGGTAGGGCATCAACTGGATATTTGCCAATATAATCCAGAGGTATTAAAAGTTACTTTTTATGTGAATTGTCATCTTTTGTGAATTGTTCTGACACAAAAAATATTAAATTTAAACAAGAAATATTTTTTTAAAGATAGAATCGGATGCCTTTCAATCAGGCCAAGCCCCTCAACTTCAAACTTTATACCTTTCCTCCAACCAATTAAATAATTTGCCTAAAAGACTGCCTGAAGGACTTTTACACGTTGATATGTCCAATAATCGTTTTCAATTAATACCTGAATCTATTGTTGAATTGACTGGATTGGTTGGGTTAAATTTAAGTGGGAATAATTTTAATGATGAAATTGATAAAATTGTGAGGAATTAATATCTTGAATTAGGGTAGCACCCCGTCCTCCGAAACCCCGACCCGAACCCCGAAGGCTCTACTCCGGCAAACCCCAAAACCCGACACTTCCGCCCCGAAAGCTGCGGTGCTACCCTATCTTAAATAATCGAAAACCTCTATTTTACGTACTCTCTATTTTGTAGATATATCAGGGCTAGAATTCCTTTTCCAAATTTTTGAGCGGATATTTCCTATTTGAGAGACTCCTCTTCTAACTAACGTATTTTGTGGAGTCCCCTCCAGAGATGTTTCGAAATAAAAAAATCTTCGAAAATCGGAAATCGAAAATCGAAAAAATTTCAAAAATATCGAAATCGAAAATCGAAAATATTTTTCAAAATCTTCGAAATCGAAAATCGGAAGAAAAATAACCTCGAAAATCGAAAATCGAAAAACGAAAATCGAAATTTTTAAAAATTTTAGAAAGTTACAAAATTTTATCATGTAATATCAATAATCAAAATTATACAACTCTAAATTTTTGTTAAGAAACAATAACATCTCTAAATTTTCATGAGAAAGTAATCCTCTGTATTTATTAACAATATACCCAGCAGAACTAAACAATCTTTCCGATTCTGCACTTGTAGGTGGGGCTGAAAGATATTTTTTAGCAAGAAATGATAACTCGCTAAATTTTTCTTGATTAGTTCTCCAAAATGCAAGTGGATTACTTCTTAATGCGATGACTGGCTCGTGTAGATATCGACTAAGTTGATTCAATCCATCGAAATATTCTGTGTCAATTGTTCCTTGACTTTGACTCGACTGACTTTCCTCCTAAATACATGGGCTTTAAACGATTGATTTAATGAAAAATACCAGTAATTCACTCAAAAAATGATCAGGTGATGAATGGGCCTCAATAGATTTGGGAGGGGAAGAGCGTTCTGTTGTCAATTCTTGTTCAATCCAGTTTTGAAAATCTGGTAAATCCGCACGGTCAAAAAATTTTAATTTGAATCTTGGGTCCAAAATTGTAGATATGACCAAATTTCTATAATTTTATATAAAAAGCAAATCGATTATTTATACTTGTTTCTTTTCCATTCACTCATCAGACATTCAAGCCTCTCAAGCATGCTAGTTCTTGCCAAAGTTGCATCAAAATCGTCTGCAAGTTTTTTAAGTTCTTGCTTCAGCCAACAATAATATGGAATTATAGAAGAAATCAAAACACTTCTTGATTGAATTTCTAATGTAATTGTATAAAGGGGTTTCAGCAACTCAATTATCTTTTTTATTTTTTCCCAATCGACCAAAGTAAATTTAGGAAGGTCCTTGTTTTTGTTGAACTTAAGATAAAATGCTAAATTTATAAAGAGTAAAGCTTAACCTGAACTGCTTCTCGAGAATCAACAAACATATCTATTGCGTTTCTGTTGTTATATAAAGACTCAAGCATTAAGTACATACTATTCCATCTTATCTCTATACCCTAGATTTTAATTAATACTTTTGCTTTTATTTTTGAATCAAACCTTCTTTAGTGTCGTAGCAGGAATATTCAAAGAGTTTTGTAATTGCTTCAAATATTCTCTATTTATCCCAGATTTATTTATTTTTCTGACAAGTTTTTTTGCATTTTCAATAAGCAAGCTATCCATTGAAATTTCTTTCTCACCAGTTTTTGCAACTAAATTAATAACATGGGCAAAACAAGTGACCGCAGAAATTTCTAGAATTTTTGTAGCCGAAATCATATTCGAACCTTAATTTTTAAAAATCCCTTTTAATTGGTTAAAAATAAAACCTGCATCACGCACTAACACGTGTATTTTCTCCTTTGGAATATTTAAGAGAGCCAATTGATCATTAATTTTACCCGCAATTACACTTCCAGTTTTATGTGTTTCTTTAATAGGGATACATCCAAGCACAAGCCATCCAATACTAAAATCGTGTGTAACAAAATGTGCTGTCAATCCTTAATTTAAAAATTTGTACCTATATTTAAAATGTATAAATAAACCTAATAAGTTATGTTTGAAATCAGTAGAAGACCAAAGATCAGCAGACAGAGATAAAAACTCGATTTCACTTAAATCATCACTAATCCGTTTTTTCATTTTTTCAAAAATTTCGGGTAAACAAACATTTGTGTAATAATTTCTACCCCTAAATATAATTGACAATAAACCCCTTTATTTTGAAATGAAACCTTATTTTCCACCTAGGTTCCAACATTTTACAAAAATTTCTAAATCCAGATTTGTCTCCAAAAGAAAGCGGCAGTCCATCTACGCATAACATTTCAACGAAAGCCTTATCGGCTCTTTGGCATTTCTCGCCTTTTTGTGTCCATTCAGCTTAATTTATTGTTTTAAATTTTTATATCGATTTTAAATTTATCTTACTGAATGCCTGGGTAATCTTCGGTTGTTCATCCAAAACAGATTGAGGTCTTTTTGCTGATGTAGAGGGAATGTCCTTAAACTAACATAATTCAGTTCTGAATTGAAATTTTACCTCTATTTCTTTAGTAGCTCTTTTAAACGACAATTTTGGCTGACTCTCTGCTGCTTTTTTTATTTTTGCGTCTTTTTTCAATTTCGCTTCCTGATATATCTTGTAAAGATCTGGATGCTTTGTTGAAAGATGATGTTTTAATGTTGTAGTTGATTTAGTGACCCCTTGATCTCTTACCCATTTGCAATCTTCTGCCTTACATCGAACAAGTGAATTCTCAAGTCTTTCAAAATAAAACCACCACGAATCGTTGTTTGACATAATTCAAATATTTAACAAAGAAATTTAATGATAAGAAAAACTAAAATAATTTATGAATTTAACATAATGTTATAATTAAAATATCAAATTTATTCAAAAAATTATTAATGCATCGAAGGCAAAAATTTTTAGAAATTTAAAAAACCAAGAACTTTATTATTGATTTTTTATTCCTTCTTTTCTTTTAGGTCAAGGCAGAGTTAAACTCAAATGACCAAAAAAGAAGCCAAAAATCCTCCACTTTGGCGCCAAAAATTCAAATTTTTTCAAAAATTCGGAAATCGAAAATCGAAAATATCACAAAATTTCGAAAATCGGAAATCGAAAATCGAAAGGAAAAAAACCTCGAAAATCGAAAAACGAAAATCGAAAATCGAAATTTCGAAACATCTCTGGTCCCCTCCTCCGCTTGTTGAATTCTATATAGTGATCTCTTTAACTAAATACTGCCTATAAAATACCCCCTTTATTTTACTCACCTTCTCCTTTCTTTATAAGATCATGTCCTTTTAGAGAAGTATGTAAATTAGAGGTTTTTTATACATAATTTTTAAAAATTCTCCCCTTTCCCCCACAGACTTTGAAAAGCTCTAAATTAGAACAATTAGACATTTCATGGAATAAACTCCATAATTTACCTGTACAATTCCTCTCACAATCAACAAATTCTCTTACAACACTTAAATTGTCAGGAAATTTAATTGAAAAGCTTTATTCTAATCAAATGCAAAATTTTACTTCTTTAAAGGAGGCAAGTTTATTTAATTTCGGCGCAAGACAGTTATGGCGCGCGTCTGTAAATAACAATTCATATTGGTCCTATTGTTATGAAATTTTGTTTAAATATTTTCCTAAGAGTTTTCTATCAATTCTGAAAATTTTAAATTTTTTAGTTTAATATTTCTGAAGCTATGGTTAAAAAACTAAACTGGTTGGGTTTTTGAGAGAAATGTCTACTCTTTCGACCATAATTTTTGAAATAATTAACCAAAAACTCTGGATTTTTTGTAGTTTGTAGATTAAAGTATTAGAGATATTTGGGCAAAATTTCAATGCTCTAAGTATTTATCTGGCCATTTTAGAAGGTCTCAACCTAACCACATTATTTGCTTTAAACGCTTATTTATGCCTCCTTTAATTAAACCTCCTCATTTTTTCCCTCAATTTTTTAAAATTAAAAAAAATCTTTTTCAGCTAGATCTATCTTCAAATAAATTAACTAGTCTAAATATCAGAACTTTTGAAGGACTTGATAAGCTTGAACGACTTTTATTATTTAATAATTCTATTCAAAATATTCACGAAGAAGCATTTCAAGAATTGGGAAATTCTTTAGAATATTTAAATATTGTTTGTGTTTTTTTTATTTTAATTCAAAAAATTCTTTTTTAAGAGTCATAATTTAATTACAAAACTTCCTGCAGCTATTGGACGATTAAGTAGAGTTGAAACTGTTGACTTGTCTAACAATAAAATATCGTGGGTTTTTATTTAATCAAAAATTTAAAAAATTGTTTTCTTCGTAAAGAATGTTTATTTTGGGGTAATCAAGAATAAAAAAATTAATTAAAAATTAAATTTAAAAGCTAAAAAATTTTCCAGAATTTTTTCTCATTTTCTGTTAAGTTATTAAAATTGCTTTTTATCATTGCCTATTTTTCTATATTTTTTAATTATAAATTTTGAATCCAAATATTAATTACAAATTAAATTTTAAGCTAATTTTTAATTAAAAATTAATTTTTTTAATTTTTCCAGAACCTACTACAATTTTATTTTAAACAAAATGTCCCACTTAACCCATCTCAATTTAAGCCAAAATTTATTAACTTCAATAGATAATTATGTTTTTGATGGGTGTGAAAGTCTTTTGGAAATTAATCTTTCATCTAATCGAATACAAAATATAAGGTATATTTTTAATTAAATTTTTAATTTTTAATTTTTTTTAATTTTTTAAGTCCCGATGCTTTCAATAAATGCCCAAAATTGAGGAAAATTGATTTATCCAAAAATTTATTATTTCAATTAGGGACGGCTTTGACTGGCCTAAAATCGTTGAGAATATTAAATTTGAGTGAAAATGCTTTGGAAGAGGTAGATAGTTATTTTATAGTTATCGAATACAAAATATTAGATGAAATTTAGGGTTTTTTAACGGCAGTCTAATTTTTGGAACTGCACAGGACTCTCTTGAATCTTTAAAAAATTTCGGTCTTTATCAGCTCTATTAAGTCATTATCCGAGATTATCATAACTGAATAATCCCAAATATTTAAATATTATTTTTACACGCAGTTTGTTATCTAAATAATCCATAAGATATACCTAATCCTGTAATATTCCAACTCGTTTCCATATATAAATCACTAAATTGTTTTTTTACTTGACCTTAAAAAATAAGCAAATATTTTTAATATTTTTTCTAAATTATAGTTGGAATGGTCTAATTTTCCCAGTGATTTACTCGAACTTTCAGTTAATTATAACAAGATTAAAAACGTTGGTATATTAGTTGAAACAGATGGAAGGAAGTTAAAGAAATTGGAAGTAAAGTTTAAATTAAAAAAAATAATATTTACGGGACTGCCTAATGAAACCGATATGATATTATGAGTATATCCCACAGTAAAAATCCAATGAGATTTGGTTGTAAAAGTGAAATCTATCCTTCGATTTCTCTTAATTTTTAAAGTTTTTTTAATTAAAAAAATTTTTTTTGGAAAATTTAATAAATTAAAATAATTTTTTCTTTTAAAGCTCCACTCAAATAGGATTACAAATTTATCTGTTGACGAAAATTATTTTAAAAATTCTCAAAATTTGAAGATATTTCCTTTAGAATTAGAAGAATTAGATTTAAGTGATAATTTATTGACATTAATTACAGAAAATAATTTTCAAGGAATGTCACAATTAAAAATGGTAAAACAAAAATTTTAATAAATAAAAATGAAAATTTTTTAGGTAGATTTAAGATTAAATAAATTACAAACAATACCTAAAGAATTATTTGAAATAACTGTTGTCGCGAATAGTAGATACGGTCAAATGTTTATTTCTGGTAAAGTTTTTACAATTTGAAGCAAATAAAAAATAAAACTTGAAACAAATAATAAAACAAAACTTGTAACTTAAAACAAATAAAATAAAATAAAACTTGGTTTATTAAAACTTGAAAATAATACACGCTAATAAAACTTTATTAAAACTTGAAACAAATAAAGTATAAAAATAAAACTTGAATTAATAAAACTTGAATATTTATTAAAACTTGAAAAATCAACGCATAAAACAAATAAACTTGTAACAAATAAAATAATTAAACTTGAAAACAAATAAATAAACTTGAAGCAAATAAAAAATAAAACTTGAAGCTTGAAACAAATATAATAAACTTAGAATAAACTTTAATTAATAAAACTTGTAAATTTATTATTAGAAAACCCTTTAATTTGTAACTGTGGAATGGAATGGCTTTTAAATGCTAAAGATAGGAAAAGTGATGATATTCCTAGTATAAGCGAAAATGGAGGTGTTAGGGATATTAATGAAGCAAAATGTTTACTTCCATTAAATGGGCAAATTAAATTTGTAGCAGAAACTGAGGTTGAGTGATGCTTGTTTTATTTTTTAAGGGTCTTATGAGGGGTAGAAGATGTGAAATATAAAAGTTTAATACTAATACAGCTTGACGGAAAGGATACAAATTTTATTCTCGATAGAATAAATCTTATTTTAGAATACATTTATTTAATTTGGTTGGCCATCGGTAGGGGGTGTTACGTAGAATTTTCGAAATTCCCTTTTAACAATTATTTTTAATGTTTTTCTAGGCATCCGATTATTTATGTCCTTACAACACTTTATGTGAGCCTAATTGTCCTTGCTGTCAATTATCTAGTTGTGATTGCAAATCTATATGTCCAAAAGCCTGTGATTGCTTTCGAGATCAAACTTTTACCAAAAACGTTGTTAAATGTAGTGGAACAGAAAAAGAGGAATTTGATTTACAGTAAGGAAATTAACAATCAGAGACTTCTATTTAGTGGACACTTCTATTTAATAATAAATTATTCGTCTCTATTTAGTGGACGGCTTTTCAATCCAGCTTATTTATCCCCTAGAATACTCCTATACAGACACTAAACTTTTAGTAACCCCTTCTATGTTTGTAAAATTTTTGAGATTTTCTCTAGTGGTTGTTGTCCACTAAATAGAAGTTATAAATAAATTTAAAAAATTTCCCTCATTTTATAGAAAATTACCTATGCAATCATCACACATTCTTTTATCAAATCTCAACTTTCCGGTTCTGAAAAAATCAGATTTTTTTGGTATGGGAAGACTTGTAGAACTACATATTAATTCATCAAATATTCAAACAATAGAACCTTCAGCCTTTGACACAATAAATAATTTAAAGGTAAGAGGAATTTAGAAATATTTAGATAGGTCAATAGCTTTAGAAAAATCTTAAAGGGAAAATTTAATTTTGTAAATTCTTTTCATATCATTTTCATTCCCGCTCGTAGGTAAAAACGGTTAAAGAATGGTTAAAAAAATTTAAAAAAAAATTTAAAACGGTTAAAAAAATTTTTCTCCGTGTTTTCCAACAATTTCCACCTTTACCAAAATTTTTCTGATCACTCACTTTCACGCAAAAGCTTATTTTTATCCATCAAAAAATTTTTTTACAAAAAAAAAATACAAAAATAAAAATTAAAAATGAAGGAAAAAGTAAATAAAAATATTTTTTAATCAATTCAAAGTTATTTCTTCTCCTTCTAGTTTTCCTTCCCATTATTTTCTCCATTTCTATTCTTATTTATTCCATTTCTATTAATCTTAATTTTAAAAAATCTCTTTTTAAAATTTTTCTTCACCCATACCTTTGCACGTTTAACTGCAATATTCTGATTCTGATAATTATTCTGATTATTCTGATTGCTACTTCCAGGCTTATTTTCTTTAATATTTAATTGATTTTGACATTCAAATGCTAATATTCCCTGCCCATCAATACAATTATTTTCATCATTTCCTTCATCATTTATTTCTCCTCCAAGAGGGGATAATGGCCCAATAAATATACTTTAAAAATTAAAATTATTTTTTTAATTCCCCCCCCCCCTCTCCCTACTCTGCTATTCTCCCAGCTTCTCTAAGTCCCGAAAGAAAAGCCCCGTGTACTGAAGATGGGTATTGTTTAATTGTATGTTCTCCAGCAAAGAAAACTCTTGCAAAATCTTTTTTGTTATCTATATATAAAGGCTCTGCTAATTTGTCATAATCTTCTGCTAAAAATTTTTAAAATTTATTTTTTTTCATTCTCTATAATCTAACGTAAAGAGCCATTTTTCATGTAACTATAACATCCATATGCAAAAGGGTCTAAATGCCATCGAGTCACAATATACTTTGAGGGCTAAAAATGGGTATTAGTTAGAAAAAAATTTAAAATAGAAAAGTTGAAGCTCTGTTATTGAGAGAAGGGAATATTGTGGAATGAGGGAAATCCACATCCCATATCTATTTCCAAAATTTCTCAACATATCGTTTTTTTAGTGCAGAATTCCCATCTTTTCAAGAAGGGGAATTACTACGAATCTAAGGATTCGAAAAGTCTGGATATTCAGAAATTCTTGGTTCAGATAGATTTCCAGGATTTCTGAATTCTCATTATTTTTTATTTTTATTCCGATTTTTTCACCTTTGTCTAGATCCGCTAACCCTCTTACTATATCTCTCTACACAGTTCTTTCAAAATTTCCTAAAACCCAATGACCAATTCTTTAAACTCACCTCAGTTGGACAATTATTCCCAAAAATTTTGCTTAATATCTTCATTGCATTTTGAGCAATTACTCGATCTTCCAAATGTCCCGTAACAGAAGCAGCTTCCCCAGCAAACAAACCAGTTAAAATAGGTAAATCTCCAATAGAATAAAAAATGAAAAGTTCTCCACGAGAAGCGCTTAAATATTTTTTTAATTTTATTTTAAAAAATAATTATTTTACGTTGTTTCATTTAAATGTCCAAAACAAGTTTTTGAGATATCCCAAAAAGTTTTTTCAAAATAAAGTGTTAACTTAAAAAAATTAAAATTAATTTAAGAGAATTTTTTATTTGCCTTATTGAGTGACCCAAATCCCAATCTAGCGATTGCTTCAGTTTTCCAATTTGGCAATTTTGGCTCGAATCGAATAGCACTGGCATCTGACATTATATTATCCGTTAAAACTGTTTTTTTGAGCATAGACAAAGGAACTGTGCAGAGAACGGCATCCGCCTTTAAATAATAGAAATAAAAGATTGGGGGAATACAAAGCTGGGGAAGAAGGAGAAAGAAGGTGATAAGAAACAGAGAAAACTCATTGGGGGTATCCCAAAAATCATCTCAGAAAAGTTCGCTGAGAAGACTTCAACTTAAGGAGTATGTAAAATAGAGATCTAAAAGCACAATAAAATTACCCGAATCGTTTGCAGAATTCTTTCAATTCTTTGACTACCTCCACTGCCATTATTCACATTTTCTGGTTTTGAATTTACAAAATAACTAACATCAACACCTTTAAATTCAAAAATCTTTTAAACCCAACTAAATTATAAAAACACCTCTTGTATCATATTGTATATTCTTTACAATACAATTAAGCTTTACATCCAGATCATTACCCAGTTGTTCAAGTACAGTTCCTAAGCCTTCTTTTACTAAAAAAATAAAAAATAATTTTAAGTCTGACAAATGAGAAATTTTTTTGGGCCGAGGAAATTTAGAGCTAACAAGTAAGCTTAGGTCCCTTGTCCGGGAAGACTAGGAAAGGAACATCCCAACTTAAAAAACATTTATAGATTTTTTAAAAAAATTCTAAAAAATTTCCACAATTTTTTCAGGCTCTTCACCTATCCGGAAACAATTTAAAACGAATAAACGGAGATGAATTTACTTCAGCACCAAACCTTCACCTATTAAACTTGGCAAATAACAACATTTATGAAATAAATAATTATTTAAATTTAATAGCCCCTCATTTAGAAAAAATAATTTTAGAAGAAAATAGAATAGAAGAATTGCCAATATTTATAAAAAACATCAAAAATTTACGCCAAATTTATTTGGGAGGGAATCCGTTTAGATGTGATTGTTCTTCTAATGGAAGATTTTTGGCCCAAGAATGGATAGCTCAAAACCAACAAAAAATTAAAGATGCAGGAAAAATTCAATGTGTTGAAAATGTAACTAGAGCAAAGGAAACTAATGATACAACAATATTTTCAAATTATTTCCCAAATATTAACGATGATTTATTTGTTATGTCAATGCTTGAATTTCTCAACCAGGAAAATAGGTAGGGGTAAACGAACGCGAGGCCAACGTACCGCAAAGCTATAACTTTGTTCAAACTGGTCGAATCCGGGACGCCTTGGTATGGTTCGATGCATCTCGACGAGCTGAATCGAAACATATCAGGGCGTCCCGGATTCGACCATTTTGAACAGTTATAGCTCTACGGTACGTTGGCCTGCTCCCATAGGTAGAAATCGGGAAAAAAAATAATTTTAAAAATAATTTCATTATTTTTTTCCTAAAAGGACAATATGTATCGAGCAACCAAAAAGGATATTTGGAGTTTTTGAATATGCCGACACAATGATGATTATATTATTTATAATAGCAATACTTGTATTTTTTACATTTTTAATAATTACTGTTGCCAAGTCTTGTTTTCAATATTTAAACGATGTTCAAAAACAGCATAAACCAGAAAAGAAAAAATGCCAGAAAAATAATCGAAGCCCAGTTACTTCTTCGGAAAGCATGACATTAATTGACAGAAGATTGATAAGTCCAAGGCATGTAAAGATTGATGAGATAAATTAATATTATAGAATTTTTAATTTAGTATTCCCTCTACAAGTAGATCTTCTAATGATGAAAGCTACTCTTCTTCTACTTTAGAAGGCCCAAATTATGACATTTTTATTTGTTATGCAAAGAAGGATGAAAAAATGGTTTTAAATTTGCGTCGGTAAGAGAAATTTGTAGGGAGGATGGATTAGCGGGATTTAATGGGAGGGGGATCGGGATCATAGAGAGATTCATTCTAAAGGGAGCCTCCCTGGATCTAATTCAATATAATTTTTAAAAAATTCAAAGGGAAATAGAAAGAATAAATAACAACGGCTACAACTACAGAATTTGTCTACTACAGCATTTGCCTGAAACATATTACAATACTAAAGTTGTCCTATTTCCTACTGAAAAATTAGAAAAATTAGTGTACGGAAGTCGACTTCTTATATTATATGTATCTCCAGAATTTATTAAAGACTTGAATTATCCTCAGTTAACAAATTGTATTATTCACTACTTTGAAAAAACAAAAAGCCCAATCGAACAGAAGAAAATTTTTGTAATTTATGTAAGAAAAATTTTTTAAAGAATTTAAAAAAAACATTTTCAATTTCAAGAGCACAAAAACAAAAGAACATGACAAGAGTAGGATACCGGAAAGTGTAGGGAAAATTATTCGAAATACTAGGAATATGGAGCAAAGTGATCCTGGATTTTGGGATGAATTGGCCAGGGTTTTGCCTTCACCAATTGTTAGAGAATCGCCAGAAGAACCCTTTTATGAACAAATTCATTCTCCTTCTCAGAGTGCTTTTGTTTAATGAGGATTTTTTTTGTTGGTTATGTGGGAGAATACGACCCATACCTGGATAACCCCGGGAAACATCAAAGGAGATATCCTCCAATAAGGTTCGTATCTTCTCACATACACAAAACATGGTATTATTAATTTTAACTCTCTCCTACTTAAAGTGCTCTTAATAGTTCTCTCATATCTCCCTTTCCTGTAACATTAATCCTTTCAACTTTAACCCGTGCCCCACTAATTATTTTTAATCTTTCACTAAAAATACAGCCAATTTCTCAGGGAGACCCAAACGATCCTCCAAAAATTATTTCAAGTTTAACTAGAAAATTCAAATAATAATCAGAACCAACACCCAAAGATTTGACTGTATCATTTTTAAAATCTAATGCATGTTCTCGCCAAAAATCAGTCAGTACTAAACTTCACAAAACGTGTAATTTATTTATATACATATAATTTAAATATATATTTCTAAATATAAAGGATAAAGCTTTGTTCTTTTTTTCTTAATTTTGTAATTGAATGTGCATAAAAGAATAGGGATTGTGGAGGAAATTAACGGACACAAGAGTACACCTTTTTTCGTTGTTTATAAATTTACAACTACCTGTTATGTGTGAACCATCAAAGCCATAAAGGTCATCTTGATCCCAATCCTTTAAAGCAACTGTTCGAAGCGGCGCACCAATAGAAGATTCCAAACTTGCGAGATGGAAATCAAGAATACGTTTATCATAGTCGTTCATAAAAACATGACTAAAAAGGAAAAAGTTTTTTTAAATTTCTTTCAAATAGTCTAGAGGATTATACTCCTTTATAATCAGGCCTAAATGCTTGGCCCCTCAACAAATTAATTTTCTTTTAATTTTTAAAATTTTGAGGCCTCGTTTGGCTTATTGTTCGAACTAGGGTAGCAACCCGTCCCTCAAAACCAGACCAATTTTTAAGCAAAAACCCCAACCCAAAGGCTCTACCCCGGCAAACTCCGAAACCCGACACTCCCGCCCCCGAAGGCTCGGAGCGTTTCCTAATTAGAATTACTTTTCTTTTGAAAAAGAAAAAAACCACACCTCGGTTCCATTTTTTCATATTCATTTTTCATTTCTTCAACTTCACGACGTTCTTGGACAGCTTCCTCATACCCCTTAAAAATACTTTAAATTTTAAAAATAATTTTTTTCTTTACATCAACAGCCATTTTTAAACATTGACGCATACTTCGTAAAGACAATTTTCGATTTAATAAATCCTGAGAAACTGAGCCATTAAAAGTTAACTTAAAAAAAATTTTTTTGGAAATTTAAAAAATAATAACCTCATAAGCATCCGGATGTTCTAAAAAAGCACCATTCTGATTTAAAGTATCCATACATGTGTCTATAGCATTCCGATAAGCTTTCGTCTAAATTAAATATTTTGTTTTTAAGAAATTAGAAAATAATGGGGGATAGGGGATCTATTGTAATTAAATATAAGCATAAAATTTATGAGATTTTGTAAAAACCTTCTCCAAATAATTGACGACCAAACCGATTTTTGAAATTTTTAGAAAAGAGATTTTTAGAAACTTGTTAATGTCTCTCATAGAACTCGATTGAGTGAAAAGAAATAAAAATAAAAAAATTAACATTCTTTTAAAAATTTGGCCCTTTACTTCACTAATTTTCCTTAAACTATAAACCAAAATTTTGCAATCTTAAGAAAAGATAGAAACAACATTAAAAATATATCTGTACAAAATTCACACAATCGCCCAACAATTTCACAAAAAAAACTTGCCTTTTCTCCAGCATCTTTCAATTTATTACAAAGTTGTTCAAATCTTTGCCAATATTTCATTAATCTTGTTTTTACTCGAAGTTCATTTTGACTAAAAAATTGAAAAAAATTTTTAAATTATTTTATTCTAAAAACCCAAAAAAAATCAGGAAGATCAAAAAATTTACCAAAAAGGTATATGGAATATAAGGAACTTTTCCCCGAATTTTCTTCTCGGAATTAATTCTCTATATAGACAACAAACGGTTTAACCATCCTAAACACACTGGCTATCTATTTTAAAACCTAAAAAATTTCCCAAATTTAACTCCGACAAATTGTCTTTTCCATGAATTGCCCCGTTAATAATTACTTCTAATTTTTTTACTTTAAAATAAGTTGAATAGCTTCTCCCAAGTTTATTTTTCTTCCTCCTTTTTTAGCAATATTTTTATTATTATTTTGAGAATTTGGAGAATCTCCATCAATTTTAGTTATTCCCATTTCATGAACAATATAACAAATTGTATTCAGAATTTTATTAAGTGAATTTAAAATCATTTCATTTTTTTGTAAATCAATTAATTTCCCATCTTTGTCGTATATTGGACATTTTTGGTTCATTTCTACAATATTACATTGAGTTTGTCTGATAAGTGTAATTAATGGATTTCCAACTGTAAAATTTAATTTTTAAAAAGAAAATTTAATTTATTTTTGTATTTTAAGGGCAAGCGTTCGGAAATGGGAGAATAGAATAATAAAAAATTTGGGCATTTGATAGCAAAGCAATCGAAATTTTAAAAGAGTAAATAGAATGTACATATGTCTCATTGAACAAAAATTAGGAATTACGCTATTTCCTTTTTCAATACGGATAAAAATGAGTACGGATACAGATGAATGTATTGCCCCTTGAAATACGTATTTTGAAAAGGAGTAACCACGACGAACTCATAGGCAGGGAGTATCCGGACTTTCAGTATTAAAATTTTTTAGTGTCGTTGGCTTCGGGGTACTAGTATTTACTAGCACCTTGTAAATAGCAATCCTGACCTTTGAGACCCTGATTAAAGTTCAAACCAAGGTGAGATGCATCAGCCTAAATCTCGTTTTTCGAGACCAACATTCTCTGCCGATCCGCTTCCCATTGCTACAAGATATTTTTAATAAACAAAATCGCTTACCTATTCCTTTAATAATCATTCCACCCAAATCGACAGGCGGCAGGCCCGCACCTCTATGGTAAGTAAATACACGTCCACACATTCTAGGCTTAAATTTAAAAATTTTTATAGAAAAATTAAATTGAAAAAATAACCCTAGCCTCCAATACAATAACATCAAAACCAAAAAATTTTAATTGTCGAGCAGCGGCTAGCCCTGCTGCTCCCGCTCCAATAACGACAATTGTTATTTTTTTGTCAAATTCTCTAACTGAAAAATTTGAATTAAAAAAATTTTTTTAATTAAAAAAAGAACCTGATAAACGAGTAAATACTCCATAATTAATATAGCCATAGCGCTCCAAATAATTATGAATACTTGTAACTAACTCAATATCACCTTAATATGTTGGTTTATTAATGGAAGGAGAAAAATAAAAAATTAAAGGACAACTCAAATAAAGAAGAATAAACTTAAAAGGATAAATTGACGTATAATTGATTATTTTATATATTCGTATAACTGATTTAAAAAAAATTTTATTTGGAAAATTTCAAAATAAAACATTAGAAGGCTCATCTACACATCAAGTATACGTCAATATTCAAATAAAAAAATTTTTGTTGATTAACAATATTGAAAAGCGAGGAGAGAGGTAATGAAAAAAATAGGTAAAAGCTTTCGAGGATAAGGGAAAGTTTCGTTAACAGAATCAACTATGGAGAAAAGGAAATTGAAGGAATTATCGTCTAGCTGAAGAATCTTAAATGTTCGGTTCAAGTCTTGGGAGAAAGAGAAAGACATTTAGTAAAGTGTCTAATTTTCAGGAAAAAAATAATTTAAAAAATTACTGTTAAATGGTTCAGGTAATTCTTTTAAAATTGCTCCCAAAGTAAGTTCTAAGAGTGGATCAAATTGCCATTGTGCCAACTATAAAAATTAAAAAAAAAATTTTTAAATAATTAAAATAACCGTTTTATTTCTAATATAAAGGAAAAGGGCAACACTGTGCTGAGAACGTGCCATTTCCGGGAATAATTCCAATTCCCGAAGTGTCATCCTATCATAAGGCAATCTTGCTTGCGCTGCTGCTGTACGGATGGCTTAATTTTGTGAAAAAATAGCTAGAAAAATTAATTTTAAACTAACAAAGATCGTCATCCTCACAGCGATAAACATTTAACCTGAAAATTAAAAAATTATAATTAGAAAAAAAAACTATTTTTCGAAGTTAAATTTTGACAATTAAATATTTCCCTAATTGTCGGAATAGAGAACTCAAATTCTAATTATACATCCTTGGATAATATTCTATAGATAAGAAATGTTTGGGCAAAATTTTTTGGTATATTTTAAAGATTCTAGGCTGGACAAGAATTTTGGTCAACTGATAAACATTTTTTGGAAAGAAATAGTTCAATTTTTAATATATCTACAAATTTTAAAGGCCAGTCGAGAACCTAGTAAAAGCCAAACTCCCCGTTCCTATAAACCTAATCTAACTATAAACATTTAACACCTACCCGTTCAATTCCCGTTCAGTTAAACTGGCCAAATATTGATTACGAATACCATAATTAACATTTTGACGTCGAGAACGCCCGACAGCTCCATTTACGTGATTCCTCTTGTCTTCTGGAGGTGGTGAAAGACTTGAAGGAGAACCTGACGACATCAAAAAGGATTTTTAGTAGCCTCAAAAATAATAGGAAGCTATCAAAAAATTTAAAAAGGTAACTTCCAAAAAATTTTAAAGAAAAAATTCGATAAAATAACAAATTTATATGGCAATAAAAACAAAAAAAACATCTCATTTAATCAAAACTTTTTAATCAAAATTTCTTAAACGATTCAACAAATGAGCCAAAAATGTGGACATTATGATATATTTATGTATATTTTTGGAAAAAGAACAAAAGGAGTCCTGGAAGTACAAAATTAAATTTTTTAATGAAAAACCCGAAAAATTTTCTTCTCAAAAAAATTTATTTTCCCGCCAATTTTCATCAAAAAAATTTTATTTTAATAAAAACATCCAGGACTGCCCTCAGAAAGAACACTTTTAATAATAATAATCTTTAAAAAAATACTTTTTACCACTTTATATCAATTGTATTTCTCATCATAATCATCATATTCATCCTCCAAAAGATCTTCACGCACTTGCTTATTTATCGCCTTTTTAACAGTTTTCTGCTTTTGCTGCTCTAATTTCTTCTTTTGCAGTTCTTCCTCGCGTTTAACATGAGCGTCAATATTTTTCTTTAAAAAATAATTGTTTAAATACAAATTCTTTAAAGAGAAGCTGGGAATATTAGACCTAAAACAGTGGGAATTTTATCTAACGAAGCTATGAGGACTTCACATTGATATAATGTTTTGATACTAGGAATATTTTTTATGCCCCTACAGCTCCTTTGTTTAACCCGTTAAGGCCAACCAAACCTTCGATTTTTATATTTTTTGTTCACAATGAGTAAACTATAACTTATTTTTCGAGTTAAGTCTCTTGTGATTAAATCTCGTAACTCAAAAAATCCCAGAATCTTTACAGGAGAAAGGAGGCATGGTCTAAAGGCATTGGCTACGATCTAATTAAAATATAAAAATAAATACCTGAACAGTGCTCCTAATAATTTCAAGTTGAAGCTTAGTCACTGAAAAGAATTTATTTAATTCAACTAAAAAATATAAATTACTTGATCCAATCATTTTTTCGACAAGAGAATTAACAAAAGTTAAATAATGAGTATGTTCATGTCTCTCAGTAATTTGTTCACTCAATTTTTCAGCATACGCAAGAAAATCTGCTCTGGTTTCTAAATCCTTAAATGATTGCTCCTTGTGGTCAGCAGCTACGCCTAAAATCAAGAAAATGTTTGTTTTTATGTCAAATATCGATTTTTAACAAAAAATAGAAAAACATAAACTAAAAATTTTACCAAATAAATCCATCCCGGCAGCCGCATCCGCACGCAATTGAGCCTCTCGCTTCTCCTTCTCAGACAGTTCACTATTTCCAAATGATGAAGTCTTAAAGAGAAAATTTTAATTGGATAACCCTTCCCGTTTAAATAAAAGGCGTGGCGTTAAGAAGAAATCATTCTGAAAAATTATTTCTAAAAATGGACCCAGTATCTATTTAGCACTCGTCCAAATATAAATATTCAAAAACCTTTGACTTTCCTTTTGACGCGTTCTTCAATTTATCCTCAGAATACGCTGCCGAATTGCTAGGCTTTTGCTGTTTGTTTACATCAAGACCTAGATCCGCAATTTTCTCAGTTGCCTGAGCAGCAAGTTGAGCACCAGCATCATAATCTTCATCGTCTAAAATTTATTAAATTTTAAAAATTAAAATAAAAAACAAACCCCAATTATCACTCATTTTCGATAATGTGGAAGATTTGTAGCAATTGAATAAAAGGCAATTTAAACTAAAACTTAACTGAAAAGAAAATAAAAAAATAATCAAATTCATAGAATGACTAATTAACGAGAAAATTAAGCGAATCTCTAAAATAATAAAAATAAGACTCTAGTGGAAAAATAAAATCATAATGCCAATATTATTTTTTACGCCAAAAAACACCGGTTTAAACGATCCAGAGTGAAAAATTTTAGAGTAGTTAGATTTGTTTTTTTCCGACCTCCTTCGAATGCTCCCATACTTGTCCGGTTTCGACGACGGAGGAAAAAGGGCAATAAGTGAAGAGAGCCCAAAAATTAGTTCCCACTTATTCGTCAAAAATAAATTTTATAATTGTTTTTTCATTAAAGCCTTAAAAAATTTTTTTTTAATTTTTTTCTAGATATGATGATGAAATTAATTACTAAACTTTTTCGAAGAAGTATTTCATCATTAAATCAACAAAGGAAATTGCATTATCCGGCTGTAGATGATTTGAAACAGTTGAGGGAAAAAGAAGAAAACAAAATTGATGGTGAATTTGTTCCTGTTGAGTGTAAGCCAACTGAATTGCTTAAACAATTGATGAAAGATGATCTGACACTCCAATCTAGAGTTGAGAGAATTCAGAAAGAATTTAAGGTTTTTTAATTTTAAATTTAATTTTTTAAATTAATTCCGTTAGATTTATGAATACTTCTCTTCTTGTGTGCCTACTGCTTTTAGGGACAAACATTGGCTTTAGTAAGTTTTTATTTTTCAAATAAAATTCCTTTTGATGTTTAAGTTTTAGGGTAATTTTTTTCAAAATTTTGGGCAATTTACATATTTCTTGAAATATGAATTGGAAAAAATTTTTCCTCAAGAAGTCTCATTAAATAGACAAAAACTCCACCCATTATTTATGGATAGGGTTGTCGAAATGGACCGACTCGGAACGAACGATCGAGTCGGGCCTAAGATATTTGGCCCGAAAAAGATGCCCGACTCGATAAAAATAAGGCCTGAAAAAATGACTCGACCGTCGGCCCGATTCGATATGGCACCCCTTATTTTAGAAACAAAGGTTTATCAAAAAAATGATTATAAATATACATTTATCCACTTTACTTTTATTTTCGTTGGATTACCTTGTTTTTTTGATTGAGAAGGGGATTTTGTTTTACATAAAAATTTCCATTTTTTGTCATTCAAATTATTTTTTAATTTTCCTGTTTTAATTTTTTTATTATTTTTTAAAGTTTGCTTAGGACTAGTGACATACATGAGCGTGTTCGTTATTTTTATTTTATGGGACTAACAGAGCAAAGAGATGCAAACGACAAGCAAAAAGAAGAAGCTAGAAAAGCTGCAAAGAGTGAAAAATTTATGGAAAATGTATTTCCAGTTTAAAATTTATTTTTAAAATTTATTTCTTTTAGTTGGAAAAATTTGAAAGAGGAGAAATGGCTTATGGTCCTCCTGCTTATACTCTTATGTTTTATAAAAGTATTTTTAATTAATTTTTTAAAAAAATTTTTGGTATTTTTAAATTTTAGGATCAGTAACTGAATTTTATTTTTGGAATGCTATTCAATTAGCAATGCAAAATGAAATGCCTCGTTTACTTTTTGATTGTCAATTTCTCCCAAATATGCCGACTAAAGAATATGGACGTGTTTTAAGATCGGCTGGGCATGCTTTTTTTGTTTGTTTTTGAATTTTTTTGAAATAATTGGTAAATAGGCTAACTTTAAACTAAATTAATTAGTTAATCTAATCTTTTTGATTAGATTAACTTTAATTTTTAAAGAATTTATGGGAATTTGAAAAGAATCTAAAAATTTCATTAGCATCTTTTCATTCTTTTCTGACATAAAGAAAAGTAAATATTAGTGTGCGGCACGGGACGGGATCCCGTTCGGGATTTTGCGGGATCCCGTCCCGAAATCCCGATTTTTAAGCGACGAACGGGATTTACGGGATTAATCCCGCGGGATCCCGTCCCGAAGAAATTTTTGAAAAAAATCCCGTTACGGGATCCCGTGAATTTTTTCTCAATTTACGGGATTTTTAATATTGTTGTAAATTGCTCCTCTGCCCTTACAAAATTCGAAAAATTTTCGCCTGCGGCGCTGGAATTTGAGGAAATCTGGCTTCTTAGCCTTCCAAAATTCTAAAAATTTTCGCCTGCGGCACGTTAAAAATATATCGTAGTACTTCGTTAAAAAATATCGTAGTAGAAATAGAGAGGTCTGGCGGAATCTTAGACCAAATCCTTCGACGGAGATATCGAGGGGTTTAGGTGACTAAGAGTGAAATCAGGGTATGTGGGTTGATTATAGGCAATATAGAGGAATGTGGGCGTGATATCGAGGGATCAAGAGGGATTAAAAGGGATATTGGTTAATTTGGAGGGGTTTAGAAGAAGATTCGAAGGTATACCGAAAATAAATACCGATACCATTAATCTGCCGGTATCACTCCAACTTTCCTTGATCTAATGATCCCCTTAATCCTCCTAATCCGGCTTATCCGACAAATCTCCTTAAATCCTTCGATATCACTCAAAATCCTCTTATAACTGAGATATCAAAATAGTTATCTCCAGATATCCTTTTAAATCACTTAAAACCTTCAAATCCTCTGATCTCCCCGATATTTATTACGTAAAAAATTTTTAGGTGAAAATCCCGAAATCCCGCGGGATCCCGCAAAATTTTCGAACGGGATTATCGGGGTTTACGGGATCCCGTGAATGCGTTTTTTTCCCGTCCCGTAAAAAATTTTTAAAAAAATCCCGTTACGGGATCCCGTGAATGCGTTTTTGCCGCACACTAGTAAATATAATAATGCCTTTCATAATGGTTTATTTCAGAGTATTATCCCGAAACCCCGACCCGGCCCATGACGAATTTTTAGGAAAAAACTCCGACCCGACCCACGAATTCTCGGAGTGCTATCTTAGTTTATTTTGTTTAATTTATGTAAATCTTGATTTTTCTTTATTTTTTTTAAATATTTTTTTCTTGATCCACTGGGTTTTTCACATATCACTAGCTCAATTCATGCTCAATAATTAAGCTTAATAATTAACTTAAAAAATTAATAGAGAGTGAAACAAAGGGGAGGGAACCTAATTATTTTTAATACCTTCCCTAATTTAATTTCTTTTTTTAGACAAATTTGGAAAGTCGGATATCTTTACCTGCATCATTTATAAATGTGAATGAATCAGATCCGAATACAAAAAATTTAATTTCAAAGTTTTTTTAAATTAAAAAATTAAAGAAATATTTCTTTTTAGACACATTGTTCCTTTTGGAACGACAGATTATCACAAACATCAAAGGATCAATCCTGATTTTTATCGAAATGATCCATTTCATGATTCAAAGAGTGCTGGCCGAAGTTCAGATGAAAGTGATCAAGTTATTTACCTTTCCAAGTAATTTTTTTGGTTAATTTTTTGTAAATACCAAGGAGTAAAAGGAGTACTAGAGGTCGATGCGGGATTTTGCTAGACCCCGTCCCGCAATCCCCAGCATTTTTTTTGAATTGCGGGATGCGGGATTTATCCCGCAGAATCCCGTCCCGCAAATATTTAAAAGGAAAATCCCGCATGGGGATCCTGCAAACACGATTTTACCGACCTCTAGTGAGTACCTTCCTTAAGTAATTCTTGAACGAATGATCCTAAAAAATTCTTACAAAATTCAGAATCTAAAATAAAAAATTTTTGCCCCAATTTTTGGTCATTTCTTATAAATTAAGTTGATTCTAAAGAGAAAACATGACGATTGAATAATTAAAAACATTTTTTTCTTTATTTTTAGATATGCAACAGAAACATTAAAAGGCCCATTAATTCATAAAGCTTATATTCTCCCACTTACATTTGACTCTAAAAAGGTTAAAAATAAATTTTTTAAAATAAAATTTTACTTAAAATATTCAGGAAACAGTTGGTGCAGTTAGGAGAGGCAATTATCGCGCAATGTATTTCCCTATTAGAGATTATATTGAGTTGGTTTTTTATAATTAATTGACACGTTTATAAAAGGAGTGTTGGGAAAAGAAATCGGGATTTCGTGTCGACGCAGAAGACCCGCAGACAAAAGACCCAAAACCATTTTTCTTATCTTTATTATATTGTGCTTTCATATTGGGGCCTTATTTATGGTCTTCTTGGGCAGTTTTTGCTGCTGCGGAAGATGCCGGGCATGCCCAATAGGTCTATGTTATTAGTGCAACCCATCGACCTTTGATTCTGTCTGTGGGTCTTCTGTCACTACGCCACAGGATCTTAAATCAAATTTTAGGGTTGCTATGTGAAGGAAATTTTGTCGGGCCCTGAAAATTAGGATTATAAAGAATTCAATTTCTTTTAGTATCATTTAAATTTCCCAAGTAAAAATGTCACTGTAGGAGGGAAAACGTCTTTTAGTTTATCCAAAAAATAAAAATAATATATTTAATAAATTCAAAATAAAATTTAAATTTTAAAGATGGAAATGTGGGTCGTTTAAATTAGCCTTTGTTATTACTGCAAAAATTTTACAAGAAGTGGCTTCCAATGGAGGTGATTGGAAATCTGCTTTGGATTTATATGTTCCAATGTATCGTTAATTTTTGTTTAAAGAAAATAAAAATTTTCTTTTTTTTAAAGAATTAATAGAAGAACTTTTTCTGAGCGAAGAGAAATTATGGGGGAAGAAGAAACGCGATTAGTTGTCGAATCGAGAGAAGAAAAAAGGCAAATAAATGAATATATAGTTCAAACTATTGGAAATCAACCACCTTATTTTGAAACAAGAAACCAGGAAAAATATGGAAAAATTCTGAATGAATATGCAAATAAATTGGAATTTTTTTAATTTTTAAATAAATAAATAATTGTTTTTTCTTTTTGTTAAATAAATTTTAAAAAAATTTTTGAAGGTGTTGGAGACATTAAATCTTTTTCTGGAAGTACTCCTATTCTTTGACCTTGTTTAGGGTTGCCGTTTTCGAGTCGGGCCGACGTCGAGTCATTTTTTTCCGGCCCTCAATTTTATCGAGTTGGGCATCGAGTCTTTTGGGCCAACTATGTATCTTAGGCCCGATTCGATCTTTCGGTCCGAGTCTTGTCATTTTGGCAACTCTAATCTTGCTCTCCAACCCATATACGCTAAGTTTCCTTTCTGTGTTTTCCTCTGTGTATTTTTCTTTCCGGAAAACTCGAACATTTATAATCCGGAAAAGTTTTTAATTCAAAAATGTGTTTTCCGGAAAAGTTTCAGAATTGTTTACCTTAAGAAATCTGAAGAAAAAAATCTGAACCTTAGTAAATCTAAGATAAAAATAATACTAGCTGTGAAGATAGAAAAATTTTTATCCTTTTAATTTTTTTGAAAATAAGAGAAATTTTTTTAAGTTGTTTAAATAATCTTCAATTTAATATTTAGAAGAATTATAAAAGAATTATGAGAGTATTTTATTGTAGTTTATTGTTCACGAATAAAATTGACGCTTTGTTTGACAATCTTAAGGAATAGAAAAAAAATTTTTTTTATGAAATATTTTTAAAGCAAAAATCAAAAATTAATTTTAAATTTGAGGAATGTTTTTAATTAATTAATTTAATTTTAATTATTCTCTGTTTGAGTACTTTCATCTCTCGTTTGTATTAATTTTCTTTTTAATAAACTGACAGACATTAATGGTTTCATTACCTCTTTTGAATAATGTCGAGTGTAGATACATGAAGCTAATGCCCACTGAAAAATAAATTGTAGATTTTTTTAGTTATTTTCAGAAGCCCTTTATGTAGGATTTTAAAAGTGGAGAAAATTCTTTGTGTATTTCGAGGAATTTATAATTGCTAGGATCAGTGTATATAAATTTAAGATTTACTCGTACTTTGTACCTGCTTATTTTTGGCCTTGTACCTCGTACTCGTATTTTGTGCCAGCCTATTTTTTTGCTCGTACTCGTAAATACTTGTATTTCACTCATAAACACTGTTTGGGATAAGAGAGGTAGAAGCGGGACAATTTTGGTGATTAATATTCAGGAAAGATGTTTTATAAAAGAGAAATTTTTCCCTTGATAGTGGAGCGTTGAAAAGATTTCACATTTAATTTGAAATAATTTTTTTGATTGGAAGGACGACTTTGAGAACAAGTGCATTACCCCTATAAACTAGTAGAATCAAATACTCGATACGGGTCTCTAGAATTCTTCCAAAAAAGTGTTTGATCTGTTCTCTTAACCAATCCTTACTCTCTTCCTTTACCTTTCCACTCATCCAAAACCAGACAGCAGCAATCCACAAATTTTCACCCATTAAACCTTCACGTGTCAAAGTTTGTTGCCATATTCCAGCTAATATCAAACATACAGTCATTCCAATAAATCCAAATATACAAATAAATAAATCTTAATTTAATTTCCCCATTTTTAATGGATTTCCCCCACCAACTAGACATCCAAGCGATTTTAACACGTGTTTCTGACCAATCGAACATCCAAGATTTGTGATATGCCCAATGAGTATAGTAAAGGTATATTGCACAAATTGTACTGAAATAAGCCATTCCTGTTGCCAAATAATTCTAAAATAAGGAAAGATACTTTTTGTGTTTGATATTTAAGAGAATCTTCATCTCACATCGTAGATAGTCTAAGATATGTAAATAGAGGTGAGATGCGTGAGATGCATCAAGATGGTATTAAGGAGAGGTGGGTCGGAATTCCGAGTTCCAACGTTTTTTTCTTCCGAGTTCCGATTTCCGACAGTTCCAAGTTCCGGCACCTTCATCATTTCCAACCCCTATCTGGTATACAGAAACGAATCAAGTCGAAATAACGGGAGGACTGGGATATCCGAGATTGTGAGATATATGTAGAGGTTGAAAATTCGGTTTGGGATGAGATAAGGATAAGATAGATACAGAATAACTTAACAACCTACAGAATAACTTATCCAAAAAACAGTTCCCGCCATTATTCCAGCAGAAATGCCAACGGCCGCCCAAATAAGTCTAATTTTCATTCCAAATTTCATTTTTTTTTAATTTATTAAAATTTATTTTAATCTAAAATTTTTTTTAATTAATTAAATTAAATTAATTTTTGGAAGGAATCTTTTTTAAATATTATTAAATAAAAATATTATTTAATAAAGCGGATAATTAATCGTTCTCTTTATTTTCTGTTGATTTAAAAACAAGAAAAATTTTTGAATAGAAAGCTTTATTATTGTTGTTGTACTTTTATTTGTTTCTTCTTTCCTGTAATAACCGGATATTTTCTAACAAATAAAACTGGGACGGCGATCAAAAATTTTTTTTTCTTTTTATTTTAGGGGTAAATAAATAACGGGAATTCTTCTTCCCTCCCTTACATTATTATTAGAAACATACTCTTCCTTTAATTTATATACTTGATTGATTCTTCTTTCAATATAAAATTACATCACAGCAACAATTACCCCATATGATGTAAAAAAGAATATTAAATTTTGATAATGATATAATAAAAAAATTAAAAAAAGAGAGAGAAAAGATAAAAGTGTGGAAAATTAATAGGTATATTTTAAGGTAGTAATTGAATGGGGGGCAGTTTAGTCTTTTACTTTCTGAATAATTTTCGGCACTTCCTTTTAAAATATTTTTTAAAAAGGAAAAAATATTTTTCTATTGGCTAAATTCTATAAAAATTGATAAAATTCTTTTTTTTATTCTAAAAAAGATTAAAGAATTTATATAGTTTTTGCTTGGTTACATTTTTAAATTATGGGAAATGAAGGAATTTTCAGAGGTCAGAAGGTAAGGTTCTGTTTAAACGATGTTTGGTTTAGGTGATTGGAAATTATAAATGTTTTCGGAGCTTACAAATAAAATTAATTTTTGATTTATATATTTTTTGTTCCACGTTTAATACAGAAAAGGTTTTAACAAGTAAAAAAATTATAAGAAGAAAAAATTATTTTTTATCAAATTTAAAAAATAAAAATCTTTTATTAATTTTATTTAATTTCCCGTGTTGCAAAGATTCTCAAAAAATTATTTAAAGATTAAATTAACTACCACATTCTTAAACCACTAGAACTGCTATTTCGAATAAGTGTGTTCTTTTCGTCAGAGTGTAAATCAACTGTTAAAATTTGAAAAATTTTTCGAAGAGTTTTGAAAAATTTGAAAAAAAAAAATTCAAAATTATAAAATTTTCCTTAAAAAATTTCAAAAAAATTTCATTTTTTTTTCAAAATTTTCAAAAAATTTTCAAAAGTACCAGTAGTGGAATTAGATAAATCTTCAGTTTCTCCATCAACAATTTCAAGCCTATCAGATTCAATAATTAATAATTCTCTTTGAGAATCTGAACATAATAAAAGTGAAGGTTGCCTATTAGTAATAAATGGTTGGTGTTTAATTGTTGGTTCCGCATTAAATATTAATTGGGCAAAAAATGTTGATTTTTCTTTAAAAATTTAAATTTGTATTTTTTAAATTATTTTGTATTTTCTGTGTTTTCCGGAAAATATATCAGAATTTATAAAAAAAACACCAGAAATTATTATAGAAGTAATTCTGAAATTCTGGCCTTGTTTTTCGGAAAGGTGTCAGAATTAATTTCAGAATAAGTTTTAAGAAAATTCCGTGTTGTGTTTTCCGGAATTTTTCAGAATTAATAACAGAATGTGTTTTTGGAAAGTGTTTCAGAATTTATTACTCTTTCCAGAAAAATATATTTTTAAATTAAAATAATTTAATAACCATTTAATGCAGTAAGCATTTTTGTTTCTCTACTTTTTGAATAATTAGAAAATAATAAATAAAATGCAAAACCAATTAAAGAAATACAAATTCCTAAAGAAGTTATCTAAAAAAATTTAAAAAGTCAATTAAAATTTTGAAAAAAAATTACAGCAAATTCTCTCCATATTGGCACAGCAACTAAAGCTACACTTATTACCAGAAATAAATAAATTCTGAAAAATTTTTTTAATTAAAAAAATTAATTTGTTACAAAATTTAATAAAAATAAGTAACCTACTCTTATTCTCTAACCAGAACTTTTTTTTTCTAACAACTTATCTTAATCTATTTTTCTTTGTGTAATTTGTCTTTGTTTTATCTGGAATATTTTTATGTATTACTCTTTATACAGAATGTATTTTCCGGAAAACATTAGAGAATTAATAAATATAAATATATCTTCCGGAAAGAAAATATATTTTCCGGAAAATATAATAAAATGTATTTTCCGGAAAGAAAATATAATAAAACACAAGTACGTATTTTCCGGAAAACATCAGAGAATCACTATAAATATATTTTCCGGAAAAATATATATTTTCCTCCGGAAAATATATAATATGTATTTTCCGGAAAGAAAATAAAAACACATATTCGTATTTTCCGGAAAATAGTCAGGAATTGTTTTTAAAATGTACTTTCCGGAAAACATCAGCGAATTAATTACTATAAATATATTTTCCGGATAATATATTTACCGGATAAATATAATAATATGTATTTTCCGGAAAACTAAAATGACATACAAGGGTAGAGGTATTCTAATACAATCCGGATGTACAGGAATATTGTGATGTCTAATAACTAGAAGAGCACATAGTGTAAAAATCTTTAAAAATATTTTTTTAAATTAATATTAAAAAAATTAAAAACTCGTTGCGCCCAAAATCCAAACATAACATAACCAATAAGTGCTTAAATTTTATTTTAAATTTATTTAAAATAAGTCAATTTACCATCCAAATCCCCAACAAAAGAAATAGCTACAGCTAAGGCTGACTTAAAAATAAAAATTAAATTTAAAATTTTTTTTAATTATTTGCCTGTGCAAAAACGGCAACTCTAGGGCTTTCATGAAAAGAATTAACACAACTAAAACAGGCTGGTAAATGACCTTAATTAATTTAAAAAAATTTTATTTTTTGATTTTCAAATTTTGCCTTGTTTAGCTGCTGCATACATATAACGAGAACCACAAAATAAATTAGAATTAAGTGAGCCAATTAAAAGAATTCCAATTAAAAAGGGAATAGCCTCACTGAAGCCGCCTAGAGTTTTTTGGCTGAATAGCTAATTGAAAAAATTGAAATGAAATTTTTTTGAAAATTTTTGAGAATTTTTGAGAATTTTTGATTATCTTATAAATATACTCTCAAAAAGTGTTAACCACCTTCATTAAAAAATTTCAGAATTTTTCGCTAAACATTTCAAGGTTGTACTTAAAAACTAGTTAAGAGTCTTGAAAAAATGGACATTTTCGGCCATAACTTGACCTTTAGTGAACCAAAAATTGTCATGTTTTTAAATTATTTAGTTAAAGATATTAACAATATTTGTGCAAAATTTCAGAATTTTAAGTTCACAATTGGTTGTTTTACAAATTTTCGAATAACTCTTACTGTAACAGTTCTTTAAATATTTTATTTTTCAAAAAAACTTACCGCAGCTACAGCATTACTTGATTTCATTGTCTCTACATCCAATACAGCAAAATAAGCTATATTAATACAAAAATAGGCCTAAACATGTAATTATTTAAATTTTAATCAAAAGATTAATGAATTCACCAAGAAGACAATTAATATTCCGCTAAGTAAAGCCAAAGGTGCATTTCTAAAAAATTAAATTTTTACTGAAAGAAATTAAATTTCTAATTAATTTTTGAAATTTCCAAAATAAAATTTTATTATCCGAATTAAATATAGGTAATCCTAAAAAATGTCTGTTTCCCTATATTCAAAAATTATTCCTTTTAATAAATTATTCTTCTAAAACGGAACAAAAGTATTTCCGATTCTCATTAGCTTTAGTCTAGGGTACTATTTCAAATTTTAGAAGAAAATCCAAAATCCATAGCTTCTCTTCTTTCAGCCTCTCAAAACTCTTACATTAGCTCTATATCTCCTTACACTTCAACTCAAATCCAAACAAAATTTCAAAATTTATTTTTCATTACTACCTTCTTGGTCTATCAATTTCATCTGTTCCATAATTTAAAATATCCCAACCGCTATACTAAAAACTTAAAAATATTTAAAAATCCAAATTTAATAACCGCATATAACCCTCCACATATCCCCATTGTTAAATCACCAGCATTCCATTTAGAATTAGCCATTGGTTCTTTCAATCCCTCATTCCATCCCAACACAAAATAATAATAAAATCCAGTTAAAATGATTATGGAACAGGCTAACTTAATAAAAAGTAAAAAATTATTTTTAACCTCTATATTGTGTACTCCATTGGGGCTTTACAAATTTCTTCTATTAAATAGAGGTAAATAATAATAAAAACAATAATATTTAGTGTGAATCCAGAAATAGCAAAAGATTGGATAAAACTCGATCCTAAGAGCTCTCCAGTCTAGGGTTGTTAAATATGTAGCTCTAACTATTCCATCAAAGACTGAACGTATCTATTTGTACTTTATTTTTGCTAGAACTTCGCCGGCCTTACTAATTTTTATTTTTTTTCTTTGCCAGTCTTATGTTGGATTAAAAAAAATTTTTGTTAAATTAAATAGAGATATTATTTTTTGTTCTCGATTGTTAATCATTTCTGAGAAGGTTCCATCAGTAGGATTTCTGCTACACATTATAGAGGTTAGACTTTAAACCGCTAGAGATTTCTTTTAAATTCTCTGACCAATTTAGCAAAAGTGGCAGCAATTTGAAATCGAGCAGCGAATTTGCCCAAGGCAAAGAAGTTCATCCACGTGATTAACCCTAAAATATGCTTTCTTTATTTAAAAATTTTTTTTGAATTTTTAAAATTTTTTTTTTTCGTGATTTTGTCTTCTCTAAATATTAGCTGAATAAACAAGTGTTTTCTTTTTAAATATTTTTATTTTTTTATTCGTCCTTCCCCCTGAAAAATACTTCTCTTCTCTCAATCAAGGTGACCTTCTATTTTTAAATATTTTTATATTATTTATCAATTTCTTCCTTCACTTTTTATGCCCCCATTTAATTGAATTCCTCTTTAGCCAAAAATAAATCAATTTTATAACGTTAGAAATTGCTTATATTTTTGCTAAATTCTTGTCAATACACTTTTCTTTTACTAGCTAGCAGAGGTGAATCGGAATTTTGATTTCCGACGTTTTTTCCTTTTGATTTCCGATTTCCGAGTTCCTACTTATGTATTTTTACACAAAATATTCTCTTTGATTTAATAAATTAATCGGAAAATTTAAACTAATCTGTAAGGGAAATCTAAACTCCCCTTCCCTCTACTTCCTCTTCATTTCCCCCTTTTTTGGAGACGTTTGTGCTTCCGATCTTTGATTTTCCCCATTATTTATTTAAAAAATAATCACAATTTTCATCATTATTTTAATCCAGTACTTTATAGTATTAAACATTAATTTGTGTGTTTAATTAATTTAATTTATATTTATGTGTACCCAATATAGGGGAAATGTAGGGGAGATGTCTTCACATTTAAATTTATTCTCCCCAACACAAGATAGCACACGTTTATATTTTTTTCTTATAATTTCTTAATGTTAAATGATAAAAAAATATTTTTTTATCATTTTTTGATACAAAATCTAACTAAGCATTTTTCTCTTTCTATGAGGGCAATCTAAACCCCCTCCTCTAAGAAGCATATTTCTCCCTTCCATTTTTCTTCCTATAAAATTTCCAAAAATTAGAATATCCACTAATTAACTATTTTTTTCTCCTTTATTTTGATTAAAAATTAAAATTTCCTTAAAATGAAATAATTTCAGGTTAGAGAGCACAGAGTAAGTTACTCTACTCTTTTCTTTACTTCTGGGTTTTAGGTATATGTCATTTTGGTCTATTTGAGTCTCGAATTATACAAAAAACGGGAACCAAATTTTTGATTAAAAATAATCCTCAAATTACAGAATTTCATATGCGATTTGCCCCTATAAGATACTTTTCCGTTTTCCCTACCGAAATTTTTTGCGGGCTTTTTTCCCTTTTAGCGGACACATTTATTTTAAAAGTTGCGCCGCAACACAACAACAAATCCCTCTTTCTTTTAAAAATAATTTTTAAATGTTTTTAATCATATGATATTTAATTCAATTAATTTTCTAGTTCAGATATAATTAAAAAAAATAATGCCAGCATCTCAAATAGAAGAAATGGCAGATATAAAACCTTGGGACCCTCAGGCGAAAGAATTAATTAAATGGCATGAAGATGAAGTTGAAGATAATTTTGGACATTATAAATTTGCTTCGATTATGTAAAAAAAATTTAAAAAATAATTTTAAAAAAAATTGGAATTTTAGAAAGGAACAACCAAAAATATTAAATTCAATGTTGGAGGCTATTGGGAATACTCCTTTGGTAATTAAAAAAATTTTTTTGGAGGATTTTTAATAGAATAAATAATTTTAGGTAAAACTTAATCGTATTCCAGAAGAATATGGAATTGAATGCAATATTTGTAGGTGTTTTTGTTAAAGAAGTGAAGAAGTGGAAAGGGGGAGGAGGGTCTTTCGAATATGAGAGGGGGGGGGGGGGGGTATTAGGGATGGGATTTCCGAGTCGGGCCGACGTTCGAGTCATTCTTTAGGGCGGCCCGACCGAGTCTTTTTCGGGCAAAAATCCCCGACTCGATATTTCGGACCTGGCCGGATCGGGCCCCCACCCCTAGTTTTTACTTTATTTCGCGGATCTTAGTCTTTATTTTTTTTTCAAAAATTTCTGTTTTTTTCCTTCTATTATCTACAACCTTTTCTAATAATTTTAATACCTAAAAGATGGAAAATGTGAATTTCTGAATGCTGGGGGTTCCATAAAAGACCGTATAGCTGTTAAAATGTTGGAAATGGCTGAGCAGAATGGACGTTTAAAGCCAGGAATGACCGTTATAGAACCAACATCGGGGAATACAGGAATTGGATTGGCTTTAGCATGTGCTATTAAAGGTGGAAAATTTTCCGAAAAATTTCTAAGAAAATTTTTTGAAATTTTGCAGGTTATCGCTGTATAATAATTATGCCGCAAAGAATGAGCCGTGAGAAGGAAGTGACTTTAAAAGCATTGGGGGCCGAAATTATCAGAACTCCAAATAATGCACATTATAATAGTCCAGATTCTCATGTTGGAAGGGCTTTTAAAATGAGAAAGGAAATTCCAAATTCTATTGTGTTGGATCAGGTACTAGTGTAAAATATAGAGTTCTACTGAAATTTAAAAATCATAACTCAAAGGAAAATTGACGGATAACCATAAAATTTTGTGTGGATATCCTCAATAGTCTTTATTAATTTCTTTTAAAATTTCAGAATTTTTGGTCAATTATTTTCAAAGTTATGGTTTAAAATATGACTAAATGTCGACATTTCCATTAATATTACGATATTGTCTACTATACTTTTTGTTATAATAAATCAGAAATTCTGAAATTTTTATAGGAGTTAGCTAGTATTGTTGAGGATATTTCTACAAACTTTTTCTGACAAGACGTTTTTCTTTGACAATTATATAATCGCTAGAAGGGTGCTAGTTAAGCATTGATCTTTTAGGTTGTTGATCTTTTGGGCTAACAGTTAAATTTTCAAAAAAAAAGGAATTTTCACATTTTTCAGTACAAAAACTGTACAAATCCCTTGGCTCATTATGAAAGTACAGCAGAAGAGATTTTAGATGCTTTGGATGGGAAAGTAGATATGGTTGTTATTGGTGTAGGTACTGGGGGTTCTATAACAGGAATTTCAAGAAAGATGCGCAAACGTTGTCCTCAATGCATTGTTTGTCCCTCCTCGTTTTAAATTTAATTTTTGACATTTAAAGATTGTTGGTGTTGATCCACAAGGATCAGTATTGTCTTCTGGGACTCATGGAAAAGAAGAAAATAGTCATCATGAAAGATATCAAGTAGAAGGGATTGGTTACCAATTTGTGCCTTCTGTTCTTGAAATGAGCGATATTGATAGATGGGTGAAGATTTTAATTATTTAAAATTTGAATAGAATGGAGATCTTTCGCCCTTATATCGTTCACAAAGCCACAAAGCTCAGACAATACCCATCACTATTAGAGTTCAAACCCAGTCAAAGGCCGGGTTTTCTAGGCTTTAATTCGGAAACCGAGCCCGGCATTTAAAAAGCTCAAACTATCAGTATATATTTCGTGCCCTTAGGCCATATTGTTCAAATTTACACCTTTGAGTGGGACAATTAAACAAATCATCGTCCCAATAACTTTAATTGCCAGTAACCACCTATTTCGACAACGTAACTAGGTTCCCTTGTTCCCTTCCTCAAGTAAAGGTTCCCCTTCCTTAAGTAAAACCTAAAAAAGGTCCCTAAACACTGCTAAAACCTTTTAAACTCTATATTTTATAAGGAGAAAACAGAAGACGCCGAAACATTCCAAATGGCCAGAGAATTACACCTGAAAGAAGGAATATTGTGTGGAGGTTCTTCTGGTGCTATACTTGTTGGTGCTTTACGTGCAGCTAAGCAATTAAAGAAGGGACAAAATTGTGTTTTTCTTTTACCTGATGGGGCTAGAAATTATTTGAATAAATTTCTTAGTGATGAATGGATGGTGAGGAATTTTAATTTGAATTTTTGACTTATCCCATTGATGGGACTTATCCCATTGATATCCCATTCATTGGGGAAAGTTTGTAATAGGATTTGTAAGAAATGACACAAATATGAACTGGATTTTGAGATTTATGAGGGTAAGGGGTTGGAATGATTGGGATATATGTCTGAGATAAGATAGAGGTTGGGGATATATAGGGGAGAGTTAAGCTTAAATATCATGATAGGATAGATTTGAATAAATTGTTGAGTGGTAGGATAGATGGGGGATGTACCACAGACTCTCCTACTTAATCTTCCTATTAGTTCCAAATGACACATGTATGTGGGATAAATTGGAGATTTGAGCCAGTTAGCTTGCCTAAGTACCTAGCGGGAAGAATTCCAAATACTTTAATAAAACTGATAAAATATTTTTAGTTCTTTTTTATTTTTTTAAAAAGCTTTCCAACGACTACATGCCTGAACCTCCACCACAAAAACCGCTCTACCCAAAAACTACTTTTTCTATACCAGAGGTGTATAATCCAGAAAGTAAAGCAACAGAATCATTCCAAATAGTCCCGAAACCTTGGAAATCAAATCCTTTCAAGTAAATTGATTTTGAAATTTTATCTTCAAAATTCTTCCCCTTTTTAGCCCTCTAAAACGTTGCCGTTTAATTAAAGACATTTCTGAAGCTATTGGAAATACCCCAATTGTTAAACTTTTTAAATTACCAAAAAAGTATGGAATTGAAGCAGAGATTTTAGTTAAATGTGAATTTTTAAATGCTGGAGGTTCTGTTAAGGATAGGATTGCGAGAAAGATGATTGAAATGGCTGAAGCTGATGGAAAGTTAAAGGCTGGTTATAGTACTGTTATTGAACCGACATCTGGTAAATTTTTTGATTTTTGGAAATTTTGGGACTTATTTAAAGGAGGTTAAAAATGGTTTTAGAAGCTGACGGTAAAATCTCTACGGACTGAAAATGATTTTGGAAGGGAAATAGAGGAAGGTAGCGTATTCTGGTCTGGCTAGGGCCAAGACTAGGGTTTTGGATTATGGATCTTCGGATATCCGGATTTTCGGATATCCTTTCTTTTTCTGGATCCGAGTCCGTAATCCAAACCGGAACGAGACTTAGTTCAAAAATCTCGATTATACATAGACAGGAATTTTTCGAGATATCCAGAAACTTCTCAAGCCCGATCTTTACCTAGTTCAAATGATGACTGATCTCCACCCTTATTAATTTCCTAAATTTACTTTTTTTCTCATCAGGAAATACCGGAATAGGTCTAGCTTTAATGTGTGCCATTCGTGGATATCGCTGTATTATTGTAATGCCCGAAAAGATGAGTTTAGAAAAAGAAGTTATCCTTCGCTCGTTGGGTGCAGAAATTGTTAGAACGCCTACTGAGAAAGGCCATGCAGATGCTGATTCTCATATTGGGGTTGCTTTACGTCTTCAAAAAGAAATACCTGGAGCTATCATTCTTGACCAGGTAGAGAACTATCATTAAAAATTGGGGTCTTCAAAGAGCCCCTTCGTCTTATAGGGGGTCCAAACTTTTTTTGGTCCCATCCTTTTTGGTCCTTTTTTGGCCCCCACTTTTTGGTCCCCAACTTCTGTCCAAAATCCTTACTTCTTGTCCTTTGACCATCGCTTCTTGATTATCCCTCAGCCTTGTTCATTCCTTTTCCCCTTTCTCAATTCCCTTTCTCGATTACCTTCCCGGATCGCAGGCACATACAATCCCTCAATCCTTCATCTCTTATAATTTAAAATATATATATTTAACAGTATCGAAACGAAGGAAATCCTTTTGCCCATTACGAAGGAACGGCAGAAGAGATTCTTTGGGCATGTGACGGGAAATTGGATGCTTTAGTTATTGGAACTGGTACAGGAGGTACTTTAAGTGGAGTTGCTAAAAGAGTGAAAGAAGTTGTGCCGGAATGCAAAGTGAGAGGAAAATTGAAATAATACTTTTAATTTCCAATTAAAGATTATTGCTGTTGACCCGGATGGTTCTATTCTTGCCAATCCAGCATGTAAAGAGACTAAAGCTTATGATGTAGAGGGTATTGGATATGGTACGAAAATAAATGTAGAAATTGGGTTCAATCTCATCCTATGAGGAAAGGGTCGTCACGTTAAATCCTGCCATGTCAATGATGAATTCCTCGAATACCAGGGACTGATATCTTCTAAGCATTTTTTAGCTCAATCCCTCTATGCCAACATTTCCCGTCTCCTAACAGCCCCTTACTTTCTCTCTCAACAAAGATTGAACCCTTAAACACAGCTAGAAACGTCTTATCTCCCAAAATTTTATAGATTTTGTCCCAGCGGTGCTAGACCGTTCTTTAGTTGATTATTGGGTAAAAAGCAAAGATGCTGCTTCCTTCTATATTGCTCGTGAACTTATTAAAGAGGAAGGAATTTTGTGTGGAGGGTCTGCTGGATCTAATGTTTTGGCAGCCATGGGGATTGCTAAAATGCTTGGGCCAACTTGCCGTCGTGTTGTGACTATTGCTCCAGACAGTATTAGGAATTATATGTTAGTGTAGTTTTTTGAAAAAAAATATGAAGAAATTCTGAGGAAACTGGAATCTTATGAAGGGAATATGAGTCCTTTCTAGATCACCTAGATGAGGAAAAAAATACCGCTATTTGCAGAGTTAACACCTCTCCAAGTGGGAATTATCTCCCCTTTTGGTCTCTTGATCTTTCAAAAATCCAATCTGCAATTCCCATTGCTTAACTAGTTCTTTTCCGTTAACTCAATAATAATCTTAAGTACTTTGTCTCAAATTAAATTTTTATATTTTTAGGTCAAAATTCTTAGACGATGAATGGCTGAATGCTAAAGGACACATTTCTACTGAAAACTTTGAGTTGACGGAAAATTTTGTTATTGAAAAAGGATCTAATTAATTAAGGAATACTGATAAGATTACATATAATTAAGACTGAGAGATAATATTAAAAGAGGATTAAATTTAAAATAATATTATAGTGATTAAATAAATTAATTAATAGTATCCCAAAGGTATAGGAAATAAGAAATGGAAGGCCTAAAAAATACTTGAATTAACAGGAGTATTTTTCAGACGGGCTTTTCTGCCCTACCCTACTTTCCTGCTCCTGGTAGTAGGGTAGGGCCAGGAAACTTTTTTTAGGCCAGGAATACTTTCCTGCTCTGCTTTCCTTTCCTGGCCCTCACTTTGCTTAGTTTAACAAAATCAACTTTAATAATAATTTAATTCTCTTCACGAAAATATTTTTTGATTGACGCTCGTCCCCGAACTTTATATATTTTTTTTCTACATTTTGAGGACATTTTTTATTTACTTTTTTTATTTTTAATTTATTTTTTAAAAATAAACTTACAAAGCAAAGTTATTCCAAAACATTTTTGTGCTATTGGAGCTAATTTAGGGTCAATTACATATGTTTGTCTTAATCCTTCAAGTAAATATTGCCCAAAAGTTTCTGAAATAACTGCTATTGTTGCTGGATATGTCATTAATACAGAGACCCACATAAATGAGAAGGCTATTGAATACCTTTGAGAAAAAAATTTTTTTTGAATAAACAAATTTTTTAATAATTAATTTTTGTTTGAAAAGGGAGTCCTTTAAACCTTTAAAAATTTATATAATCAAAAAATTAACAATCGGAAAATGGAAAATTTTTTTTTAAATAATCGCAAATAAGTCTGAAATTAGTTTATTAATTAATTAAGGTAGACGCTCTCATTTTTAATATCTCCAACCTTATCCCAACCAGGTCTGTCCGCAAGTGGAAAAAAATTTCCGCAGCTCCGCCAGTTCAAAAAACAACCATGCAATTTACGAAATCCGCAATTGTGGACAGCCCCGATCCCAATCCCTTCTAGTCATTTTTACTCTATCCCTCTCATTTTTCCCGGTTATTCCACAAATTAGTATTTGTTCCGTTAAACGGGGAAGATTCTCAATACCCAAGATTTTTGGACTAAATCCATCCAAGATTTCTATTTTTAACATTTTATTTAAGTTTTTATTACCAACCACTTAACATAACAAATATAGGCAAAATCACAACCAGCTTCTCTTATACTTGTACCCAATTCTATATAACATAAAGAACCTTGAAATAATTTTTAAATTTAAAAATTAATTTATTATAACCAAGAAAAGCAATTAAAGCACCAATAACCCAAACAAGGAGGGAAAGACCGGCAGATTCTGTATGTCGAATTATTGTTGACGGGGCTATAAATATACCAGAGCCTATTATATTGCCAATTACATAACTAAAAAAAAGAGGGATTTTTTTTGTAAAATAATTTTTTGAAGTAAATATAATATAGCATAGCTCTCGGGTCCAAAAAAATACTACTAAAAATCTAAAATAATCTGATCCCATGGCCTATGATCTAAAAGTAGGAAAAGCCATTAATAATAAACCAACTGACCAAGGTTTATCTTTGTTGTAAAGAGTAAGTTTTAAAGCTAAACCTCGTTAATAATAAATAGAAGGGGCATAATTATGAGGTTGGAAACCTTTGGGAAATCCCATTGGATATTAGGGATTTAAAAGGAAATTTAAAAAATGAATTTGAACCTCACTCGATAATACCCTTAGGATTGAAAAATTCTTTTAAAAAATGTATATTAAACAGAGGTTTATCTAATACTGGGTGTATCTAATAGAGCTTCGCCGGAAGTTCCGGCTCCGGTTCCGGCCAAATTTTCGGTTCCGGCGAAGCACTAGTACCTAGAGTCCATCTAGTATTCCATTTAACCTACAAAAAGGGCATTCCTTAAATTATCCAAAAAACCGATTAAAAAACTAACGAAGTAGCTCCAAAATAACCCATCTTTGAAGGTGAAGGTTTATTCTGTTGTTGTTGGTTATTAATTAAAATAGGTATTGGAGTGTCTGTTCTGCTACTTGGGGCTGTACTACAGGAAGGTCTGTGTCCAGAACATTCAAGTAAAGGTGTAGGGGAGGGTGGGGGGATTATACTAGTTAAGGAATCTTCTTCAAAAAGCATTTTTTGACTAAAAGAAGATAATTTTAAATAAATTTAGCCTTTTAATCAGTCTAATAAATTTTGTCCTTTTTTGGATTTTTAACTTGTTTATTATAAATTAAATCTTTTTTATTGCTTGCTGGCTTTATAGCAATTAATTTAATGGAAATAATTCTCAAAAGTCTGGCACTATAAGTAGATTAATAATTTTTCTAGGATTATTGAATAAATTTTTAAATTAATAATTAAAAATATCGTACTTTTCCGTTATAAAACCGCAAACTGAGTACCAGCCGACTTTGAACAGCTATAACCTTTTGATGCTAGATCCAATACAAAACAAATTAGTTTTATATCATTCGAAAGCCTTTGATAAGCTCTGTCTTTTTTCCAACTTGAAGGATCAGGTCTGATCACCAATTAAAAAGTTATTAAACTCAGTTTGCGGTCGTATAACGGAAAAGTACCAAAAATATTTTTAATTTCTTAAGTAAGAAACAATAGAAAACTTTAAAATAAAATAAGAGAGTATTTCCCCAGTCAAAATAAATTAATTTAAAAATTTAGAAAAATCAAAAACATTTTTTTTTCAAAATTACAAATTTCAAAAATTAGAAAGATGGAAAACCTCACGAAAAAAATTTTATATTTTACTAAAATAATTTTTAACGTGAAACAAAAATTAAAAATTAGACAGAGGAAGAGGAAAGGGGGGGGGAGTAGGAAATTCAGCCGCCATTTTTTATTTTTTTTTCCATTCATTTTTCAATATATCCAAGCATCCAAAGTACGTATAAAAAAAAAAGTATAAAATAGTAAATAGTAGTCATTTGCCAGTGCTCTCAACAGAAAAAAATGGGTGGTCGACTAGCTAACTATTTAGAACTAGAGAGGAGAAATATTGGCAAGGATAAAAGGAGAGAATTTTTTGAAAAAATAAAAAGTACGAAAAATTAAAAAAGCTTTTTCTGTCTCTCTGGATATGTTCAAAAATAAAAAAATTGAAGGAAAGTGAGGGGAGAATATTGAAGTTTTTGAAAAAGTATAGGAAATAGAAAAGAAAAATAAATAAAGAGAAAATGGCAAAAGCTTTGGCACACAACTGCCCCTCTAAAAAAGAGAATAGCTTGGCCTTTAAAAATAAAAATAGCTTGGAATTTATTTTTACGTGAAAGCTAAAGAAGTGTGTGACAGAGTAAAGAAAAGAAAACATGAGACAGGATTGTGTATATTCCAAGAAATTGATTTTTGAAGAATTTATCTGTGTATAGCAGGGGGATCTAGCCGATTCCCAAAAATCAGGAATTTAATTTCTATGTCGACTAGATCCCTCATGTAGAGGATCGGGCTAAACAAATAATTGACGTCAGAAAATCAAATATTTGATCAAATATTATTGATCAATTTGATCAATCATTTTATTTGATCAGTTATTTGATCAAATATAATTTTTGGGATGCTTTGGTGTATTTTTTTAATTTTTAAATGATCAAAAATGATTAATTGACTGGCTATAAACTATTAATGTTATTCTAAATTCCTTAAATAATTTTTGATACATATTTGATCAAAATATTAATATTTTTTGATAAAATTATTTTCGACGCTTCTAATGTTTTATTTGTTTTTTTTTTGATTTCTAAAAATTACTTCGATGAATTTAACTAAAAAGACCGTTTTTGGTCATTTTTTAAGCCAACACTTTTAAAATGAACTTTTTAATAAAAGTAGAAGACACTTGTGAATATATTTGCAAAATTTCAGAATTTTAAAAGGAAATTTGGCAATTTTATAAATCATGAAACTTCTTTTAAATTTGGAAGGCGAGATAAATCCACTGATATTCATTCAATTCTCATGATTTTTTAATAAAAAAATTTTTTTAATTTTTCTAATTGAAAATTTTCTCTTCTTAAATTTCTACTAAAATACAAAAAAATCTTTTTTTTTAATAAAAAAAATAAAAGTTTAAATAAATTCAATGCTTTTTTGCCTACTTTGTTTGCTTTTTAAATGAACAAAAAAAATTTTTTTAATTATTTGCCTAGTAACTATTTTTAACTTAAAAAATTTTTAAAAATATAGGTATGTATAAATTTATTTTATTCAAAAGAAAAATTAAATTTTACAACAAAAAAATTTAAAAAAAATTAAAAAAGGAGAGAATATCCAAACCATAATTTGAGTAATTGTGAGTGTAGATTTTAACTGTTAAAAATGAAAGAATGAATTTAGGTGGATAAATCTTAGAAAAAAAAAAGAAAGAAAATATTTGGAAGATTAAATAAATAGACAAAAGTAGGCATATTTTTTATTTTAAAAATTAAAAAAATTTTCCAAGAATTTAAAAAAAAATTTTTTTAACCCCCCTTTTAGGCGCAGGAATTACTAAAGCGTTTATAGAATACCAAAAATCGCGCATGTAGAAAGTCTGAATTATTTTAAGAAATTGAAAAATAATTGTAGCAATTAAAATTTAATAAAATATATTTTTGAAAAAAATTTTTTGGAAAAATTCTAGAAATTTTGAAAATTATTGGAAAATTTTTTTCTTATTATTGGGTGTGATTTTTGATTAAAAAAATTATTTTTTAGCCTTTTCACTCCTTAAAACGACCATTTTTACAATTAAAAATTAAAAAAAAATTAAATTAAAAAATTAATTATCGATCAATCAAGCCGCTCTACTATTAACAGCCTTCCATTGTTGTGAAAATCTTTCATCAAACCCAGGAGACCCTGCCCAACAACGAAAATGATATAAATTTCTAACTAGTTGTTTTGGCCTTTGGGCCACTCCTAAGGCTGCTCTATTCGCATCTTTCACACAGACTTGAAGACTAAAACAATTTAATTGTCGTTTATCCATTACTAAATTTGAACGAACTCCATAATTGAGAACTCTAAAAAAGTTAAAAATTTTAAGAAAAATATTGAGGCCTAGGGACGTTTGGGCGCAAGAATCGCTACGGCGCAAATGCTTATAAAACAACTAAAATGGCACTTAGAAAGCTGAAATTTTCAGAAAGGATTCTTAATACTGTTATCTAGAGTGTCTAAAATTTTCAGAATTTTAGGGTAAATATTTCAAAAGTTATGATCAAAAAGGTCAGAAATTTGTGGAAAATTATGTTCTTTAGGTACTTCCCCAGCCAGAACTTCTGAAATAATAAACCAGAAATTCTGAAATTTTTAGTGAAGATGGAAGACACTATTAGAAATATATTTGCAAAATTTCAAGATTTTAGGAGCTCATTTGACAATTTTACAATACCTCAATCAACCCCCATACCTACAAGTATTATTTCCGAAAGACTTGCCTAGCAAGATGGATAGATTCATTTTCTGTAGTTCTAATAATTATAGTTTTTGCATTAGGCCAATATAGATTGTCTATTTTGTCGTAGGGATCGTCCTATAAAAATTTAGGGAAAACTTTTTTTTTCAATAATTTACAACTACTAGCCTGTTGTTGTTGAAGTTGGGCAGCTAATTTATTTAATGCTGCATTCATTTGGCATTCATCCACAGCTTTTACAAAACATTGATAGGCAAACCAACGATCCAAGTCTATCGAAGCTAACTTGGCTACAATCTAGGAATTTTTTAAATTTTTTGGGATTTAAAATTTTTCACCAAAATTCGCCCATTTTCAAAGACGTTAACACAAAGGATTAAATAAACACACCCTTTCTTGATAAAAATGAACATATCATTCAAATTTGCTTTATTTCACGTGAATAAAAATATGAGAGTGCTTTTGGGTTTTTTAATCCTTTATTTTCTAATCCCTATAATTTAACGGGGAACAATTAAAAAAGATCGCTTATTCATTTTCTGATTAAAATTAAATTTGTATTTTTGAAGGGAAAAAAAGAATCAACACATTATAAACTGCCCAAATGCTTGAATCGAAGCATTGATCAAATAATTTTAATCAGAATTTGATCGACACTTAGATTTTTTATAAGTCAAAACTTTGTTTTGTTCTCTAAGAGAAACTTTATTCGAACCCTTCACAACTTTTTTCAACCAAAACCCCCTCCTTCCCTTCCCAAAACAACTTTCCCCAACAACCCCCCCCCCCTTCCTTTCTTTCTACCAGCACAAATTCCCCAACAAAGACACCCCCCCCCCTCCCCTCCTTACCAATTCAAAAATAGGAGCATCCAAACTAATTCTATTCAAATTAATTCTAAATTCTCCAATTAAAGAACACAAAACAGCAATTTCCCTGCTTGTCCATTGTTCATCTACCAAAATTTCTAAACGGAATTTCGGGTCCTTTTTATCAGATTTTTCTTCTTCTTTGTCTTCTTCCTCCATTATTAAATTTGTAATTCTTCCCAAAACTTTACATCCACTCGGATGTGTATGCCACAATTCCCCTTCTACTATAGCTGAAGTACAATTATTATCTGCACTACAAGAATTTGATAGAGAACAGGAAGAGGTTGTAGAAGTGGCTGATAAAGTTTCGAATTTGACACGTCGAACATCTAATTCTGTTACACACTGAAAATTATGAAAATATTGGAGATACGAAAGAGATTGTGTGATATTTAGGAGTAGGGTTATCAGTTCCTGCAAATTCTTCGGATATCCGAAAACGAACCGAAAAATCCGCGGTTTTTCGGGTTCGGTCCAGAACCGACAACCCTATTTAGGAGGGTAATCGAGATATGATGGGATAACTACGAGTAAAAAATAAGATCTAAATTCAGGTTGTGATAAGGCATAGATGGGAATATCATTTAGAATTTAAGCAAAATATTGGAATATTAAGGATAGGGATATCAAAGAGATTGGAAAGGAATATTTGAAAAAAGACTTACAGAAATTTTATTTTTAACATATTCTGCTGCTTTTTTACAAACTCTTCTTAAACGTATCAAATCAAAAGGACTTTCAACTGCATCAAATACACGACACAATAAGGCATCATGAAATAATTGTTCAGAATGTAATAAACAAAATAGTTGATCCGAATTCTAAATTTAATTTATTTAAAAATCAAATATAATTATTTTCACGGCTAGGAAATTTTTGTTAGAATCGGTGTGGGAAGAATTCTCAGTCATAAAAAATGTCAAGTCACCTATAAAAAATTTGTGGGGCTATTCTGAGTTTATTGTCCTAGGATGAAGCTTTGTAGAATCCAAGAAAAGAAGCTCAAACTAAAATTGTTTTTGGCAGGATTAATGGAAAACTCGGTCATGGCCATCAGCCAGCTAGTTACTGACGATTTATAACTGTGCTCGGAGAAGTTTCATTAAATAACCCATGCGTATCGTAAAACTTTTTTAACTACCCTAGGTAATTATTGTTTCGACCTTCCGTTGGAGGGAATAATTAATTAAGGGAGGGCATGTTTGAAATTTGAACGTGTTTTGTGGTAATTGATGTGGGGCAATTATTGTTTCAACCTATCGCTGGAGGGAGTAATTAATAGAAGTAGGGCAACTAGTTAAGGAGGGCAATTAATACAGGTTATACGGTATATTAAGTAAATTAAGGGACTTATTCAAGATTTAAACTTTATCCCTAAAATTTATTTTAAATTTATTTCCACCTTCCTTCCAGTCCAACTATTCTTTTTTAAAGTTTGTTGATCTCCAGAAGGTATAGAAGAAGAAGTTTTACGAGAACAACACCCACCTACTCCCAACCCTTTTTTGTTATTATTTAAATTATTTATTAAATTAATTTGTGTAAATTCGTCGTGAAATAAATCTTTCTTCTGATTGTTATCTTTATTTAAATTTCGTTGTTTCTGTTTTTCTCGGAAATGTTGAAATATTTTATTTAATGAATTGGGCATTTTTTGGAAAATTTAAAAAAATATTTATTTTAACTAGAAAATAAAAAATATTTAAATTTATAAGTAAAAATTAAATAAAATTAAGCAAATTTAGAAAGAGTATTTATTTTCAAGAAATTAGTTTATATTAATGAAATTAGAGCGACCTGAATCTAAATCCAAGCATTGATTTTTGCCTGGATCTAGAGTCAAGATTAAGGCATTTTTCAGTGTTCCTTGATTTTTTCCCTTGACTCGAGGTCAAGAATCTGGTCAAGCCCCCCCCCCCCCCCAACCAAACTCAGGAAGTTTCGTTGGGGGGCTTTTTTAAAATTTCCGATACTATCTACAAGAAATATATCCAAGAAAAGATTTTAATAATTATTTTCCTTAAATATAAAGTAAAAGCAAAGATTTCTGGAAACAATACAAAAGAATTGAATCTTTTCGGAAGTTAATTAGTGGAAAATAAACCCTTCCGGAAAAATTACTATCTAAATTAATCATTCCGAAAAAAAATAAATTTAAAAATGTGGGGTTTAAAAATTACTATTTTTTAATATTAAGTAGTGGGGAAAATTAAAAGAAAATTTGCCTTAAAATTTGAAAAAAATTGCCTTAAAAATTAAAAGAAAATTACGTGAATCATACTGATATTGATTTAAATTTAGACTGGTACAAAAATAAAAAAAAAAGTTTAAAAATAAATTAATTTATAAAAGTTCTCTTTAATTAAATTAATTAATTTTGAGATCCTCTTTCTCTCTTGAAAAACAAGAAAAATAAATTAAAAGGTAAACACTTTTAGTTAAAAAATTTCTTAAAGGTAAAAGACTAAAAATATATTGGCCGAATAAAAAAAAGAGTACTAATTGTAATTTATAAAAAAGATATTTTTAAATTTTTAATTAAATTAAATAATTATTTTTGAAATTTATAAATAAAAAAGGAAATATTTTTAAAAAATTATCACCTTATTCTTCAGATCTTCTCTATCAGAATCTATTTCAATTTTCAGTTTACACGATAATTAAGCAGTGAAAATTTACTTGGAAGTTGCCTAGTTTCAAAAATACAAATTTTTGTATTTTACCTCTAAATCCTGTCAATATAATGACTCTGATTTTTCGCACAAAAATAGGCAACTCTCTTAGGAACATGAGGAAAAATAAATTTTATTTTTAAAACATTTTGTTGAATTTTAATAATTATTTAATGCGCTTCCCAAGGGGGTCAAAACTTAGTTGAAAACCTAAATAATCTAAGTTTCCGGAAAAATATTATTATTTTAACTGCAATTTTCCGAATTGATTAAATCAACGGGAAATCTATTTCTGGAAAATCTATTTTTAAATAATTTATGAGTATACTAAAAAATAAATTTTTTTTAAAAAGGGAAAAATCGGAGAAAATAAATATTTACTTATACCTCTACCACAAACACGCGCAAATCGATAAAAGAACACAAAACTTGTGATTTTTATGATTATGAGTTTAAAATATTAGGGGGAAGTATAAGGAGAAGAAGAACACACAAACATGCGTTTTGATTTTTTAAATAATTTTAAGAAAAAAATTTAAAAAATATTTAAAATAAAATTGCTGAATTTCTCTCATATTAAACAAACTTAAAATTGAAACGTGACAAATTTTCTAAAGCTGTGCGCCAATTTTTATAACGCAAAACTGAATTTCCGGAAAGAATAATTTAGAAGAAATATTGAATTGTATTTTTATTGTATTTTTCCGGAAAGTGTTTTGTCCGGAAAAGTTGTCCAGAAAGACAACTGTGTTTTGTCCGGAGTGTTTTTCCGGAAAGTGTTTTATAATACAAAAACCTATTATATTTCCGGAAAGTTTATTTCACTTTTTGTGTTTTGTTTCCGGAAAAATACATTTTTTTATATTTTTCCGGAAGTGTTTTGACCTGAAAAATTTCCCGGAAGGACAACTGTGTTTTGTTTGGTGTGTCTTTTTCCGGAAGTGTTTTATAATATAGAAACCTATTATATTTCAGGAAAGTTTATTTAATATAATTTCCGGAACAATTTATTATAATTAGGTATATCTTCTGTATTTTCCAGTTTTATTTCCGGAATATAAAAGGTGTTAAAAAATATTCTTTCCCTAAAATTTTAAATCGAAAATAAAAAATTGTAAGTATGATTAATTTAAATTAACTTAAAATTTTATTTTAAATAATTTAAATAAATAAATCCAAAAATGTCTCCTTATCTTAAAACGCTTATTATAAAATTTATTTTTGTTGTTTGTTTTGATAATCGCAAGTTTTTTTTATTCACACACCTATATTGATACAAAATGATACTTAAATAAAGTATAAAGTATATAATACAGAAATCAGTCAAAGAAATTTTTGGAAAATACTTTTAGTTCCCTCCATTTCAGAAGAAGACCCTAGTGGACAGAACTAGGCTAACTTCAAATTTTTTAAAAATTAGAGACGAAAGCAGAAAAACGTGAGGAAAGAAAAACGTGCGGACATAAGGAGGATACATGAGTAGTCAAAACTTGATAAATAAAAATTAATTATTTAATTAAGAAAAGTAATAAATTAAAAATAATTTTTAAAAATATGTGGACCATAGAATAAAATTTTATTATCAAATTATGAGCCTTTTTGAGACTTTAAAATGAGCCTTTAATTAAATAAAAGTAATAAAAAATGCACAATTTTCAAGGATAATTTATATAAATAATTTTTTGTTTCTATCAAAGTTGTGTAATATTTTTAAACAAATAATTAAAACTACAAAGAATGTAAATTTAATTAAATATTTAATTATTTAATAAACTATAATAAATTTAAATTATTTTAAAACGTCACAAAATTGTTTTAAAGAAAAAATGAATAGAATTGAGTTAATAAAATATTAGGTAATTTAAAAAATAATTTTCGGGGGAGAGGGAAGTGAGTGGGAGGAGGCGTTTAGACGCGAAAGGCGTGACGGCGCGGGAATTTATAAAATTGCCAAAATAGAACCTAAAATAGTGAAATTTTGCAGAAATATGCTTAATAGTGTTAACTATCTTTTCTGAAAATTTCAGAATATTTGGTTGAGTATTTCAAAAGTTATGGTCAAAAAATGCAGAAAATATGAGCATTTTCTCGAAAATTTTTTGAAATTCTGACCGAAACTAGGTCCAAAAATTCTAAAAATTTTAAGAAATGTTAGATAACTGAATCGATGATATTTATTAAAATTTCACGTTTCTAAGTACCCCTTGACTATTTTACAAAAATCTGCGTCTCGACAACCTTCTAGTTAAAAATGTCCCTTACCCAACGTTCCTTATTGTGCCTTCCTTTAAGAATTTCTTTGAATTTAAAAAATAAACGAAATTTGTACCAATTTATATATTAACTAAAAAAATGTGTTGTTGATCATGTAAATAATTAAAATAAAAAATTTTTTTATTTGGGCGACGGTGTCATTTTTATTATTTATTTAATTTATTTGCGCATCTTCCCCTTGTTTCTCCTAAATATATGGGTGGGGGAAGGAGGAAAGAAAATAAAGAAATAAAATAAAAATAAAGAAAAGCACACGCAATAAGCAACTAAAAAGACCAATTCCCCTCCGGCTTCTGATAATAATTTTATTTATTATTTTACATTCCCACCCACAAATCAACGAAAAGACAGCGATTATTAATAAATATAGCAATGACAAGCAAACCAATTTTTTTGTAAAAAAAATTTTTTTTCGGTAAATTTTCTTTGTTTGGTGATTTCTCCTATTTTTTATAAAATTTTAAATGTCTACAAAGAAAAAAAAGAAGAATGAGAATTTTGCCTTTTAAAAGAATTTCTTGATTTGTAACACTTTTTGTGGTTTTCCGAACAAAAATTTTTTTGTAAAATTCTTTTCTTTGAATTTAAATGTCGGAGTAATTGCTTAATTTCTTTGAAAAATAAAGGAAATACTAAATAAAAATAAATAATTTATTTATTTGATAAAAAAGACTATGATGTGATGTTTATTTATTTATTTAGTCATTGAAAATGGGTTAAAGCCAAAAGATTAAAATTTTTAGTTTATGCCTTAACCTCGGTAATCTATGGCTCAAAAATGATTGGGACTAAAGAGATCAAAAATAATGTTTATCGTTACCGATTGATCTATAATTTGAACTTATCAGTTGACTGTCTATAACATTTAATCCTTACAAACAGTCTTACAACCTTCTAAAAAGCCTCCCCTTCTAAAACTATCATGGGACATATTCTCTTTTGTCACTTTTTGGCATTCCTTATGAGTAGGGGTTTTTTTAAGGGTTCGGGTTTTCGAATCAGGCCGACGTTCGAGTCATTTTTTTGGCCCCATTTTTATCGAACCGGACAAATTGAGTCCTTTTCGGGCCAAAAATCATAGCTCTATTCGATCTTTCAAACCGAACCGGGCTCCCAACCCTAGTAACAATATCAGAATTAGGGGTAGTCTTTATTATCTCTCAATAATGTCGCTATTCTTTGACTCATAAAATATAAATAAAAGAATAGATTAAATTAAGAAGATAAAAAAAATTGCCAGAAAAACTGATAAAAAATAGCTTTCGTAATAAATCATAATTTTGAAGAAGAAATAAAGTAACTTTCCCATAGTTATTAAATATGTTGACCTACTATTAATATAAACTAAACTTTTTTTTTGTTTTCCTAAAATGGCATTGAAAATGATTGATGGAAATTTAGAAAAGATTTTAAAAAAGATTGATCAAAAAAAATTTTTTGAATAAAAATATTTTTAATTTTAATAATAATTTTAAAGAAGGGAAAGGGGGGTTGGGGAAAATGAAAATATTTTTTTTCAAAAACAAATTTTTTTGTGAAAAATAAACAAGTCAAACAATAACAAGAAAGTGTGCCATTCACAATAAAATATTTATGATTAATTACAAACAATCGGAAGAAATGATCTTTGTGAGAGCAATGGCGTCAACAATGAAAAGAATGCGCAAAAAAGGAAATGATTTGACTTGGTATTCTATTAAATTCCATAAATATAATTCAAAATTCCACAAGAGCATTAATAGTGCAAGGAGAAATATCAAAATAATCTTTCATTAGTTAACAAAAATTTTGGGAAAAGAATGCAGTAAGTAGAATATGAAAAGTTTTGAATTTCGTAAATTTGCGCCAAAATGGGATTTTTTGTCATTTAATTCTTAAAAATTTTCTCTAACCGTCTCTGCACAGTCTCTAACTTTTTTTTAAAATTTTTCGTTAAAATTTTTCTTGAAATTTTTTGTAAAATATTTTTTGTAAAAAGTTTATTGAATCTTTTTTTTATCAGAATGATTAAACGGATTTCTCATCCCATTATTCGCCAATTCAATGCAAGTGCCAAAGCTTTATTTCAACATGGTTAATTGTTCTCTTTTTATTTTTTAAATTTTTATTTTTAGAAAATGTACTCCCCTCTTCTTCTCAAAATGTAGCAAAAACAAATACAAAATTTATTAATAAAACTTCATTACCCGATTCAATAGAAAGAGATTGTCAAAAATGGGAATCTGCATTGAAAAAAGACATGGAATCGAAAATGGAGAGTCGGCAATGGCTTGATTTAAATTTAAAATGTTTAGACGTGATTTCACATAATCGTTCTAGCAAATTGGTTATCTCAACAGAAAATATTTCAAAAAATGTTTGTTTTTAAATTTAATATATTATTTTTACTTAAATTTAAAGGGAATGTTAGAAAATTAAATAAAATCCCCTTTCCATTTTCTATTTCCAAAATGAAAATTTTTTGGGTTTTTTGGTCGTTTTTGATCAGTTAAATAATTTTAATTGAATTCAAAATGAAAGTAAGCAAAAATAAAATTTAAAGAAAGCTAAACAAATACCGGTCCCCATAAGCGGGTTCGAACCTTAGAACCCTCCAAGTCAAATCTAGCACTATCGCACTGGTAATATTGAACCTGACAGACCCCCTTTTTCCATCCCCGATTTTTACCTGTATTTTTACAGAATGGTCAGACTTTTTCCTTGATTCCTTCCCAATTGCAAAAGTTGTTCCATTTTTTATAAATTGAGAACAAAATACCCCTCTTACTTTTTTGCATATACTTTCACTTGTATAAAATTAAATAATCCTTTTTGTTTGATTTCTGGCAAATATAGAAAGGCAATTGGGATGGGAGAAAGGAAAAAGTCTGACCATTCTGTAAAAATATAGCGGAAAAACTTGGGGAGGAAAAAAGGGGGTCTGTCAGGTTCAATATTACTATCGCACTTAACCACAACTGCCTCTGTTGATTTTCTTAAATTTTTTATTTAAGCTAACTTCAAGCCAAAAGAACGATCTTTCTCAAATACTCAAAGTCAATTCTTCTATTTATTTACAAATTCCAAATTTTTCATCAGATAATTGTGAACATTTTATTTCTCCAGGAATTGTTGTTAGTGTTTTTAATGGAGGTTTTTCTGTTTATTTTAATCAACCAATTGATGATTCAACTCCTTTTTTGGTTTATTTTCTCTCCAATTTTGGTAATAGTGTCGTTTCCAGTCCCCTTCTTTCTCTCCCCAAGTTTTTTTCCTATATTTGTACAGAATAGTCAGACTCGCTTTTCTAAAAGGACTAAAGGACCTTAGAAAGAAAGGCAATTGTGATCGAAGAAAAAGTGCGACTAGAAATTACACTATTACCCTAAAGTTTCCTCTTTAATTTTCCTCTTTTCTAGAACAAAACAGTCCAAATTCAATTATCTGGAACAAAAACAAATATTTCCCAATTAGAGTTTTTAAGTATACGTGATACTTGGCATTCTCTTCCTGGTTATGATTTGCTTCTTTATGCTTACAAGTGTAATAAAAGAGAACAGGGGAATAGATTGGTTGATTCTTTGAAATTTATTGAAGGGGAGGTTTGTGATTTTTAGAGAATTTTGAGAATCTAAAAATAATTCAAAAAGGATTTGGAAGCAATTGAAGAACGTTTAGCTTTTGCAGCTGCTCTTAATTTACAAAGAAAACTTGTTTCAATACACATTGGTGGGCAGACACGGACTAGAATGGTGGCAAAGTATTTGGATATTATTACAAAAAAGGTTTGGGAATTTTTTAAAGAATTTAAGAAAATTACTGGCATTATACTATTAGAATTTGGGGAGACTAATTCTTGTTAGTTGTTAATCTTGTGGAAGACACACATCGTCCTCGCTTTCTTTAAGCTCTAAAAATCAGACAGTTCCTTGTTGTTTTTTCCTTCCAGTTCAGGGCAGTCCAAAATTCTTTTATTTACGGCTCCACAATATTTCCCTTAAAAATCCATTTAACAATCAAAAGAGAGACTCGTATTTTCAGAATTCAAATATCAAAATCGCAATTATCTCCCCTCAAGTCGATCAACTCTATTTAATGAGCCGTTATCACGAAATGTCTGGAAAAACCAATTTTGTTTCAATTCAAAAATTGGATTTAAAATTACTACAAAATATCGTTAAAAATCCGGATACAAGAGCCCTTATTGAAAGAAAAAGTGTTGAACCTGGGAAAGGACTTTTAGTGGAAAAAGCAGTTAATCAAGGAGATAATATTGTTTTTATTGGACATAGCAATTCTTTACTAAAAATTTTTATTTCTTCAAAAATTGTTTTTGATGTTGTTATATTAGATGGTGCTGAAAGACGCTCTGAAATTGGGTCATGGCAGCCTATTCTTTCTTTGGTAATTTTTAAAACTTTCAAAATCCAAGACAGACTTGATTAGTTTAGGAAGGGAAGGAAGGATATTTAAGGGTAGGGAACAGGGCTGGACGCAATTGAAAAAAATTTCCGCAGCCGCAATTTTAATTTTAAAATCCGCAATCAAAAAAACACGCAATCCGCAATTGCAACCAGCCCTACTAGGGAAGGACATCCGATATTTAAGGATAGGGAAGGACATCCTTTTTCTTGTCATTAGAAATTTGCTCGTATGCCAGGGGGATTTTCCAATAAAGTTTTTCGAGTTACGAAACCTGGGCCCATAAACTACCTAAACTGAATAATCTTAACCTTCTTTCTTGCCACACCTTTAAAAAAATTTAAAAACAAAAACTTTCAAGTCCTCATGTGCTCGTCTTTTTGGAGATTACACTCATCTAAAAAGAACATTTACTCCAATGCTCAATAGATCACTAATTCAAAGGTTAGATGAAGGTTTTGGTGAAGAAGTGAATTTTCATATTACCAATCCCCGTGATGATCCCATGTAATTTTTAAAATTTCTAATAATTTGTTTTTATGTTTTGAGAAATAAACAATATATAAACAAATAAATTTCGTATAACCTAATTCCAACAAGTAAAGTATACATTTTTAAACGAAGCCTAAAACGTTCTAATGCAAAATGACTATTGGCTATTGAGTGAAAGTAAACAGCTTGAACACAATGTTTTGACATCTGAAAAAATTAGAATAATTTGTGTTATGCAAATTCTGTAATTGTCATTCCCGTGTACTTATAACCAGTGCTGGGTATGACCCCGGAAGCTAGCTCCGGAGCTGACTCCGGCGGAGCCGATATTTGAAGGCAAGAGTCGAATCCACAAAATGACAAATACCCAACACTGCTTATAGCCAAAAGACGAAAACAAGTTTTAAGTCTTAATTTTCTCGGAAGTCAAGAACCCCTCTCCAATCCCTTGAATACACCCTTAGAATGAGCTAACTCTAAATATCTTATTGTTAGTCAGTAGAAGAATAAGAAAACAAACCTCGGTAAAACTATCCAAATTATGTTCGGCTTTTAATCTAAGAGCTATACTTCTGAGCAAATCATTAGTTTTTAGTAAAAGTAACATTTGACGAGGGAGGGAGTCAAGCAGTAAAGATATTTGAGGAATTAAAGAAGCAGCAAAATTTTGAACTCTTCTAATCTAAAAATAACTTTAAAATTAAAATTTATTCCAAAAACAACAAAACCTCATGTTCATTTCTTTTTGTTTTAATAATTCCTTTACTAACAGCATCCCAAGAACGCATAGAAACAACACATGCTAAAAGGCCATATTGAGAACCAACATTCATTCTTTCACTGATTTTTTGGATTTTATTCTTGTCAGCCTTTAAAATTGCAAGCCAAAGATGGGCATAATCAATGCGTAAATCATCTGGTAGAGTCTGAAATAAATAAAAGGAAATGAGTTTAATTGCAAAGATGTTGTTCCTTTTTCAGGCAATTTTTGCGGACTTTTATTCACTGTCCACAAATTTTTTTATTCACAAACAAACGTCTCATTGAGAATTTTTTTTTCTCTCTCGACATATATTTTTCGAAAGGCCTTTAATATTACAAGAAAACTTACAACGTAAAGTCCGTGATCGAGTAAAATAATTTCTTCATTCCCGACAGGAGTTAATCTCACAAAAATATTGCCAGGGTGTGGATCGCTGTGGACATATCCATGTTTAAATATCATTTCGCTGTAAATTCTACCCAACATTTTACAGACCTTAAAAAATAATTTTTAAATTTTTCTAATTTAATTAAAAACTTACTTTATGCCTATCTATTCTATTAGCTTTGAAATATTCCAAATCATTAATTTTTCCACCTTCACAGAATTCCATAGTGAGAACCATATCATTTGAAAGTTCGTAATATATTTTTGGGATCTAAATGGAAAATCTATTAATTTATTGGAAGAGTTTGTGGAAGAATGATCAACTGAAAAAATTTTAGAACTAGGCCATTAAGTTCTGATCAGTCGTGACTCGCGAGTTATGGTTAAAAAATTTTCAATTTCATATCTCATTGACAACTTTAGCGAATCCAAGCCCGTAGCCAAGGACCAACAAACCTTTAAAAACGGCAGATGTGCAAACATTTGCCTAACTCTGTCAGCATTAGCAGCCTCATAAACAAAATCCAATTCAATAGGTAAATTCCTTTTCATTTCATTAACTAACCAATTTAAACGAAGATTTGGGAATACAAAAGCAGCAATTCCAACAAATAACTTTTAAAATAAATTTAAAAAATAAATTTAGAAAAAACCTCCATTGTAACTATATCAACAATACTACGCGCTCTAACATGGGGGTGTTGAAGTTTGACAGCAACGTATTCACCGGTGGATTTTAGACGAGCTTTGTGAACTTGAGCAAGTGAAGCTGCTCCACAGGGTTGAGAATTAAATTCATCAAAGACATCGTTGAGCTAAAAAATGATTTTTTAGAATAATTATGAGAGGTGTCCTCCTCAAAAAAATTTAGAAAAAAATCCCACAAAAAATTTACTCATACATTTCTCGAAGTGCTCCTCTCAAAAACAGATTTAATTTCTTCAAAAGAGCTTTCTGGAGCATTTGAATGAAGAACTGAAAGAGTTTTTGTGTAAGGCTCGGGTAGCAAATATTGAAGCGAAGCAATGTGTTGTCCTACCTAAAATCCTTTTTTCTTTTTAAAAATAGAAAAGATTTTAAGCAAACCTTAATAAAAACTCCTCCATTTCTCCTCGCTAAAGCAAGCAATCTATCAGCTCCGCGTTGATGGCATTTTTGTATTTTTTCGTCATAAATTGGAGAATCAACTTCCAAACTCCAAAGACTCCATTTGTAGTCAATCATTGTTTGGCTAGCCTAGGAAATAAATTTTGGAAATTAGAAAAAAAACTTACAACAACTCCAACTCGAGCAAATCTAACAATTCCAATATGTGAGAAAGAATAATCATTTTTGTGGAGATAATAAATTGAGGTTCCTGTAGTGAGACCGACTAGGGAATATTTTAATATACGACCAACAAGCAGCCGCATACCAAAAAAATATAAAAATAGCTTAATTAAAAAAAAATTAATTTATAAAAAAAGGGCTCCCCTACAAAGGATAGATGAATTAAAGGATAGATGCGCTAAAGGATAGATACGGGCAAAAACTATCAAAGGATAGATGCATCAAAGGATAGATGCGCTAAAGGATAGATACGGCCAAAAGCGATCAAAGGATAGACAGCTGAATAGGTCGTTTGAGTCTGGACAAAAATGTTTAATAATCTGAATCTTCGCTGGAAAAACTGTTTTTGTGCTGCTACGGAGGGTAGGCCGGGCATGTTCTTCGCTACACGATGGCCGTGTTTCGCTGCGGTCGTTCTCGCTTCGCTCGCGGCGACCGTAGCGAAGCGGCGGCCGTCGTTCCGCTCGACATGTCCGGCTTCATCCGCAGCGGCAAAAAATTTTTTCCGCGAATATACTAAAGTACAAATAAAATAAAAATCAGAACAGAAACATGAAATCAGAACAAAGATCTGAAAAAAACAAACAAAGATCAGGCACTCAACAGTTGGTACTCAACTGGACTCCAAACTTTATCTATGTTTTACCCAATTTTAGACGTGTCTATACTTTAATGGATTCTACCCCTATCTATCCTTTGGCGCATCTATCCTTTGATGCATCTATCCTTTAATTGTTTTTTGCCTTATCTATCCTTTAGCAGCTTTTGGCCGCGTCTATCCTTTGATCGATTTTAGCCGTATCTATCCTTTGATTCATCTATCCTTTGAGCGGGCACGAAAAAAAGAAAGGGAGAGAGAGAGAGAAAAAAGAAATAGTGTATTAAATTTTAAATTAACGTCCTTTGGCAATATTAAATTTTGGCGTTATGTATATTTTTAGTTTAGAGAGTATAGGTTAGAATGTTAGAATATTTAATTTTTTTAAGTTTTATTTTTTTCTAAAATTATAAAAAAAATTTTTTGATAATTTATGTATGATTTTCCATTTGTTTCCTATTAAATAATTTTTATTTTAGTCGTATTATTTATTTAAAGACAAGATGACTGAACAGTCAATTTCTTCTAAAAATGTTTTAATTAACGGAAATTCAAAATTAAATTATAACAACGAAACACTTGATGCTTCTACAAAACCAATTAATGAAATGACAAGTAAAGACTACTATTTTGACTCTTATGCTCATTTCGGCATTCATGAGGTTTTTAAAGTTATTTTTAAAATAATTTTAAATTTTCAGGAAATGTTGAAAGATGAAGTTAGGACAGTCACTTATCGGAATGCAATTTACCACAATCGTCACTTGTTTAAAGGAAAGGTTGTGATGGATGTTGGTTCCGGTACGGGTATACTTTCGATGTTTGCTGCTAAGGCTGGAGCTAGGAAAGTTTTTGCGGTGAGTTTAATTAGTAACTTGATTCAAAAGCTAGAATATAGAAAACCCAGAGCCTTAGAACACATTTAACTTGGTTCATTTATGTGGCCACACGGAAAATTTTTTGCTTGTCCGATAAACAAAAATTCATCAATCCCCAGTTTTTTGTATACTATTCATTTTTCCTAATTGGACCCCTCTTAAATTATTTGCGTGAACAGGTCAATTTACCACGACCTCAAAGTACCGCAGAGCTATAACGTCGTCAAAGTGGTCGCCGAATCCGGGACGCCTTGACTGAATCAAACCATACTAGTGCGTCTCGGATTCAACCACTTTCAACGAAGGTATTGCTTTGCGGTACACTTGGATGTACCCATTACTGTTATCTTTTATCACAGTGTTTTCATTCTCCAAAACTTAAGCTTTACTGCAACCAAAAATGTCTGTTCTCTTTAAGGTTGAGTTTTCTAGTATGGCTAATCAATCAAAACAAATTATTAAAGACAACAATTTGGACCATATTATTGAAGTTGTTCACAGCAAAGTTGAGGATATTCAACATTTGCCAGATGGATGTGAAAAGGTTGACGTTATCGTTTCTGAATGGATGGGTTATTGTCTTTTTTACGAGTCTATGCTTAACACTGTGATTTATGCACGTGATAAATGGCTAGCTCCAAATGGTATTTTGTTTCCTGACAAAGCGGTTTTATACGTTTGTGCTATTGAAGATCGCCAATACAAGGACGAAAAGGTTTTTAAATTATTTACAAAAAAGTGAAGTTTTTAAGATGAATTTTTAAGATCAACTGGTGGGACAATGTTTATGGTTTTAATATGGCAAGTATTCGCCAAGTTGCTATAACTGAGCCGTTGGTAGATGTTGTTGACAGGGGTCAAGTGGTTTCGGATAATTTTGCAATTAAAGTGAGTTTATTTTTGGAGAATTTTTTATTGGTTTTTCGATAGGAGTTTTTAATTTTACAAAAATATATAGTGAAATTTTTTAAATAATTTTGATTTCGAGGTTATATTGTTTTTATTCTCTAAAGTAAGAGCAGATTCGGGCAATTCCTTTCTACTCTTTTTTAAAATTCGATAAACTTTTCAAGGAAGTTGATCTCTATACAGTCACTGTTGCCGATCTTACATTTGAATCTCCATTCACTCTTCGGTTTATCCGCAACGACTATGTTCAAGCCTTAGTTTCTTTCTTCACTATTGAATTCACTAAATGCCATAAACGTGTCGGATTTAGTACTGCGCCGGACCAGAAATATACGGTTTGTTTTTTTAAATATTATCATTGAAAAAGCTAAATAAGGGAGTATATAAAAACTTGGGGTATTTTTAAAAATTTCATGGACTGAATTTTCTCTATGGGTAATTTGCTAACTCTAAATTGTCAAAAAATTCTTTTCAAAAAATGTTTTATTTTTCAGCATTGGAAGCAAACAGTTTTTTATCTTTGTGACTCTATAACTTGCAAGAAAGGGGAGCAGATGGAAGGCGTTTTTGGTGTTATGCCCAATTCAAGAAATCCGCGTGACTTGGACTTTCGTATTACTATTAACTTTGCCGGTGAGCTTTGCGAATTGCAAGAGAACAACAAATATGTTATGCATTAATTGTTTGTTTTGATTTTTTATTATTTAATATATAACAAGCTCTTACTGATTGACTCTATACACAAATAATTTTAGTTATTTGTGTATTTTATCATTTACACTTCTTTACATAGAGTTGGATTTTTAGTAATTTTTGGAAATTATTTTCTACTAACCCTAACTTTTTTGGATCAGAAATATTTTGGTTTTGTATTAAAATTAACTGGTTTGTATGCCTAAAATTCACATTTTGGGGCTTTTTTGTTGCTACGTTTTCCATTACACGAAACAACACTCCCAAACACGGAAACTTTGAATAGCCATAACTCGGCCCAAGCCATAACTCGACCGAAATCACTTCACAATAGGAAGTTGGGAGTCCTCTATCGAATGGTACAATAAAATATATCAAATTCACACTCACAGTAAACGACGGTTCCTTGTCAAAACTTTAATTGTCCAATTTTGACTTGATTAGCTATAATAACCTTGACTTTTATTCAAAGTTGGTTTATCAAAATCTCCCAATTCTCCGAGTCTTAAAATCCAACTATATTTAAGGGATCGTATGTGTCCCTTTTAAATATTTCGTTTTATTCTTTTTTGTTTTCATTTTGTTGGAAATTTTAAAAAAATATTAAAAAATGTTTCTTGATGATTTTTATCAATTTTTACTTGATTACTTTTTTATTTTATTATTTTGTTGTTTTTATGTAAACAACCCATCATTCTTATTCAGAGAATGTATGGGGAGAGATTGAAAACCAAATATTTTTAGTATTTTCTCAGTCAGTTTTCATTGATTTTACTGACCTAATATAAATTGTTAGTATGCAATAAACAAACTTGAAAGTAGTTTTTTTCTATTATTTTTGGACAGAAGGAGAATAGATTCGTATCTTAAGATTCTAAATTATGATAGAAATATTTTTGTACCTTTCTGGATTTTAAGACAGAATATCTTGATGAATTAAAGAAAAAAATTAATTAAAAAAAGTTTTTGTAAGAGAAAAGGTCTTAAGTGCCTGACCGTTTCTCTTTCAAAAAGCGCCTAATTTTAACACAAAATTTCTTTTTAGAATTTAACTTTTCTAACCAAAACTTTTATTTTTGTTTTTGATGTCTACTCAAGTACCAATACGCGTGCTGGTTACTGGAGCAGCTGGTCAGATTGGTTATTCTTTGGTATATTTAAATTTACAAAAATTATTTAACAAAATTTCTATTTCAGGTTATTCAAATTGCAAAAGGTGATGTTTTTGGAAAGGAAACGGTTTGATATTTTTAAAAACTTATTTTTAAATTAGAATTTTTTAGCCCATTGTTCTGGTCATGTTGGATATTCCTCCAATGGCCGAAGTGCTTAAAGGAGTGGAACTTGAACTTTACGATTGTGCCTTGGCAAATCTTATAGGTTATTTAATTTCTAATTTTATCTCAACGTTAGGATTTATAAACCTCACTAATAATTTCAGCTGTCGAGCCGGTCACTACCGAAGAAGCAGCGTTCAAAGACATTGATTATGCTTTTCTTGTTGGTGCAATGCCTCGAAAGGAAGGAATGGAACGGAAAGATTTACTTGCTGCTAATGTGAAAATATTTAAATCTCAAGGATTGGCTCTGGCAAAATATTCGAAACCAACTGTTAAGGTAAAAGAAAAATTAAATTTTGGCATTTAAAATTTTTCTCAAAGGTTCTAGTTGTTGGAAACCCAGCAAATACAAATGCTTTTATTTGTGCAAAATATGCAGCAGAAAAGATTCCAGCAAAGAATTTCAGCGCTATGACACGTCTTGACCACAACCGTGCAATTGCCCAAATAGCTGCTCGTTGTGGTGTTGACTGTGGGTCTGTGAAGAAAGTTATAATTTGGGGAAATCATTCAAGCACCCAATTTCCTGATGTTAAGCACGCTAAAGTAATTAAAGGTTTGGAAATTTTTTATTTTTTTGTCTGAAACCTTTTACTTAACAGGTGGCACAGAGATTGGTGCTTATGAAGCTGTGAATGATGTGCCGTGGATACAGAATGAATTTATTTCGGTTATTTATTTTTTAAGAACATTTAGAAACTCCCACATTTTTAGACCGTCCAAAAGCGCGGAGCTGTTATTATCGAAAAACGCAAGTTGTCCAGCGCAATGTCTGCAGCAAAGGCGGCATGGTAAGTTTGGAATAAACCACGGGATTTCCCTTGTTTAAAAACCTAATATCTCCTCAATTTTAGTGACCACATTCATGACTGGCACTTTGGAACAAAAGATGGCGACTGGGTTTCTATGGCCGTTCCTTCCGATGGTTCTTATGGAATTCCGGAAGGTCTGATCTTCTCGTTTCCAATCACAATTGATGCAAAAACGCGTGACTGGAAAATTATACAGGGATTGGAACTTGATGATTTTGCTAAACAGAAAATTGAAATTACTACAAAGGTTTCTTCAGACATTAAAAAAATAATTTTTATTAAATATTTTAAAGGAATTGACAGCAGAACGCGAAGATGCTTTAGAGGTATCCAAATAAATATTAACTAAAAATATCTGAAGTTAGAGAATGGTTGGATTTTTAGATTAAATATGGAAAGAAAATAGTAGAACCTTATGAGAGGAACCTAAAATATAAATCAAATATTTAAATCCCGAAAAAAATGTAATTTAAAAAATAATCGCTCAAGTAAATTTAAAAATATCAAGTGAAAATAAAAAAATGAACAATTTTTGGGTAGCTGCTTGTATTTTAGTAACTAATTACAAAACTAACAAAAAATAAGGTTTGAAAATTATTATGAACAACAACCAGATTCAGTCAAATATTTGCAAGTAATAAATAATAAATGGAAGCATATGAAGGAGAATGACATAACACACGCATCCACTGTAAATTCCAAGAGAAGATTGAAGATAAATTGAGTCCATACAACCTTGAAAAGAAAAATTTGGGGTTTTAAGTCAAAAAATAATCACAGATTTTTGAATTAGAAATGGATTTAGTGTTAATAGATTAAATAGTACTAAAAGCGAAACACTCGCTAACTTACTAAAATCCAAAATTTTAGTAAGTTATTCCCAATGAAAACATTCCAATCCAAAGGAGACTTTCCTAATTTATCGAAAAATGGGCACTCTTAAAGTTGAGGAAATCTACTCCCTTATCTATTCAACTTTAATATATTTGAGGAATTTATGGCTTGTTAACCTCCTAAAATCCAATAAATATTCAACTCACCAATCTCTTATTAAGTCCTGTAACCATTAACATATTCACCAAAAAGTCATTCTTTGGATATCTAAAATTTTAAATGTAATAAAAATTCTAATATATTCAAACCTCCTAAATAACGTTCTATTGGAGAATATAACAAGCAATTCCCATGAAAAGAAAATTGTTGTAAAAGATAAAAATACATAATTGAGCAATTCGAACATTACGGCTATACGAAAGAAAAGGCCAAGAGCTATCATTATCCAAAATCTATTTTGGTCCACAAATCCACAATAATTTGGTTTGACAATCGGAAGATTAATGGTCTTAAAATTAAAGAATCAAAGAAACTAGCGATTTTAGAAGTTCTTAAAGGTATGCAAAATGAATTTTAAAAATCAAAGAAGGAAATGGTATACTAAAAAGGTGTCTTATCATTTATCTCTAATGGCCTGGCATACCCTTGTCAAGCCATTAAAGATAAATGCCTATACCCAAAAAATCTGAAACAAGAACCTGAACATCCTCGTGTTTTTTCACTTCTCCTTCTGATCTCTCCTCGTCGTTCAATGAAGCAAATCCGTCCATACAAGGTGCTTGACGATTTTCACTCCCATCAGGTCCCTTAAGTATTGTCGACAATCGCTTTTCAGCATTCTGCAGAATTTTTTGACGACGACGCTCACGCAAATCAACTGAAAAATAAAGGATTAAAAATTATTTGAAGAAATATGTCAAACCAGTGGCCATATTAGCACAATTATGAATTGTTAATAATGACATCTAAAACTTTAGATAAAAAATTAAACAATTAAAAAATAAAAAAAATATAAATTGACAATAAACATTAATTAAAAAATAAAAGGGAAAAACAAATTTTCTAATTTATTTAAACTAGGTGATAAATATAAAAAATAAAAACACAAATTTAACCATCATAAGAGTGTGGACGAATCGGTTTTAATGGATCAAAAAGTTTCGGATCTTTCAAATATTTTGGTTCTTTCGTAAGTGGTGGCATATAACCAGCATATCTAAAAAAGGAATTGAATTTCTTATATTCAAATGTTTGTTCTTTTAATTTTTTAAAAATATATTGGTAATATCTTATGTATTCTAGAGATCTTTAAGCAGAATTATTTTGTAGAAATAGATTATAATTAAGAAATGTTTTTGATAACCCAAAAATTAAGCTTTAAATTCATAAAATATAATAAAGTTAAAAAACCCTCCAAAATTTCAAAAAGAAATAACGTTCGTGATTTTTCTAATAAAATAATTTATATTTTGGAATTATTTTTTTATTAATTTCAAAATTTCCTTCAAACCTGCTCATCCTAATCGTTTTAATAAGTGCATCATGCTGCTTTGAACAAAGCCCAGTAATATGTCGATCATAAACACGTCCACTGAATGAAGAAATAAATTGTTGAAGTAAACGAGCATTTTTGTAGTCCAATTTGATTCCCAAATCACAAAGTAAACATTTTCTATCAGCCTAGAAATTCTGATTGAAAAAATTTAACTATAAAAAACCTTATCAAATGGATTAAAATCGAATTCAATAGGTTGATTGAAGTCAGTTTGAGTTGACACGTTTTGATCCCTATTTGATCTATTCAATGACCTAAGACTACAACGAATTTTGCTGAAATCAATCTAAAATTAAATTTAAAAAAATTAAAATTGCCAAAATTCAAGAAACCTCATCTCCAAATTCTTCTTTAATTGGTCCTCCTCTCGATTTTGCTCTTCGCATATTTCGTATTTTTGTGATGAAATGCACTTTTTCGGTACAAAAGGAGCGACCAAGAAAAATTGAAGAGCCGAGAATGCTTTTGATTTTCAACATTTCAAATTATTTAAATTCTCTAAAATTAATTTAACATTAAGTGAAGTAGACAGAATCAATAGAACTCCAACGGGAATTGTTAAAAAAATATTCCAAGTTTCGATACTCTTCAAATCTCTCTAGAAACTATCAATTTTTTATATCAATATCACCTTTATTTTTCATTTACATTGAAAAAACATTAACGATCAAAACGGGCGATAGAGAAATCTTACAAATTTTATAAAAGTACTTGTGTACTTGTAGCAATGGTTTTAACTAGGGTTGTTGGCGACCGGTTATTAACCGGTACCCTCGGTTTTCGGTTATCGCCGGTTTTCGACCCCCGGTTTTCGGTTCCGGTTTTTGATTTACCCCCGGTTTTTGGTTAACCGGGACCGGTTTTTGGACAAATTTTTATCCAGAATATCCAATTAAGATGTTGTAGCATTCTAACGCCTTTAAATAAATATATACACTTCATCGGGGATTAGGGAGATGAGAAGTTATCAAGGCGTTGGGATAAATGATAGTATTAAGAGGTGTTGTCTAGGGATTTATAGGGATGTATCTTCCTTTTTCCTCTAGGATGTCTAGAATCTAGGGATATCGAGGATCTCCTGATATCCTCGATATGCAACATCTCAATATATCCCTCCAATAAGGGGGATCTTTGTGATTAAGAGGGAATTCGGTGGATTAAGGGAGATCTAACTAAATTGAGCAATCCAAGCTCAAAATAAAGAGATCAAGTGCAAGAAGCAACAAGAGCACTGCTTCAACTTTCTCTTTTAATCGTGTACTAATTTTGCTGTCCCAATTTTGCCCATTTAATTTTTATGGTTGCTAGTCCAGTTCGGAAGATCAAAAAAGTTGAATGGCAAGATTCTATAAAAATAGACAGGCGAAATATTGTTTATTTGAGCCAAATTTCTTCCATTATCAGCGCCGCAGGCAAAAATTTTAGAAGTTTTTAAGGCTAGGTCACCAGGTTTCTTCCTTTTTCAGCGCCGCAGGCGAAAATTTTGAGAATTTTGGAAAACAGTAGGTAAAAATTCGCTGTTTTCTATATCTTTCTCCTCATCTATTTAAAAAATTTTCTACAACTTTTTACACTTTTGATAATGTTTAAAAATAAATTTGCATATTTAAGAGCAAAATTAAAATCTTAAACTTCAGTTTTGGAACAAAAAAAAACTGAAATAAACTTCATTCACAAAGTAAGATCGAACCCGACCCTATGAACATTGTCGCCCGCCAGCTTACCCACTAAACTAAGGATCTCCTCAAAGAAACAAAAAAATTATTATATGTATATATTTCGACTTTTTTAATAATTCTGAAGAAAATATTTTGCCAAAATGTATTTTAGTCATTCGAATTTCCGAAAAATTCCCAAAAATTTCCATCGTTAGGGGTGTATTTTTAAAACCGAAACCGGGCGGTTTTGGACACCGGTTTTCGGTTATCGCCGGTTTTCGACCCCCGGTTTTCGGTTCCGGTTAATTCGCAAAAAACACCGGTTAACGGTTCCGGTTCCGGTTCGGTTAACCGTCCGCCAACAACCCTAGTTTTAACGATAAAAATGTTCTTTAGATCGAAAAATTTTGAGAAACAAAGGAAAAATTTATTTCATTTTTATTTCTTCATTGTTGTGCGCACTGAACATGTTGCGCTCCAGAAGGCATATCATCATCACTTTCATCGTCATGGTATGCCTCACGAGATCCCCCTCCGCCACCGTGACGTTCATAACGACGAGAGTCGAACTCAGAAAGCGTAACCTCTTCAACTTCAGCTGTTGCAGACAATTTTGGAATACGAGGTCGAGGTGGTAGTAACGCTTCGAGCTCCTAAATTTATTTATTTTTAAACAAAAAATATAAATCAAAACCTTATAACGCTGTTCATTCTCAAGAAAATGTGTAGGCGGAAAAGTGACATTGAAAACAAAATAGAGATTACCAAATTGTCCGGGTTTACCCTGCTTTGGCATTCCTTTATTATAAGCTACGCGGACAGACTCTAAAAAAGAAAAAATAATTTAAAGTGATAATTAGCCTAAAGACCTGGTTTAATGACTTCCTCGCTGAGAGTATTAACCAAAATATCTTTGCCATTTAGATGTTTGATTGTGTAAGCAAATCCACAGAGCGCTTGTTTCAAAGAAATAGTCCTAAATAAAAATTTAAATCAATTAAAAAAGAAAACAAACTTTTTAATAAAAAGGTCTTCGCCTTTGCGCTCAAAAATATCATGTGGCTTTGTCTTTACAACCAACACAACATCTCCAGGCTCAATTCCAGGTTCTTGATCACCCTCGCCGTAGAAAACGATTTTCTGATTCTCGCGCATTCCAGGCTCGACTTTGACTTCAATAATTTTCATCTCTTGGACAGTTTTCCTTCCTTGGCAAGTCTTACAACGATTGGCATCATCAATGGTCTCGCCTGAAAATAAATTTTTAAGTGAATGTGGAACATTTGATTATAGTAAACACAAACCTCCACCACTGCAATGGTCACATTGTGTTGCAATCTGCTGAAGCATTCCAGGCCCAATCTGTCTCGTTGCAAAAACACGACCACTACCACGACAATATTCACAGCGCTTAACGGAGCCAGGCTTGCCACCAACACTAATTTAATAAAATCGTAATAAACTCACAAAATTATATAATTACCCATTACAAGTTTTGCAGAGTGCCTTCTTTGTGAGTTGTAACTTTGAAGTCTTTCCATTGTAGAGATCTTCAAGAGTAACATTTAAAGGTTGGACTGTTGTCTCTCCCTTCCGTCGTCTTGAACCACCTCCAAACATTTGTCCAAGAAGTCCACTTCCACCCATAAAACCTCCCATACCGCCTCCATTTGAAAGCATATCAAACAAATCACCTTCCATGCCATGACCACCAGAGAAATTCATTCTGCCAATATAAGTTCAATATAAAAAGTTAAGAATAAATATCTCTAAAAAATCAATTTAAACAAAAAATTTAATTTAAGGCAATCTTATTGTTAAGTTACAAAGAACGTCACAAAGTTGAAAGAAAATTAGGTGATAAACTAGATTTTTCTAGGCGTTTTAATTACAAAATAAGTAAAATTTGTCAGTCGAGTTGACAAAACGGACAAAATCAATAAGTTGACAAAATGAAAGGACAAATTTCAAATTGTAATTGACCAGAAAAATTACAAAATACCAATTACAAAATAATATTTCCCCGAAACGTCAGTTTTTTTGTAAAAATCTTGAGGGATTCTGCTTCAGTTTTTTTGTCTCATTTTGCTTTAAAAGTACTTCCAAGAAATTACTGATCACTTTTTACTTGATAATCTTTCAGATTTCTCATCTATGATTACTATGCAACACAAAAATAGATTTAGCTACAACCAAGCTGTTAATTACTCATCAATTGAAATTTCGGGTCTAACAGAAAATTCGAAGGTAAATTTTTAAAATTACATTCAACTTTCTTTTTTATTTACAGGATATTGTTGATAATCATAATGGACAATATATCGTTATAGGAAAGGATGTTCAGAAATCCTCATTGAGCGAAAAACGAGGTAGCGAATTGCATGAATCAAGCAGAGGTCCTTATATTTTTCGAGATCTTGAAAGCTTGCCACCTAGAAGACATGCTATTACTTGGCTATTGCCTGGAGAAGAATTACATTTGGGTATTTTTTGCTTGTATATTTTAATTTCTTATTTAAGAATTAAATGTTATTTATCACAAACAACAAGACAAACGTGAAGAGCTTTGTATGGGCTATTTGTACGTGACAAATTATCGTTTAAAATTTGAAGAGAGAATACCAGAATGGATGTCTTCTGAGGTTTTACTTCAAATGTGTATTTTTATTCCTATTTATAGCCTCTTATATTTGACGTTGTTCTTGGGTGTATATCAAAAATCGAAAAAATTGGATATTATAATGTTCGAGGAGGCTCAAAGAATTCAAATTTGAAAATACAACCTTATGGGATTTCTATTAATTGCAAAGTTATTTAAAACTTGAATAATTTCTGACATTAATATTATTTTAGGATGTCCGCAAAGTCAGATTTTTCCTCAAAAGAGAACTTCGCAATCGCCGAGCATTATTCGATTGTCTCAAATTATACTCATTTCCTAACACCAATAGACAGGTTTTTTAATTTTTAAATATTTTTCTGACATTGTATTTTAGCCCTTCTTTGCCAAAAAATATAAAGAAAAATTTCAATTTGATGGTTGGCTTTTATTTGATGCAAATTCTGAATTTATTAGACAGGTTTATTTTCAGTGAATTTCTTGCAATTCTTTGAAAATTTTTTAGAAAAAATCAAATGATTCTTGGCGCCCTACTCTTATCAATAAAGATTATGATTTTGCTGGAACATATCCATCCCTTCTTTTTGTACCCAGCGAAGTTTTTAAAACTAAATCCCCTGATGATTTTCTTCGTTCTGTTAGCAAATTCAGAAGCAAAAAACGAATTCCGGTAAATTTTTATATTTTTTAAAATTTTATTCGCAACTTTTAGGTTCTCTCTTGGATTGATTACCGCACTTCTGCTGCTCTGGTTCGTTCATCTCAACCACTTGTTGGAGCATTGTCGCGCAAATCTGCCAGTGATGAAGAGTTGGTGGGGTTGGGGGTAAATGGTTGGGTAGTAACAATCTTTTGAGAAAACGGAGATTTAACACTAGTTTTTTTTCTAGTTTTTTAATCCAAATTTAAAAATTTCAACTCCAAAAATTTCATTCTATAATTTTACTTTTTATAGTTATCTGGATATGATTGTCTCTGTAAATCCAAATTCCAAATATCTTCTTATTTTGGATGCAAGACCGAGTATAAATGCAAAAGCTAACAGAGCAAATGGTGGCGGATATGAAAACTATTCAAATTGTCAACTTAAATTTATGGACATTCAAAATATTCATGTAGTACGTGAAAGTTTAAAAAAGTTAAAGGATGCCTGTTTCCCAAGAATTAGACAAAAACGATTTCAACAAGCATTGGAAGAAGTAAAAATTTATATTTTAATCTTTTTAAAATTTTATTTTTTTAGACAAAATGGCTAGCACATTTACAAACAATTTTGGATGCTGGAGCATTGGCTGCTCGGGAAATTTATTTGCACAAAAATTCTGTTCTCGTTCATTGCAGGTAAAAATTGTTTTTAAACTATTAATTTAGAAAAATATTTTTAATTATTATAGTGATGGTTGGGATCGAACTGCGCAGGTTGCTAACTTTTTTTTATTGGAGATCATTTTTTCCATAATATTTTTCAGATCACTTCACTTACAATGCTTCAACTTGATCCTTATTATCGAACAATTGAAGGATTTTCAGTGCTTATTGAAAAGGAATGGTGCAGTTTTGGACACAAATTTGCTCATGTTTTTTGCAAAAACAAATTTTCCATTTTTTAAAATAATTTAAGAGGATTGGACATGGTCAAGACAAACCTGAAGATAAAGAACGTTCACCAATTTTTGTTCAATTTATTGACTGTGTTTGGCAACTTTATAATCAATTTACATCAGCATTTGAATTTAATGTCCGTTTTTTAAAAACTATTTTGGATGAACTTTATTCTTGCCGTTTTGGAACTTTTTTGTATAATTGTGAACGTGAACGTAGTGAATTGGTAAAATTATTTTTGAGATATTAATTAATTTTTTAAATTTATTTTTAGCAAGTTAAGGAAAATACAATTTCAGTGTGGTCTTTTATTTTGGAGAATCGAGAATCTTATGTAAATGATAAATATGACCCTGAGGTAAATAAATTTAATTTATTTATTTTTTAAAGAATTTTTATTAGAGAAAAGTGTAAATCCAAAGAAAAGTTTGGTTGAAATTCCGAATAATTTATTTTATAATTCCCCCTATCCTCTTCTCTTGAATCATCACTTTATAATATTTTTTTTAATAAATAGGGTTGCCGTTTTCGGTTCGAGCCGACGTTTGGTGCATTTTTTCGTGCTGGGTTTTTTTCGATTCGGTTCGTTTTCGAGTTGAAAAGCCTCGGCTCGCTCGATCTTTCGAGTTTCGGGTCGAGCGAACTGGCAACCCTAATAATAAAATTCCTCTACACTTCTAAAGTATTTTACTTTCCAGGCAACACTCGGTGATTTTATTCGTCAAAAAGCAAAAGTCTACCCTCGATTTTGGACCGATTATTATTGTCGTTATAGCCAATTAGTTCCAAAAGAAGATGAGGTAACTTATTTAAAAATTTCTTTTTTTTTTTATATTTTTATTAGGATCGTTATTCTTTGTTTGATCACGATGGATCAGCTGATGCGATGACAATTTTGAATGGAGAAATTACTCGTTTTAAAGTTATTGATTCTGGGTCAAGTGAGAGTGAAGGTTTCTGTTTAGAAGAATTTTTTTTAATTTTTTGTTTTAGGATTGAATGAGCAGAATGAAAGTATTGAAATTCCAAAATTTCGTCTTTCCCCGGCTATCTCTCCAACTTTTAGTCAACAATTTTCTTATATGCCACATGAAAGAGGTGTTCAGTCTAATAGATGGAGTCCGGCCAGAATATTGCAACAACATGTTTGTTTTTAATTTTAATACTAGAATAATAGAATAATATAGTCGGGCCTTGAATAAGTCGGGCCTCAAGATTAGATATACCTAGATTTTAGATACTTTTTTAAAATTTGGTTGGGTGCTGATAGGACTTAATTTACTCGCTAACTATACGTTTTACCTCAACATCTCATCTTTTACGACAATTTTTTGTGCCTACGGACCTCATAAATTCGAGGTCAAACTGTACTAAATCTAAAATTAAGGGTACATATTCCTTCGTCGATGTTAAGGAGCGTTTGCCTAATAAATACTACAATCTCCCATCATCTTCAACCATGTCAGATTGCAAAAATGAAACAAAATTTTAATTGAAAAATATTTTTATATGATTGTGAATTTTTAAGCATTGTGAATATTCTCTAAGTGACCTTAATATATAATCTAAATTTTAAGAAATTTTTATTAATAATTTTACTATGGAATATGCATATACTATACTATTCTTTTTTTCAAAACATTTTTATTAGGGTTGCCGTTTTCGATTCGAGCCGAGTTCGGGGCGTTTTTTTCGAGTTTGGTTTTTGATACGGTTCGTTTTTGAGTTCTTCGAGCTGAAAAGCCTAGACTTGCTCGATCTTTCGAGTTTTGGTTCGAGCGAGCTGGCAGCCCTAATTTTTATATTTAATATTATTTTATTAACATTTTCACTTATTTTTGAAAAATTACGAAGTTTTTTAAGTGAAAATATTTTAAACTTTTTCTATTTAAATTTTCATGTGAATTAACTAAAAAAAATTTTTTTAAATAATTCTATTCTTATTTCAATACTTCAATTTGAGAAATCTCATTTTAGACTGAACGAATTTTCCTTTTTCTTCTTCTACTAATTTGTTCATTGTTTTTTTTTGTTTATAAATATATTTTTATATTAATTTTGATTTTTTTTGAAATTTTTGTTAAAATTCTCTAATCTATTTTAATGATTTAATTATGAACAAAAAAATAATTTTTTTGAAATTATATTTTGGATGTCATCCTTTTCTACTGGTATTGGTGGAGCTGGACATGGTAAACCTTATAAAGGGGATGCTGTGGCTGCGTTAGGACTTGGCTTTGCAAAGTATATTTTTTAAATTTATTTTTTAAATATTTTTTAAGTTTTATTAATGGTGTGGTTATTCGACATCCATTTGTTGTTCTCCGACGTCAGTGCCAAATACATGACCATGCCTATCGGAAGCACTTTTTTCCTACTACTTTGGTGCCTGTTATTATTAAATTGACTGCTAAAGATGTATAAATTAGATTATTTTTTTAAATTAAATTTCTAAAGGGTTTTCTCTCATTATGGAAAGGAGCTGTTGGTAATGGAGTGCTTTGGGCTTTTTCAAGCGTCTCAGAATTGGTAAGATTTTATTTTTCTGATGAAGTTTTCTATCAAATATATTTTTCTCATTTTTAGGTCATCGCTGAATTATTAGGCTTGCCAAAATCCTTTGTACTCGATGGAAGTTCTCAACGATTTTGGCGGCATGTCTGGCTTAAAACGTTTGTTTCTCGATTTCTTTACAAAATTAATTTTTTTCTCTTCAAGTTTTAATTTTATTTTCTGCACCCCTGTAATTGTTACTGCCTTTCTTGAAACAGTCCGTACTGGCACTGGTTTAGCCGAAGATCTCCAAATTGCTGAAATTATTACAAAAGGATATGATGTTTGTTTTTTTGGAATTTTTAAAAAATATTTCCTAATTTTTCTAGAGACTTAGGCAAGACGTTTTTGGTGGTTCTGCTGTAGTAGAAGGCGTTCGTAGAAGGCATTCTTTGCTTTGGCTGGCATTTCCCACATCCCTTCATCAAACAATGCATTTTCTTGTCTGTCAATATGTTTATACTACTTCATATTCTTGGACACGCACCTTTGTTGTTAGTTTAAAAAATTTGTTTTTTATGTTTGCGTCGGTATTGGCTTTATTAAGGATAATTTCGGTTTAGATTTAACATCCCTTCATTCTCGAAATTGTTTTGGATCTAGGGATTTTTTCAAATAAAACACCAACTTCAATCATTTGGTTTTAATTTCTTTTTAAATTTTTTCAACGATCTATTTAATTTTTTTTTGTTTTTTAGAGTCGTAAACTTCCTTCAGAACGTAGGCGTTATCACACAATTATGCCAGAACTTTTTTCTTCAATGACCAGCGTTTTTGTTGCAGATATCGTTTGTTATCCACTTGAGACTGTTCTTCACAGACTTTATATTCAAGGTTTTTATTTTTAATTTTTTAGATTAATTATTTATTTTACTTTTCAAGGCACCCGAACATTAATAGACAATTTGGATAGTGGTGCAGAAGCTTTAGTTCCTGCTGGTCGTTATTCGGGAATTTTTGATTGTTTTTCTTCTATAATAAGAAAAGAAGGGGTTATGACGCTTTTTAGGTTTTGAGTAAAAATTTAAAAATAAATTATATTTGATATTTTATTTTTAGTGGGATTGGTGCAATCTTTTTGCAATATATGCTTCAACATTGTGTGGCTGGAATAACTTATTGGTTGCTTGATAGAGGTGGGTGAGGGTTTTTTAATTTTTTTTAATTTTGATTTTTGGTCCTTTTTATTTTTTTCTTTTTTTCCCATTTATTTCCAAAAAGATTTTTTATAAATATTCTGAAAAATATTTTAAATCAAAGTCCATATTTCCTAAACCGAGTCATATTAATAATAAGAAATTAGTGTTAGTTAAAATTTTTAGGAAAAAAATTAATTTAGAAAGAAATTCTTTTCAGGCAGTCGAGGATATACTTCTGGCCATTTAAAAATCAAAATGGGTTCTTCAGAATTTGTAGACGTTGCTAATGTAGAGACAACTTATGACCCTTTTGCAAAGAACAATATTCCTCAAAATCCTAGCGCTCAATTCGCTGCTACATCACAAAATTCACAGGTAATTTTTTTAATTATTTTTAAAAATTATTTACCAATATTTAAAGCCATCAACATCCGGTTTATTTCCTTCATTTGCTCAAGTCCAAAAACAAAATAAATTTAACGACGACCCTTTTCTTTCTGCCTTACAGCGGCGTAAAAGTTAGTTTTTTTGAAAAAGAGAAAATTTTCTTTAAATTAATAAAAAAATTTTTTCTCAAGAAAATAAATTAGGTAAATAGATTTATGTAAAAATAAAATTTTTCTTCTGTAGCTGATCGACAGCAACATGAATTTGACTACAAATAAAAAGTAAATATTTTTAGAGAATTATGGAATTAATATTTTTTGGGTTACTTTTTTTGTTTTATTATTTCTCACAGATTATTTTAATTTGAATATTATATTGTTTTCTAAGAAATTTTTAGAATTGTTAATTTTTAGGATTTTAGTTTAAAAAATTATTGGCAGGGGTGTGCCTTTCGCCTATTCATCTTATGCTAAAATTTCGCTTTTTTGGTTTCGCTTTTTAAATTAACTTTCGTCTTTCGCTTTTTTTATTGACTTTCGCCTTTCGCTTTTTAAAATCTGTTTCGGCACACCCCTACTAGATAGGTATTGAAATAAGTTAGAACTTAAAATCCTAAAAATTAATAATTTTCAAAAATAAAAGAATCTTCACAAATATAAAATTGAGAGAGTATTTATTTTTTAGTAACCGTTAAAATTTGTGTTGAATTTTTGATTTATGAATTGAAGAAAGGGGAGGACGGAAGGGGGATATTTTCTTTTTAAATTAATTAATTTGTTTCTATTTTTAAAATACCGGAAGTTATTTGTCTACCGATCTTTCGACGAATAGAGTGAAACCAAAATAATATGAGTCATTTCTTTAATAATAATTTTCTGGGTTTACCTATTTTTGGATATTTTTAAACGAGCAAGAGATGAATGACAAAAAAAATTATTTCTGGGATTGTATAGGGGAGAACCTTGTTCTATTGTTCTAGGCTCTACTAACTACTAGTGATGTTCGAGACTCTCGGTTTTACGTAAAAAGGTACTCTCGAGTCGGGAAATTTCTCGGGTTTTTTGAGTTCTCAGTCTCGACTCCCGGTTTTTAACTTCCAAACATCACTACCTACTACAAACGCAGTGATCCTGTTTGTTCACTAACACTTTTTTAGACATTTTTTCCTTGTTGATAGGGAGGGAGACTTACTGGAAGGTAGGAAATCTCCTCATCTTCCTGGAAACTCGAGAAGATAAAAATGTTTCTAGCCCCGTTTTCTAGCCCGTCAATGAGATCCCCTTCAATATTCTAATTAAATTCTCATTTCCAAAACACATTTTTGGGGCTATTTTAATTCTATTTTTTGATTTATGGTCGTCTATCTTTCTGTTTTATTCAATAAAACACCCAAGAATGTATAGAAAGATAAAAACTTTCATGTGATCAAACCAATATATATTTTTCTTTTCTCATTCTCATGAAATTTATACATGGACAAACGTTGAACAAAATATCAATAAATAAATTTATTATATTCGATTGTGCGCACGCCTTCCTTTTATTTCTTCACCCAAGAAGTAACCAACATTTTAAATAAAAAAATGATTTTTACAGTCAAATTTCTTTTTTAGTTTTTAACTTTCTTTTAAATATATCCTTTATTTTAAAGAATTTTTTTACGTAAAAGGGTAGTCCTGAAAGTGAAGGCTTTTATTAATGTACGTCAAGTACCGAGTAATTGGGGGAAAACCCCGATGCTGTTTACTCCAGGTCTGTTGAGCAAGTATTAGGACCCTCCTCCCCTTCCCAAGTATTAGGACCCCTCCTCCCTCCCCTTACCAAGTATTAGGATCCCGAGTTCCGGAATAAAGACGAAAAAACCAGAGCGTTCAAGTCGAGTAACCTCGTACACGATTGAACTCGGACGTACTTTAGTTTTTATCTATTTTGGATACCTCGTCTTTGCCCCTTTCTAGACCAGTCTTGGACCTATGATCCTTCCTTCCTATTTGCCGATAGGAATTTTTTCAAGTCTTTTAATCACCCAATTTTGAAGACACTATTTAGCATCTCCCTTCTATTTTGTATATGGTAGTCCAGAAGGTGTCTACTAAATAGAGAGTTTGACTGAGATATGTATTTTTATACAAATTTAGGCTAATTTTAATTTCAAAATAACAACTTCAATTTTTTATTTTAATTCAAAAATAAAAAGAAAAATAAAAGAATGGCTTCAGGAGCAGCCCCTTGTAGCGAACAGCGTTCTTCGACTGGGAAAACGGAAAAAACTGCCGTAGGGAGAGGCAGACGCGGAGCTGTTATGAACCCATTGGGGACAGGTCATTGTGAAGTTGTAAGTTTTTTAAAAGTGTTTAGGACTTACCTATTTAATTTGGGTTTATTAGTAAAAATTGGGATAATAACTTTTAGTGGAAGTGTAAAAATAGCTTCATATTCGTCATAATATCAACGGACAAAATGCCCAATTCAACAAAAACTTATATTTTGTCACATCCATACTGTAGAATGAGAGAATAAAATTTATAAATTGTCAGCTATTCTTAAGTTTTTTGTTGGAAAATTAATAAGATATCTAATATTTAAATTTTATCAACTTTTTCTAAATTTTCAGTGTGTTGTTTGTGGTGACGCAGCCTGCAATCATCAGTAAATATTTTTCATGAAAGCGATTTCAAGCCATTTTTTCACAAATTTAAGTTATTATGGTGTCCCAGCTTGTCACGGATGCAAATGCTTCTTTTGGCGATCCATCAAAAATAAAATGAAATATATCTGCCGAGTTGATGGCCATTGTGATATCAATCCAAATTATCGAAATGCTTGTCGTTATTGTAGACTGCAAAGGTGTTTAAAGGTATAGGAGGAATAGAGAATTTAATTGATATAAGAGAAATATTTGAAGGCTGGAATGCAACCAGAAGCTGTTAGAATGCCTAAAAAGTCTTCAGAAGTGGAGGAGGATTTGGCAAAAATGGAGAAAGAAATATGCAAAGAATCGAAAGAATTTTCATGTGAAATAAGTTTATTTAAATTTTATAACCATATTAATTATTGTGTGGTTCAATGGATTTGTTTTTAGTTAATTTAATTTTTGTAGTGATAAAGTCGTTGGTTCGAGTCCAGCCACTATACGTTTATTTTTCTAGTTGAAAAACGTTAACAAAAAATTTTTCCTTATTTTTCCCATCATCCAAAAAATTTTCTAAAAATTTTTCCAGTCTCTCTAGACAATGCTGGATGTTGTCCTCTTTGCCACCAACAGCCAAAGGAAGGTCTAGCCCTTGAAGATAAAAACGAATTTAATTTGTCACCAAAGAAAAATCAAAATAAAATTGAAAATTATTTGGAAACACAAAAACATCACGTGGATAGTAACGAAGAGAAATGCCAATTTTTAATTAAAAAATTAATTGAGGCAGAAATGACAATAAACGAAGTTGTTGATTTTAGCGAGAATGAAGCCCCTAAAAGGGAAATTCATTTGGAGAGTATTTTTGAATATCCTCAAATTTTGGATAGATATAGAACACAGGTGTGGGTCAGAAAATTTGTAAGAAAAATTAAATTTCTAGGTTAATTATTGTGTTAGACTTCGACGCGTGACCGAAGAAGAAATGGAATTTTGCAAGTACCGTTCACTAACAAAAGTTGTCGATTACATCAATTATTTGTCTTTAATTAATTTAAACGAAATTATGGAGAAAACAACTTTTAAAAGTCAAAATTCATTTTTAAGTGAATCCTTGTCTGTTCAGGATAAGGTTCATAAAAATTTTGTCTTTTCAAAACCTTTCCTTAATTTTAAAGATTGTTTTGCTTCGTTATGGTTTTGCTCCACTAGTTCTGTTTGATATTGCTTTTGGGACTGTATCAGTTACTAAGGATACTCAAAATTTGCTTTGCTTGCCAACGGGGATTACTCTGTGTGCTGGGGAGACGGTAAAAGAAAATGTTTTAAAATATTAGAAAGTTGGGCCTAAAATTTCGAAAAATTTCAAAAAAATTTTCGATTTTCAACCATATCTTTTGAAATTCCGAACCGAAAATTGTTAACTTTTGAGAACCTCTAGATACCACTATAATGGATATTCGAGTAAAATTTCACGTTTCTAACCCCCATCTGAACTGTTTTAAGAACATCCACGCCCAAACATTCCCGCGCCTAATCGTCCCTTTAATTTTAATTGTGTTCCTCTTTAGATCGTTCCCAACAGTTTTCTAACACAACAAATTGTCAGTAAATGTATAAGTTCATTAGTTCGATTACTTGATGAATTAAAAATGGACCAAGAAGAGTTTATCTTAATGAAATTAATAATTGTTTTGGGAATGGATTCAGCTAGTGGAGAAGATAATAATGAAGGAGGAGGGGGAGGGGGAAGTACTTCAACAACAACAACAACTTCTTCCCTTCTTTCCCCAAAAATTAATCAAAAAGATGTTAATAACCCTCCTCAACTACTTTCAAGTAAAGGAAGACTTTTTGTGGAAAAATTGAGAGATTCTGCACATTCAGCACTTTATAGTCATACACCACAAAAATCAGCTTCTGTTAGTCCATCAGAGGCAGCTCTTCGTTTCGCCAAACTTTTACATATTTTGCCTAAATTAACGGCAAGTTTTATTTACTTGAAGATTTTTAAGAGGGAAAAATTCTGAAATCTTTCCTCCCACTTTCTCGTTGTCTTTCCGTCTTCATGGAAAGCAAATCATTAACTCTGAAAGGATCAAATCACACCTATGTGAATTCTCTTGTGTCTAAGGTCCTAAACTGGTCCAATTAGAATATTACGATGTCGAAAAGTTTCTTCCTAGCTCTCGGATAAAAGAATGAAAATCATTCAATTGATTGGTGGGAGATCCTCCAAACTTTTGCTATTTTCTTGGGTGTGTTCCGATTATTTTATATATTTTAATTTTTAATTCTAACTATTAAATTTTTTCTAATTTATTTTTAAAAATTTATTTTTTCAGTTAATTTCTCGTGACTTGATAGAAAACATTCGGATGGTACACACATTTCCAAGTACACGTTCACGGCCTACAGACCCGTTATTTTTTGATTTATTTGGGGATATATTTCAACCAAACAAAAAACAAAATAATTTAAATTCCCCCCAACAATTTACTATTCAAAACACTCAACAAATTAATAATTATTTTGGGGAGGGAAATAATGTTGTCCAAAAACAACAACAAAATAATTTAAGTGATTATGGGGAACAACAATTTCAAAATGATCTCATCTCTACTAGAATAAAACGGGATTTTATGTGGTGGCAAAATGAAAATTTTTAGTAGAAAAAAATAATTGGAAAGAATTTTTACTTGCAAAACTTGTAGGTACTTATAATTTTGGTACTTATCCGTTATTAGAGCTGGGGGCCCGATCCGACCCGGTTCGACAGATCGAGTCGGGCATCGAATTCTGGCCCGAAAAAGACTCGGTCGGGCCGGCCCGATAAAAATTAGACCCGAAAAAATGACTCGAACGCCGGCCCGACTCAAAAACCCCAACCCTATCCGTACCCCCATAAACTGTGTGGGAGCTGATTATGATCGCCTATTACTTTTTGCTGCTTGATCCAATTAAAATGAGTCTTATATTTTTCGAAAGCCCTCGATAAGCGGTATCTTATTTCTAATAGGATAGATCAAGTCTGATCATTCATTAAAAAGTTATATATCGTTGTTTGGGTACCTATTTTTAGTCCCGTAAATTTCTGTGGATGCCTTCCCTTTCCTTTAAAGTAGAGGAAAGATAGAGAGTTTTTAAAATAAAATTTTTTTAAATTTTAGAATACTAAACTAAAATCCACAAATTAATATTAAGAAATGAAAAGAAAAATTACAAGTAAACTTATGTTTTCAATTATTGTGATAATTATTTTATTTAAAAAGATTTTTGTTTAGTTAAATTTAAAAAAATAAAAATTCTTGATTGATCAAAATATTATACTTTTAAAGGATTAAATTAAGGGGATTTGCCGTTTGCTTAGATATTGTGAGTTAGAGAGTGGAAGGAATCAGTTTTAGCTTACAATTAAGGGGGTGGATGGGCAAGAATATAAAGCAAAGAGTATTGAGTTAATGGGCAAAATTTGAGGTTTTATTTGGATCTAGACACACAGCAACTTAATAACACCAGCCAATATTACCCCCACGGGAGAGTTACCATTTTAGAGTTTTTTCCTGCGTTTACTCAAATAAAAGTATCGAGTCTAAAAGTGGTATTTTATATAGTGTAATTTATTAAACGTTTCACAAAACTTTTGTCGTAGATATTTGTGAAAAATTAAGCTACCCAATTTTTTATTTTTCCCACTAAACATGCTTGACTTCGATCTTTTTTTTTTCAGACCGATTTGTTGAATATTAACATTAATAATTTTTTTATCAAAAATTTCAATTGTCTTCTCTTTTAGAATATTTCAACATTTTTTTCAAATTTTTTACAAAAATAAAAATATCTGTTAAAAATATCACTTGTAGGTCAGTCTTGGCCAAGCATCTTTGTTCACCTGTTTAAGCACAATCTCCACTTTACGTTCACTTATCAAAACCTTAAAAATAAAAATAATTTTTTTAATCCAAAAAGTGAGGTTTTATAACAGGAATGGGCCCTTTGAAAGATGGGAGGAAATAAAATTGGAAAACCAAAAATGACTAAATTAGGCACAACCAGAAGCAGAAGAAACCCTGCAACATTCCTATCCAAACAATATAAAGACTTCAAAAATTGGACTACTATTCGTTCAGAAAGTACAAAGACGAAGTGCAACCACTTATTAACCCCATACTTAAAATTCAAAAACATTTATAAATATCAAACCATGCTCTCAGAAGGAATAATTTCACCAAAAAGTTCATATTCTCGTAAGGTTTCTTTATCTCCAAAATTAAATTTAATTTTAGCCTTTAAATTAAGTCCATCTGTGTCAATTTTAGTTCCTTCAATTATCGCTCCTTTACAATAAATTGAAATTAAAATTTGTCCATTTCGCTGAAACCAATCTTCTCGAAGATTTTCTGTTTGGTCAATTTGCTGTTTTAATAAAATTAAAAAATTAAATATTTTAAAGAAATTTTTTTAAAGTCTCTCTCGAGGTGAACGAGACAGAAACAATTTAGTTAGAACAGACGAAAAAAAATTATTTAAAAATCTTCTAACAAGGGAACATTTCGAACTGTGAGTAAAAAGTTCGAAATAAAAGTTATACCATCGTGTAGAGCATCGTCGAAAACCTTTATGGTTTCCGGCTTTTTCGGCTCCGACCCCCATTTCGAAAAGTTATAGGTCTTCAAAGTTTTCGACTTTTGGAGCGGTTGAGTCGCCCTCATAAAGAGAGAGTTTTCTTTTATTAGGAGAAAAATAAGACTCCCACCTCCTTTTTTCCTTTCCTTTTCTTTTCCAATATTAGTTAAAGACAGAAAAAAGGAGGAGAGAAAAGAAAAGGAAATTGCCTTGCATCTGCCTTGCAGCTAATGTCAATTAAAAAGGAAAGAGGAGATGGCAGACATGCCTCTTTTCCTTTTCTTTCCTCTCCTCTTTTTCTCTTTCTTTAACCGACATGGGAAAAGAAGAAGAAAGGAAAAATGAAGAGAAGGAGTCTCATTTTTCTCTTTGGTAAGACAAATAATAAGAAAGGTGAGGGCGACTCAACCGCTCCAAAAGTCGAAAACTTTGAAGACCTATAACTTTTCGAAATGGGGGTCGGAGCCGAAAAAGCCGGAAACCATAAAGGTTTTCGACTATGCTCTACACGATGGTATAACTTTTATTTCGAACTTTTTACTCACAGTTCGAAATGTTCCCTTGTAAGCTTGGTTTTTGAATAATTGATATTTATCAGAAATATTAGGGAATAACCGATAAATGCCCAGAATTTTAGAATGGAAATGTCAAAAAATGATTTTTTTGCCGACAGGATTTCTTGACAGCAATTACTGTTCAAAGTTAAATAAATTAAAGACCCTCTAAAAATAAAAAAATTCCCACTCCCAAAAGTTTTATAAAACAAACTTTAGTCCAACAATGCTTTCCTCTAGAACATCCCTGTTGATCAAGAAAAGCTCCAAAATCGGTAGTTTTGCGCTCACAACAAGACCAATATTTCATTCCCTCATGGAATATTGCATTGCCTGGATGGTGTAAACATTCTTGTAAATCTGTTTCGGGCCCAGTATAAGTCTAAAAAAATTTTTCAGAAAAATAAAAAAAAATTTTAAACCGCTTTGCAAGCATTATTAATACATCCAGTCCCAATCAAAAGCTTTAAATTTTGAATTTCATCGATTATTTCAACATTTTCTTTCCTTCGTTGTAATTCATTTTCTAACGCTTTCCGGGAACTCTAGAAAATTAAAAAAAAGAAAACTGAACATTAAGTCGAATAAACTGACCTCTGTCATTTGCACTGAAATTTGTACTCTTTCTCGATTTTCAGCTTTTGATCGTTCAGCCGGTTTGTTCAATCCATTCCAGACGATCATCTAAGATTGAAAAATTCTTCGCTATAAATTTAGATTTTAGATCCACAAAATTTTAAGCGATCCCACCCATAAATCCTGGAATTTAAACGAGAAAATGAATTCAGAGATTAATCCGGAGAGATCCCGTCCCGTACAAAATGTTGAAAAAATCGGAATTCGACACAAGAATGCTTGACAATAATGCTTAAAAAATCTCTAACAACCAAAATAAAAATCAAACCTTTTCTTCAACTTCAGACTGTGACGGCAAAACTTTAGGAACATCATTGCAAGGTTTATCAGGATTATGCTTTTAAATAAAAAATAATTTTTATTAATTTAAAATAAATTACAGGTCCACGAGTACATCCTTCAAAACTCAGCCAAGTGCTTTAAAAAATTTTTTAAATGAAATTCACATTAAAATGAACCTAAAATCTGTGCTTTTTTTATTGCAACACTTCCAAATTTTGTAAGCATCATGAAAATAGGGCGGCCCAGGGTGGAAAATGCAAGAATCTTAAAATTTATTTTTTAAAATTAAAATTTATAAAAATTAAAAAAAAACCTTCTTTATTTTCATCAGGATTAAATTTAGCTCCACATCCTTTGTTGTAACAAAGTAAAAGTTTTGAAGTATCCATCAAAAATAAATTTAAAAACACTAAAAAAGAACTAAAATTAACCTTAAAAATTTAATTAACAGAAATTTCTAGACAACAACTTAACCAGCAAAAACTGAGAGACGTTTCAGTGGAAAAAAGAATAAGCGCCCATTTCATATTTATTTTATGCTTTTATTTTTCGATACTTTTATTTGAGTAAACGAAGGAAAAAGAACACTAAAATAATAACTCTCCCTCGTGGAGGCAACAAGGGAACCTTCCGAACTGTGGCCCAAAAATTTTTTCATAAAAATTATACCACCGTGTAGAGGTCGATAGCCTATTCCCATACCTCGCTTTTTTCCCCTGACCCTCATTTCGAAAAGTTATAAGGCTTCAAAGTTTTGACTTTTTAAGTTGTTGTGTGTCTAAATCCAAATAAAAATTTTTAAGTAATTACAAAAAAAGCTAGAAAAAATATTAAGGTTAAAATTTTCCCGTGGTTTAAATTGAAAAAAATATTCATGGTTTAAATTTATCATATAAATAAATTAAAAATAAATTAAATTTATATTTTAATTGGTCATAAAAAAGTCCCATATTTTTTACATTTTTAATCTGAAAATCCAACCGTTCTCTAACTTCAGATATTTTTAGTAAATATTTATTTTGATACCTCTAAAGCATCTTCACGTTCTACTGTCAATTCCTTTAAAATTTTTAATAAATTATTTTTTAAAAAAGGTTGTAGAAAAACCTCTGTTGTAATTTCAATTTTTTGTTTCGCAAAATCATCAAGTTCCAATCCCTGTACAATTTTCCAGTCACGCGTTTTTGCATCAATTGTGATTGGAAATGAGAAGATCAAACCTTCCGGAATTCCATAAGAACCATCAGAAGGAACGGCCATAGAAACCCAATCGCCATCTTTTGTTCCAAAGTGCCAATCATGAATGTGATCACTAAAATTGAGGAGATATTAGACGCCCATGTCTTGATTTATTCAAAACTTACCAAGCAGCCTTTGCTGCAGACATTGCGCTGGACAGTTTGCGTTTTTCGATAATAACAGCTCCGCGCTTTTGGACGGTCTAAAAAATTGGGAGTTTTCTAAATGTTCTCAAAAAATAAATAACCGAAATAAATTCATTTTGAATCCAAGGCACATCATTTACCGCTTCATAAGCACCAATTTCTGCGCCACCTGTTAAGTAAAAATATTCGGACAAAAAATAAAATTTCCAAACCTTTAATTACTTTAGCGTGTTTAACATCAGGAAATTGGGTACTTGAATGATTTCCCCAAATTATAACTTTCTTCACAGACCCACAGTCAACGCCACAACGAGCAGCTATTTGGGCAATTGCACGGTTATGGTCAAGACGTGTCATAGCGCTGAAATTCTTTGCTGGAATTTTTTCTGCTGCATATTTTGCACAGATAAAAGCATTTGTATTAGCTGGGTTTCCAACAACCAAAACCTTTAAAAAATTTTAAATGTCAAAATTTATTTTTTACCTTAACAGTTGGTTTAGAATATTTTGCAAGAGCCAGTCCTTGCGATTTAAATATTTTTACATTAGCAGCAAGTAAATCCTTTCGTTCCATTCCTTCTTTTCGAGGCATTGCACCAACAAGAAAAGCATAGTCAATGTCTTTGAATGCTGCTTCTTCAGTCGTGACTGGCTCGACAGCTGAAAATGTAGGAGATTTTAGATAAAATTAAAAATAAAAAAAACCTATAAGATTCGCCAAGGCACAATCGTAAAGTTCAAGCTCCACTCCTTTAAGCACTTCGGCCATATGAGGAATATCCAACATGACCAGAACAATAGGCTAGAAAATTTTAATTAAAAAATAAGTTTTTAAGAATATCAAACCGTTTCCTTTCCAAAAACATCACCCTTTGCAATTTGAATAACCAAAGAATAACCAATTTGACCAGCTGCTCCAGTAACTAGCACGCGTATTGGTATCTGAAAAAAGTAAGTATTAAAAGAGTAATTAAGTTTAATTAAAAATAAAAAAAGTCTTTTAGTTAAATCCCTAAAAAGACCCTGGAAACGAACTGCCACTTGTAAAAATGAGCGGCCTGGGACTTTTCCCCACTGTTAACAGATTGAAAACGGCAACCCTATTTGATGGGCATAGGCGCCCATCAAAAAAATAGGGTTGCCGTTTTCGAGTCGGGCCAGATTTTTCCAAGCATTTTCTTTCGGGCCTAACTTTATCGTCGGACTGGAATAAGTCACTTTCGGGCCAAACATCTAGGCACCCGACTAGATCTTTCGGTCCGAGTCGGTCCATTTTGACAACCCTACCATCAAAATAAAAAAATCCAACCTTTTCCTCAGCTTTAGGTTGAGTCTGCTGTGTTTTGGGGACATCAGGTTTAACAGGGTTATGCTTTTAAATAAAAATAATAATTTTTAATTATTTAAAAGAATTACAGGTCCACGGGTACATCCCTCGAAATTCAACCAAGCCCTTTAAAACAAAAATTTTTATTAAAAATTACATTAAAGATTTACGTAAAATCTGTACTCTTTTTATTACAACACATCCAAATTTTATAAGCGTCATGAAAATAAGGCGGCCCAGGGTGAAAAGTGCAAGAGTCTTAAAATTGAATTTTTAAATTAAATCAAAAATTAAAAAAAAACCTTCTTTATTTTCATCTGGATTAAATTTAGCTCCACATCCTTTATTGTAACAAAATGTGAGATTAGGGGTATCCATTATTTAAAAAAAAGAACTAAAAATAACAAATAAGGTAATCTCAAACAGAAATCTTAATTACGAATAAGAATTTAAAAGTTACCAAGAGTGCTGAAAAGAAAATAATGAGACTGAAGTGTACCATTTCGAATAGAGTTCAGTTGAGTCTCAGAAGGTTGTCCCAGGCGTGTCTGGTGAAAACGGCAGTGGTGAATTGGGCAGTGAGTAATCTGGGCAGTGAGTGATTTGGGCAGTAAACGTTTTTTAAAAAATAATTTTACACGCAAAAACAATTTGAGTAACGTTAGAAGAATAATTTAAAGTGATTTGGGCAGTAACTTAGAATTTTTAAATTATTTACATAAAAATTCAAAGAACCGTACCCCTTTTTATTTTGATAACGTTGTAGGTACAACATACCCCTTTGTTGAAATCGTCTTGGTCTCAATTTTGACGTTTCCCTAAGTGTTAAGTATATTTAAAGTATAAAAAATTGAGAAATAATTCCTATTTTAAGTTTTTAGGTCTCAAGACAGGTCCAAAATATCTGAAAAGGGTCAAAATAGTTTTGGAAAAATATGTTCAAATTTTGGATTTACTTTAAGTTAAATAAAAATTTGCGGAATTTTTCTTATTAATTTTAAATAATCTTAAAATTCTAAGTTACTGCCCAAATCACTTTAAATTATTCTTCTAACGTTACTCAAATTGTTTTTGCGTGTAAAATTATTTTTTAAAAAACGTTTACTGCCCAAATCACTCACTGCCCAAATTACTCACTGCCCAATTCACCACTGCCCAAATCACACGGCACCGTCCCAGGGCTATATTTTGGGCCATAACCTTTTTATTTCTTAATCGATTTAAATAATTAATATATTAATAGAAAGCTCTCAATGTAAGGATCATTTTTTCTAGGGGGATTGATCTGATCAGATCAACAAACAAAAAGTTAAAGCCTAATAAATATCAAAAATCAGGATTACACGCACTTGTCTAGATGTAACTTTTTGTGGAATGCTCTGCTCAAATCATCCCTGTTGGCGAAAATGATTCACACAACAAGGGCTTTCGAATGTTAAAAGAATTACTCGAATTAATTGGATAGCTAAAAGTTATGGCTCAAAGTATGGCTCAGGGATTCAACCGGTGGGACTCAATGATCCCCACCCTTTTCGGAAAAAAATTAGGAAAATGCTTGAGTCCCACCACAATTTCCAAAGAAAGCTGAACAAAAAATAACATTGTTTTGTAAATAACAACAAACTTTGTAGTTTTCTAGAATAAAAGAGGAATTTTTTCATCTTTCTTTGATTATTATCTTACAACATAAATATTTTTTATTTGCGTTAAACTTTATTTTTTTTCAGATTTCTCTTATTTTATTCTGCAACGCCAGCTTTATAAATTAATCTACGGGTATATTAATTATTCATCATGTCAGGATTGCGTAAGGTAAATTAAAAAAATTTTTTTTTCTTCAAAAAGAAATTTTAATTAAATTTTTCTTTTCACAGGAATTCAATTATACTGATAAAGAAATTTTGTCAATGATGATGGAATTAAAGGTTACACACACTATTAATTTGGTAGAACTTAGAAGAGCATTTTTCAAGGTTTTTTAAATTTATTTAATTGTTAATTTTGTTTTTAATAGCAAATAAAAGCTCATCATTCGGATAAAGGTGGCGCTGTTCAAAAAGCACAGGTCTAAGGATTTTTCAAAAAAATTTTTCTTTAAGGATTGTTTGGTAATATTGAACCTGACAGACCCATTTCTTCCTCCCCAAGTTTGTTTATCTGCAGAATGGCCAGACTTTCCTTTCTTCCATCCAAATTGCCCTTCTTTATCTTGCCTACAAACAATCGAAAGGAATTAATTTTTATTCTTCCTTGGATGGAAGTAAGGGAAATTGAAAGAAGTATGACCCTTCTGCAAATATATAGGAAGAAACTTGGGGAGGAAAAATGGGGTCTGGTAGGTTGATATTATCGATTGTTTTCGAACAATTTTTGCAAAAAACCCATTCTTGGAATATATTTTAAAATTTTCAGATTATAACTCAAGCCTATCGTGTTCTAAAGCAATATGTGGAGGCCGGAATAATGCTGCCTAAAGCTACTCAAAATGGCTTTCATCAACCTTCAACATCTGCTGATTTTGGGGGAAGGAGTGGATGCAGACCGAATCAATCAGCGCCTAGAGCTGCCCCAGATGGATTTGAAGATTTTGGGGATTTTCAGGTTTAGCTTTTTTTGACTTTAAAAATTTTAAAATTATAAGGACGTAAAATCTAAACGAAGAAAAAAATTTGGAGGAATGAGTAATGGCAAAAATAACCAACAACCAGAAAGTGATGATGCTAGGGATGAGCCTTCAACTGGAGGGAAACCTAAAAATATGTATAAAAATTTTGGCCCTTTCCTAAAAAGAGGGCGCCTTGATTTTTTTCATCATTTTTTTCCAACCTTAATATATAAATAATGGTCAGTCTTTTCTTCCTCGTTCAATTCCACTCTTTTTACCTTTGGCATATTCAATTGAGAGGACAGAAAAGCACATACACCAGACAAAACACGGACGGACACACACAAACTTGTTTTGTCTGTCCGTGCTCGTCAGTGTTTGTCCGTGCTCGTCCGTGTTTTGTCTGTCCGGGCTCGTCTGTGTTTTGTCTGTCCGTGTTCGTCCGTGCTCGTCCGGTTTCATTTGTGTTCGTCCGTGTTCGTCGGTTTCGTCCGTGCTTTGTCTGTCCGTGTTCGTCCGGTTTCGTCCGTGCTCGTCCGGTTTCGTCCGTGCTTTGTCTGTCCGTGTTCGTCCGTGCTCGTCCGGTTTCGTCCGTGCTCGTCCGGTTTCGTCCGTGCTTTGTCTGTCCGTGTTCGTCCGTGTTTTGTCTGTCCGTGTTCGTCTCTGTTCGTCCGTGCTCGTCCGGTTTCGTCTGTATTCGTCCGTGTTCTTCCGTGTTCGTCCGTGCTCGTCCGGTTTCGTCCGTGCTTTGTCTGTACGTGATTGTCTGTCCGTGAGTGTATTTTTCTGTCCTCACATTTGAATATGCCACAGGTAAAAAGAGTGGAATTGCACGAAGAAGAAAAGACTGACCATTATTTATATATTAAGGTTGGAAAAAAATGATGAAAAAAATCAAGGCGCCCTCTTTTTAAGATAGGGTCAAAATTTTTTAACTTTGTTAAAGTTCGTTCTTTAAGTAATATTAAAGCACAAAAATTTGTTAATGGCTACACTTATTTAAAAGAAGATTTTTCTACTTATGACGACCCAATGGAAAGGCCAGATCGACAAAAGGATGGAGTTAGAAAGTAATTTTTATTCTTGTATTTTTGAGAAGTTTGCAAATAAATCCGCAATTTTTGTCCGCAAATTATCTTAAAAATTGCGGACAAAAATTGCGGATTTTTTATCTTTGACCTTGAGAATTTTCATTTACGGCAAAGAATTTCGAATTTTTATTAGAATTATCTTTTTTATTTTCTAATTATAGAATTCGTGGTGGTTTACTTCTTTACAAAGACTTTAATCGTGCACTTGTACTTCCAACAGAATATCAAGAATTGGGAAGTACATTTTCCGTAATTAAAAAAATTTTCTTCTAAATTAAAAATTTATTTTTTTAAAGGAAAATGATTTGGTAGATGACCCTTCATTTGCACCAATTTTGGAAAAATTACAACAAATTGCTTGTGATTTGCCTTCTTTAGCCGAAAAATTGAGAATATTTATTTATATTGCTTGGGCATTTGATGGAGTTTGTTTTCTCTTAATTTTCTAATTAAAAAAATTTTTTTAAGGGTGCTATGCAAGATGCTAAAATTATGTTACAAAAAGTTAAAATGGAACCTTATGGTATTGATGATGATTCTCTTTATGAGGTTTTCTTTAACGATTTTTTACTCTAGATTAAGATAATTTCCTAAAAGAAATTAATGAATAATTTAAACGAAATTTACTTCTTATCCCTTATTAAGGGAAAGATCTTTAAATCTTGGAAAGATTTTTAAACTTTTACATTTTTCTCAATTTAGATAAAAATACCACGCCGAACATTTGATGACGATGTTTTAACTACAGGCCTTCACGTTTCTGTACGTTCTGTCTCTGATGGAAAATTATATGCTAATGTAAATTTATTTTTTAAGTATATTTTTTAAGTTAAACTCTAACGTCTTTGTGGTTAAGTTGGTAGTGAATTTGATTTTATTTTGTTGCTCGCTTAATCTACTGAACTAATTAAATAATTTGAAAGTTCGGTCTACAAAGTGAGCTAAATAAAATTTTAGGAGGGTATCTGCTTTTGGACTATTTAAACAAAATGCCAAAAGTTCGTCCCTTCTGAACACGATTTTCTTTAATTTTTGTTTTTTTAAATTAACAACAATTTTTTCCTTAATAGGCAGTTATAGAACAAGTCAACCCTTCAAGCCAAAGCATTGTTCTATTTTTTGTTGATCCTTTACGACTTTCTCGAATTTTGGCGTTGAGCAATAATGTAATAAAATTTTATAAATTTTTTGTTAAAATGAATAGGAAAATATTTTTTAGGTAAATGTGTCAATTAATAGTTCTGCTTTTGTTTATCGCTCACAACTTCGTTCATTAGAATGGATATTGGCAAATTGCGGAAGTAGAAGAAATATGGATCAAATTATTTATCCTAAACCTGAATTTACTGAGGTTTATTTAAATAAAATATTTAAAAAGGAAATATTATTTAGACCCTTGAAGAGTTTCGAGTGCGCAGAGCTGTTGAATTGTTGTCAATGCCATTTCGGGAAGAAGCTGATCATAGCTATAATGAGGAACAAGTTAGTTGATTTATTATTTGTTCATTAGAATGGGGACATTGGACAATGGGATATGTCCCCAACATCAATTCATCCATATTTATTAGGACACCCCTTCCCTAACTTTATCCTAGTCACAATTAAAACTGGTCAAGAAAGAATTTTTCAGTCAAAATCACTTTTGTATCTATTCTTCTATCCCTTCTTATTTCGATACCCTTCTTTTCCCAACTTCTTGAAATACACAAAAAATTTATTCAAAAATTACAGAAAAACGCCATCTTCTCAATTGTCAATAAAGAACACCATCCATGGCCGTTTGTTTTATTTGGACCTCCAGGTTTTTAAAAATGTTTGAGTTTTCAAATTTTTTTTTCAATTTTAGGAACTGGAAAAACAATTACTTTAATTGAATCAATTAGACATTTAGTCCTTCAATCATCCCAAAATCGTATTTTGGTTTGTACTCCAAGTAAAATGGCTGCTGATAATTTTGCTGAAGCTCTTTTACAACATGACTTTTTGGAACACAAATATATTTTTAGAATGCATTCTCTATGTTTGTTTTTTTTTGGATTAAAAAAATTTTTTTTTATTTTTTAAGCAACGATGGCACACAGTCGAAATAAAAAATTGGACCCGATATCTTATTTGGCGTAAGGTTTTTTGATTTTTAAAGACATGGATTCCTCTTGTTGATTATATTTCTAGCTCATCCTCCCTTAAAACTTCTCGTACTTAAAAAAATTTTTTTATTCAACATTCGACTATTTTTGACATGAAGCCAAATAATAAATAAGAGAAGGGGAGGGGGCGCGACTCGACCGCTCCAAAAGTCGAAAACTTTGAAGCCCTATAACTTTCCGATTTGGGGGTAGGGCCGAAAAAGAAAAAAACTGGCAATAGGAAATCGAACCTGCTCTACAAGATGGTATAAAAATAATTGCGAAATTTTTGCTAACAGTTCGATATGGTTCCTTGTGAGGAAAAATTTTCGTCGACTTCTGAATTTACTTGTCATTTCCTGTCATTCATTTTCTAATAAGTCCTAAACCCCTAAATTTTACAGAGAATATCCTTTACAGATATTAAAATTAATTTTTAAATTTTAAAGAAAAGAAGCCAAACATCGTTTCTTTGGAATTCCTGATCGTTTAAATTTAAAAATGTTTCGTGTAATAATTGCAACATTAGCTACTTCATCTTATCTAATTTTGGCTGGCGGTTTAAGGGATTATTTTACGTTTGTTTTATTTTTATTTGTTTTCAAATTTTTAATTTTTTAGACATATAATTGTTGATGAAGCTGGTCAAGCATTAGAATCAGAAGTTTGGATTCCTATAGGCTTGTTATTTTTAATTTTGTAAAAAATGGAAGAATGTTAGAGTGAAAACAATTAAAGATCCGTCTTTTTTATTTATTTTTCGTTTATCATTTTCTCGAAGATTTTTTGTAGCTTATTTAGTATTCCATATCATCTACTATTTTCCTTTTTTTCGTTTTTTTTTGAGAGGAGTGGAATGTTACATAAGGTTAATTGTTCTAATTTTGGGTTCTTTTGTCTTGAAAGGAGAAAAAAAATATGATGGGATCAGTTTATTTACTCCTTTGATTTATTTACTTTTCCCATCAGTTTATTTACTCCTTTGAATATAATTTTAAAAATGAAATGATTTAAAGATAAGCCTTAATTATTAAAAACTTAAAATTCCTTTTTTAAGGAGGACTTGTTGGAAAAGAAACCTCTGTCGTTTTGGCAGGCGATCCAATGCAATTAGGCCCAGTTCTAAATGTAAATTCAATGAAATGGTTTGGTTTTGATATTTCTATGCTTAAAAGAATTATGCATTCTGAAATGTACAAGGATTCGTCTGACGAGTATTTTTAAAATTTTTTAATTAAAAAATTTCAAAAATTTTTTAGAAGATTTTTTGTTATTCTACGCCAAACATATCGTTCACATTATAATATTTTGAGGCCTTGTTCTTATTTATTTTATGATAATATGTTAATTGTTGATGATAGACAAGGAAATTTTTATAAACTTTCTGATTGGGAAGGATTACCTACAAAGGTTTTTTTTAATTTTAAAATTAATTTTTGTGGACTTCAGTGCCAATTATCTATTTAAAATAAAATTTTTTCGGGAACTTAAGTGCCGATAATATTTTTAAATTTTAGGTACTCTGCGTTTATATACCACCATGTCCGCAAACGTATGTCCGCACTTATTTTCTTTTCCTTCTTTCTCCTCTCATAAAGATTAGAAATGGTAAGTAAAAACAACAGACAAATATTCGTTTATATAAAAATATAAAAGCAAAAATAAGACAATTTTAGAAATTATTTCGGAGGCCATATTTCTGCTATTTTTTTTACAAATCCATTCGAAAAAATTTTCTTCCTTAGCTTCTTGCCTACACATAAAAAATTTGACTGCCATTTTATATGAATGATTCTCTATAGTATTTGATGTTCTTAATATTTATGAGAAAATTCTTCTTGACCATTTTAATCTTTATGATAGGAGAAAGAAGAAGAAACATGGTTTATTAATACTTACCATTTCTAATCTTTATGAGAGGAGAAAGAAGGAAAAGAAAATAAGTGCGGACATACGTTTGCGGACATGGTGGTATATAAACGCAGAGTACCAAATTTTATTTTTAACAATTCGAAGATGTACTTTGACAACAATTTTAAATTTATTTTTTGTTGTCAAATCAATCTTCGGTAAATAATGAAAGGAATAATCATAAGAAAATATTTGTTTTTATATCTTATTTTTAATACTTATTCTGACATTGTTTAAGGTCTAAATTTGCCCTTTTATCAGTGTCTTTGACCCCTTACTTGCTTATCCTGTTCTCACATTTCTTAAGCTTTTACTTTTTGCTTTTCATCGTTCTCTCATTTATCGGCTCCGGTACAAAATATGGAATCGTTAAAATATGGAATGGTTAAAATCGCGAATAGGCTAAAAAGGGGTTAAAATACCGAATCGTTAAAATATGGAAACGTTAAAATATCGAATCGGGTAAAAAAGGGTTAAAATATGGAATCGTTAAAATATGGAATGGTAAAAATGTCGACACGGCCAAAATCTGTCAAAATGTCGAATTCTTTTAAAAAAGGGTCAGATGAGTGCCATACGTTGATTGTAGATGATTTTATCAACTTATCAACTTATTAATGATAAGTTGATTGATAAGTCTCTTATGTCGTAGTCCGGCACAATCTTTTCTGCCAGAGTTCATTGTATTTTACCGAGTAAAACCGGACCGGATAAATCAAGCATAATCGACCGGATCCGGTCCGGCATGATCGTACGGATCCGGAAAACATAACGCGATCCTGATATGGAAAAATTAGAGTGGTGTGCATTAGTTTTTAGTTAAGACCTAAAGTTTGACCTTACCGTATACGGTACGAAATACCGAAAAATACCGATCAGCTTTTAAATTTTATCGGTCGGATTCCGTACCGTACAACCGACACGGAATATCGAAAAATACCGTCGGTATTACGGTAACGCCCGGATTCTAGTTTTGGCGCCATTTTTAAAAAATTCGACATTTTGATCGATTTTGGCCGTGTCGACATTTTTACCATTCCATATTTTAACGATTCCATATTTTAACCCTTTTTTAGCCTATTCGATATTTTAACCATTCCATATTTTAACGATTCCACATTTTAACCCCTTTTTAGCCTATTCGCGATTTTAACCCCTTTTTACCCGATTCGAGATTTTAACCCTTTTTTAGCCTATTCCATATTTTAACGATTCGATATTTTGTCCGGACACGCATTTATCACACAGCTCAATAAGAGAAACTCTTATGTATCCCTCTAATTATCCCACCTTGCCCTCCCTTATCTATCCCATTTTTTGGTATTCCTGTCTTTTACTATAACATTCTACTCATTTTAGGGCTTCCCAATAATTTTTCATTCTTCTCGTGGCAGTGAAGATGAACAAGGAGTTAATAAATCACATCAAAATACTTTTGAAGCTAATCTAGTATGTAAATATGTACAACGAATTTTGGCTGAAACAAATACACAAGAAAAGGATATTGGGGTTATTTCTCCCTACAAAAATCAGGCAAAATTTAAAAGAAAATTCTAAAAAATTCCAAAAAAATTCTTTTTAAGGTTCTTCGTTTAAGAGTTATGTTAGCTTCATTTCCTGGTGTTACAGTCGATTCTGTTGAGGGATTTCAGGTATTTTAAAAAATTTTAAACTTGAAATTTTTTTTTAATTTTCAAGGGTTCTGAAAGGGAAGTAATTATTATGTCAATGGTTAGGCAATATGATTTGGGATTTCTTCGTTGTGATTTGGTAAAATTCGTATTTTTTGTTCAGATTAATTTTTGACATTTTTAGAGAATAAATACTTCAATTAGTCGAGCAAAGTATTTGCTTATAATTATAGGAAATGAAGCTTTATTATCCTTACATGCAACATGGAAAAAGTAAATTAATAAAATAAAAATAAAATTTTTCTTGGGAGGGGTTGAATACAGTTTTAAATAGTCCTCATTATCTCCACAAAGATTCCGTCTTTTTTTAACTTATCTTTTTTTCTTTTACCCATTCCATGTAGTCGAAAATTTCCAGTTTTATTCTTTTCCGCACAAAGTTGTTTTTATCTAACATGTAAGACCATCATTTCATCTCTTCAATATCTCACCAATTACTAGACCATAATTTTCTTTGGGGGGTTTCTAAAATTAGATGCAAGTCCTTTATATATTTTTTCTAATATTTCAAAATACCTCAAAATTACCTCCTTTCTTAATTTTTTTCAATAATTTAAAAAATTATTTTTTTAAAGGTTTATTTATTATTGTCGTTTTCATGGAGGATTTTTAAATAGTTGTGGAGTAAAAATGGATCCTATTGCAGATGAAGAAGAAATGTATGGAAAAGATGAAGAAAGGGAGGAAGAAGAGGAGGAAGAAAATTATAAAAATGAAGATGATGAAATTTATGAAAATGGATTGGAAGAAGAAGAGGTGGGTGAGGAAGAAGTGTTTAATGAATCTTTTCCGGATGACCCTCTTAATAATTTTATTTAAAAAAAAGAATTTATTTAAAAAAAAGAAAATTTAAAGAGAAGAACTTTTATAATCAATTAAAAAACACTTATTTTTATTAGAGAAACGGAATTTTTTGAGGGGGTTTGGAAGGGGTTTTCGATCTGATTCAGATTATCCTTGTATTTTTCAGAAATTAATGAAAACATTTTTGGTTATTTTTAGAGAGCAGGCTGGATCTGGATCCAGAACTTGATTTTTCCTGGATCCAGAGTCCAGATCAAGGCATTTTTCAGAGTTCTTTGATTTTTCCCTGACTCAAGGTCAAAAATCTGGTCAAGGTACCCAATTAAAATCAAGAATCAAGGTCACGGTTTTTTTTGAAAATCTTGCTCTCTAATTATTTTGTCAAATTTTTTGGATTAAATTTTATATTAAAAATCATCCTCTATTTTCAAAATTTTGTTATAACCTTAAGACCTTTGCCAATCCCTTCTCTAATAATTTTACTATTATTTTATGCCTTGACTTTTTTTTATAATTTTATTTCTATCTTTGCTTTCTGACTATTTTAAATATACTGCCAGTTTTGATTATTAAATTATATATTTTTGTTTTTGAAATTAGAAAATTATAAATTTTTTAATTTTTTTAACTATAATTCTCAAAATATTTACTACAATATCATAAAATTTATTCAACAAAAAAATTAAAAAAAAAGAATATAAAAGCAGTGAATTTAATCGTTTTTATAGGGCAGATTTAAAGAAAAGTTTATTTTTTGAAAGAAAATTTTATTTTTTAAATGAGGTCAAAAATAAAAAAAAATCGGGTCTAAATTAATTTTTAGAAAAATTTTTAAAAATTGTTGGATCCCTTAAGGAATTGAAAAAAAAATATTTTTTGAAAAATTCTAAAGGATCTTAACAATTTTTTGAAAATTGAATTTAAAATAATTTATTTCAACTAATTTTTAAATAAATATTTAAATACAAAATGCTATAGAAGGTCAAGAAATATAAAGAAAAAATATTTTTAAAAATTAAAAAAATACAAATTTCGATTAATACAAATAATTAAAATTTACAAAAAGAAAGCTAAGTTCTTAGTTTGTATTTCTCCTCCTTTTTTCTCCAGAATTTGAATCATTTTTGGATTTTTTACATAAAATTTTAGAGTTTTTGGAAGAATAAAAGAAGGGAATCACAAAACTAAAATTTTTATCTAAAAATTCAACTTATTGGTCAATTAAATAAAATTGTTGGACCGGTTGTTGAGATGGGAAAACACCTAGAAAAGGGGAGAAATTAATTTAAATTTTAAATAAATCTTTGGATGGTGTTTTATATCCAAAATTAATCCTGTCTTTAAAAATGTTAGAGATTAGGGTTGGGGTTTTCGAGTCGGAACGACGTTCGGGTCATTTTTTCGGGTCTCATTTTTATCGGGCCGGCTTAACCAAATCTTTATCGGGCCAAAATTCAATGCCCGACTCGATCTTTTGGACCGGGCCGGATCGGGCCCCCAACTCTAAGAGAGATGCTGCTATCAATCCCCGCTTTTTTAGAAATATATCCCCACAATTAAAAAATTGTTCCCCCATTCCCGTAAGGCATTTTCACTAAAGTTAACCTATTGTGGACCTTGTTTGATATTTATAAAATTATTTTATTTACCAATTTGTTGTTGTTCATTTTGTCCATAAATTTGCCTTTCATTACTAGATTGCATTGTTGAAGGCTGTTGTTGTTGTGGAACTACTAAGCCTGAAATGCCTGGCATTTGGAAGGAAACTGGTGATGAATGTTGCGGTATTTGTGGAGGATTATAAGCTGAATATGTACTATGTTGATTTTGAACACCGCTAGTTGAGGCTGCTTTTTTAAAATTTTAAAAATTAATAGGGAAAAGATGGGTTGACTGATGGAGGTTATGACGACACAAATTTAAACATAAAAATGTCAAATGACCATCTAATAACGTGAAATTTCGCAGAGATACTCTCAATACTATTAATTAACTTGTCTCAAAATTTGAAAATTTTTTGTTAAAAATTTCAAAAGTTATGACAGAAACATTAACAAAAAACGACAAAATTTTTTGAAAATTCTACATTTTCGAGCATAACTCCCCAAATATTTAACCAAAAATTCTCAATTTTTTAGCAGAGCTAGATAACAATATTGAGCACAATTATACAAAATTTCAAAATTTTTCGAGCCCATTTGACTATTTTACAAACGTTTGCGCCCAACAACTTTCGCGCCCAAACATACCAGTATCAGGAAACCCTGTAAAGAATTGTTGTGTTTGGATAGTTTGTTGGGGAGAATTTAAAGAAGAATTTAATAAAGAAGTTTGTTGGAAATGTGGAGATGTTTCTTGCATTAATTGTTGTGTTTCTTCAAATAATGTTTGTTGTGTTTGGTGGAAATATTGTTGTTTGGTGTCTAAATGTTCAAATTGTTGTTGTCCTCTATTTTCTATAGGGGCGCCATAATTTAGAAAGGACTGGTAATTATTGGGGGTGTTGTTGTTAGTGTTGTTGTTATTGCTTTAAAAATATAATTTTTAAATTAAAGACCTCCTTATAGTGGCTTCCTTATTGTGGCCTCCTTATAGTCCTTATACCTAGTGGAATGTAGAAAAAATTTTTTATAGACTATTGGTAACAGAAGGAAATATACGAAAAACAATATTTTACGTAAATCCTCAAAAATAATTGCGGACAGTAGTTGCGGACACAAATCCAATCATAAAACTTTTATTGAGATTACAACTAGATATAAAAAATAGTGAATATTTTAGGTAAAATTGTTAGGCAGGATTGATCTCCCCTTTATAAAATATACCCTCTATATAGTGTACAACATTATCAATAAATATTTTGTATTTTACCTTCTCATATTTATTCCATTGGCGCTTCTATTCAAAGGTAGTCTTTCCCTATCTTTTTGTATAGTTAATTGAGGCTTTTGGCTGTCTTGTTTTTTAATCTTTAAAGATAAATTTAAAATTTTTTTTAATTTCCAATTTTACCTTCTTTCTAGGTCTATATTTATAGTCTGGATATTCCAAACAATGTAACTGTCTCAATTCTTCAGCTTTTATTTCATATGGCCTCTTGTCTTCTTTAGTCATACTTTTCCAGCGAAAGCCCAACTTTAAATTGAAAATTATTTGGTTAAAAGATAGGAACTAAAAGACCTCCAAAATGATCAACTTTCGTTAGTAGTGACTTGAATGTCTTAGGAAAAGTCGCCTATAACGAAATGCCCCTCTTTACTGTGAACTGGAAGATTGAAACGAAAGAAAAGTCGCCTATGTTGAAATGTTCGTAATTAAGAGGGTCGCTACAAACGAAACTTGACCTCTATTTTTTTCTTAACCCTCTATTTTATGTACATCTTGAGAAGTTAAGAAAACTTTTTTTACCTCTTTACTAATTTCAGCATTATGTTTGTCTGGTTGAACACTACAAATTTTTAAACGTTCATCACGTGACCATACCATAAATGCTTAAAAATATTTTTTATTAAAAAATTAATTTCCAAATTGGAAAAACCATTCATAGGCCTTTTGATATGATTTCCCGATTTTTTACATTTTGTTGCATTTGTGTATGGCTGGAAAGGCTGAAAATAAGAAAGGGATTTTAAAATATATTTTAACTGAAATGTAATGTTACGGCGAGCCTTATAAAATTGCCTAAAGAAAGGTTAGGGGGATAAAATTTTGCACAGATATTCTCAATAGATATATCTAGCAACGATAAAAATTTCAGGGTAATATTCAATTTCGTTCCCCCCCTCCTTTTTTCCATCCTCAAAGTATTTAAAAATGGTCAGTCTGACTTAAGTTATAGAACTCGTCGAGCTGAGTCGAGTGATATCGAAATCAAAAAAATCCGACTTGATTTGACCGAAATACAGACCCCTAAATATTGAACAACCATAGGGGTGATTTTTTAGAATAAAAATTTTTTATGCAAATGATATCTCATTCGTAAGAGCTCGTCGAGCTGAGTCGAATGACAGCGAAATCAACGTAATCGGACGAGTTTTGACAAAGTTATGGCATTATTTAGACCTACCGGAGTCGGCAACCTTATGTCATAACTTTGTCAAAACTCGTCTGATTACGTTGATTTCGATATCACTCGACTCAGCTCGACGAGCTCTTTCGAATGAGCTAACATTTGTATACTTTTTCGTCCTTTTGGTTTTTCGCCCCTATGGTTGTTCAATTTTCAGGGGTCTGTATTTCGGTCAAATCAAGTCGGATTTTTTTGAATTTGGTGTCATTCGACTCAGCTCGACGAGTTCTATAACTTAAGTCGACTGACCATTTTTAAATACTTTGAGGATGGAAAAAAGGAGGGGGGGGGGGAACGAAATTGAATATTACCAATTTCAGAATTTTTGATCCATTAATTTTTAAATTATGGCCAAAAAACTAACAAAAATACGGATTTTTCACTAAAATACCGACATTTTCGACCATAACCTCCCAAATACTAAACCAAAAATTCTAAAATTTTTGGACATGTTAGATAACAATATTATGAACAATCTGAGAAAATTTCTACAATTTTTGTACTCCTTAGGCTAATTTTATAAGCATTCGCGCCCAAACATTCCCGCGCCCAAACATGCCTGTTTGTGTATTTGATCAGGCCAATTATTGTTAGATAAAAGAGGCACAGAAGAAATATTTGATGTTGGATCATTCTCAGAAGGAAGAGACTGACCAACAATTGCAGCAGAATGTTCAGCTATCTAAAAAAATATTTTAAAAAATTTTTTCAAATTTTTTTCCTCTAAATTTTACTTGTTGTTCAAATAATTTAGCAGTTTCTTCATCCATTACTCCCTCATTCATTGTATTCACAATTTTTAAATCATCAGCATTAGGCCAAAACATTTGTTGTTGTGCTGCGTAAAAGGCTGCCAAGTCAAGACTTTAAAAAATAATTTTTAAAAACCTCTATAATGAACTTTTAAGGAAAGCCTCTATATAGTGGGAATCATTGCTAAGTTGGTTATAAAAAATTAAGTTTTTAAATTTTCATTTAATGTGACAACTAAAGAAACCTCTTTTAATTGTTCTAACTTATCCCACCTTCATTTTCAGATATCAGAAGAAAGGAGACAGATACACAACTTATCAATTGGGGGGGGGGGTCCCTAATTTATTAAGGGTAGGATAAGATAGAGAGGTTCAAGTTTAGATGCCTTTTTATTAGAGAGGGTTTTTCAAAAATATTTTTTTTAATTTTCTCACTTAGGATTTCCATCATTAAAGCAATGAGCAGGATTAAAATCAGCAGCACCAAAGAACATAGCGGCACCAGGCATTTCAGGGAAATGTGTGGGGAGAAAAAAAGGGGAAGGGGAATCATTTAAATTTTGTTGTTGTTGTTCTATTTTTGGTATTAATCCTTTAAATTGTTTTAATTTTGAATTTTCATTTAAATTAAATATTTACCGGGAACAACATTTCTAGGGCTATTTAAATTACTAGAAGCTGCCTTCTCCCCATCCGCGCCTACCAACATTTTTAGTTGGGTAGCCACTTTGATTTTTTAATTTTTAAAATATTTTTTGTGGTCAATAGGCTAAAATAAAAAAATTATTAAATTAGAATGATTTAAATTTTTAAAATTTAAATTAGTCAGTTAAATTATTAGATCCCTCAACTTTTTTGAGGGAGTATGAATGATAACCCTCAACCTCTCCCAAGTCCCTTAACTTCCCCTCCAAAAGTCCAAGTAATTTCCTAGTTGAGAAAGGCTATCTGACAGCTTTTGATAATTCATACTAAAAACAACCAAAATTTCGGGCTTAACTGGGATAAGATGAGAGGGATAAGCATTCTGATAAGAAAGCCCTTAGTTATCCCATTTTTAAGGGATTAGGAGTGATAACTGAGAGTGGATATATAGGAATATGTGAATTAAAGATCGGTATTTTCAAAAATCCTGGATCTGGATTTAGGTTAGTAACCTGGACAATTCTTGATCTGGATCCAGAAGAAATCCAGGACGATCAAAAAATGCCTAGATGTGGACTCTGGATAGAGGAAAAATCCAGACTGGATCCAGATCCAAACCGATACTTAATGTGAATGATCAAAAATGTGTTTTATCCCTTCTATATCACCCTGTGATAAGATAGAGATTTTGATTATTAATTAATTTACTTTTTATCTTCCAATAATCTTCTATTCTCGTTGATAATTTTTAGTTGTTTTTTTGTCAATAAAAATTAAATTCCTTTTTAAGTACTTAGAAAAATATTGAAAAAATAGGTGTGTTTGAAGGTCGATCGAAGGTAAAATAATAAATAAATATTTTTAAAATAATGACGAATGAAAAGTTTATTAATTTTTTGTTTGATAGACACTAAAAAATTGAAAAAAAGAAAATTAAATTAATTAATTTAATTAAAAAAGCTTTAAAATTAAAGGGGTGAGGGGAGGCAGGGGGTTACTTCAAAGCCTATAAAATTGCAAGATTAGATCCAAAATTCAAGAAATTTTGTATGGATACCCTCAATACTGTTATCTAACCTCTCCAAAAATTTCAGAATTTTTGGTTTATTATTTCAGAACTTATGGTTCAAAAATCAGAATAGGTATTTCGATAAAATGACGCTTTTTGGTCGGATTTTTGACCATAACTTTTGAAATAGGAAACCAGAAATTCTGAAATTTTTAGGAGAAGTAGCTAACACTATGACATATTTTTGTGGAAAATTATAGAGAGATAGGTATTGTTTAAGTGGAGATTTTTAATTTCGCACGAAAAGGTAAAGGAGGACAAGGAGGAGACTTCAAGGGGATAAATAATAAAATAAATAATTTAAGGAATTAAAAAATAACTGACTGAACAAAAATTATAAAAGAAAATAAATTTAAATATTTAATTTATAATTAGAATAAATTAAGAATAAACCGGAAACTTCCTTAAAAATAAATAATCAACAAATTTTGTATTTGACACGCAAAGTTTCAACTACGCAAATGTTTCATTTTTATTTTTAAAAAATAATTTTATTTATAGAAAAATTTTAAATTTGGGTTTTAAGGAAAAAAATAAATACGGGGAAATTGAAACACGCAAATTTGGAATTTTTTGAAAATTTTCTTTTTGTAAATTTTAAATAATTTCAGTTCCAAGAAAAAAAATTTTTTTAATTAAAATTTAATTAATTAAATACAAGTGCGCGAACGGGAGAAAAAAAGATGATATATACTAATTGGGTTGATAGAGAAGAAAAATGGCGCAATCCCGAAAAGCTACTAGTTATACTTATTTATTGGATGTGTGGCATCCCGTTCTTTCCAGTCAAAAGCGTTTAAAAGGGAAGAAGAGGGGGGGTTAACTTTTTGGGCGCAGGAAATGTTTTGGCGCAAACTAGGTTATCTCCAAAATGACCAAACCTATTTCTATGAAACTTTGGTTGAATATTCGTAAATATGTTGTCTAACTTTGATAAAAATTTCAGAATTTTTGGTTTATTATTTCAAAAGTTATAGTCGAAAAACCAACAAAAAGTCAACGTTTACTCGAAATATTCTGGTTTAGTGGCGATAACTTTTGAAATAAGAAACCAGAAATTCTGAAATTTTCAGAAATATTAGTCAACACTATTGAAGATATCCAGGAAAAATTTCAAGTCTGTAGGTATTCATTTGTTAGTTTTATAAGCATTCAAATGCCCCCGTCCAAGCTAAAAACACGCCAAAACACCCCTTATTATCTTAACAATTTTAAATATCCAAAATCCAAAAATACTTTATTTAAACTAAAAACCTCCCCAACCGGCGCCAAATAGGGGATATATGTATGATTTAAAGTAAAAAGAAGAAAAAGATTTACAAATTATTTAAAGTGTTTCTGGGTTATCTGTCAGAAATAAATGAAAGAAATCTCTGGAAAAGGCAAAAGATTGAAGAATATATATAAAATAAATTTTCGGGGTTAAATCATTTGAGATGAAGAAGTAAAATATTTTTGGGGGGTCTTCTCTTCCCGCAAAAATTTTTAAAAATAATTTTAATTTTAGGTTAAGTTAAAGATTAAATTTTATTTTCTCAAAATTTTGTTCGAATAAAATAAAAAATTAAGTGAATAAATTAATCTTAAAAAATATTTTTGAAAAAATTTCAAAAAAGTTAGCGATTAACATGAACGTGTCAATTCATTTCCCTTTAAAACCCCAAAACTCAATCCATCAACAAAAACTTGTTGTGTATTTTATTTTTCAAGCTGCGCATAATTATTCATTTTCTTTTTAAGTTTTAAAAATATGTTTTGGAAATATTTAAATGTTGTAATGTTTGAAAAACATAATTTTAGGAAAACATGAGAAAATATAAACATGTTTATGTTTGAAAAATAAATTTAAAACAGAAAAACAGAAGTTTGTGTTTTACAAGTTAAAAACGTAAATAAAACAACAAAACAAACTATGAATGAAACAAATTGAAAAACATCAAAAACATTTAGAACAAATAAAACATAAGAGAAAACAAATAATTGTTTGTAGAAACACAAAAAAACACAAAA